AATTATTTTTTTTAACAAAATACTCTGCATTTGGGGGGGGTTTTTTATGTTTTCTTTTTATATAATTTTTAAAAACCTCAAACCACAAACCCCCCCCCCCCCCCCCCCCCCCCGAGCCGCCTGCACTCCCATTAAAGCCACTTACACCTTATACACCCAATCAAAAGCCAATAACCCTTCGTAAACGCAGGGCAAAGCTGTTTAAAATAAAAGCGGCGTAAAAAACAAGCGCCGCAGGAATTTTAAGAGGCGTACGCGTAGCTTATTCGCTAAAGCCGCATTAGTACAACTCATTCTAGTCTAACGTTATAAAAATTTGGGACGTCTAAACTGTGAGCGGTAATAATACCTTTTATTTTTTTGAGCTGTGTAATATTTGATACGTAGGTATATATTTAAGAGTTGCGTATATATATAAACCATATACATACTACTTACCATTTAATGAGTAGTATATATGCAGTTACTACAACCCCCCATCAGACACTAATGTATCTGCGAACAAATGACATTGGGACGGCCACGGGACTTATTTAGGACGGTTTATTATCAAACGAAACACAAGGTACTGTGGAAGCTGATGATGTGGCATATGGTTCTATAAGACGAGCGAACTGGCATACAACTTGGTTCCATGAATTTGCATCTGTACATTTATTTATGAGCTACTTCGACCAATTCCCACCCACTATGAGAATTCCAAGCTGGCCGAAGTATAAAAGGGAAACAGAACCCAGGAACTTCCTCAAGGTTCTTGTTGACCCTCTAGCGGCAACCATCGAGTATGGATGGCCTAACATCTGTCTTTAGATTCTTGCTAATTGATCGCGATAAGCATTGTCGCCGTCCATGGTCTCAATCCCCTCGATAAGCCATCGCATGCGGAAGCCACCTGGACAGCTGGCGACAAGCTGTGGCTGAAGGACTTCCTTCCGGAGGAACTTCCGACCGCTAGGATCTTATTATTTGGATATAATTCGAACGTTGCATTCCAAACCGCAACTGCAGGTGTAAGGGAACAAGCCGAAAACCTCTTGAATCGTCTAGAAGGAGCCCGAGCTGTAAGGACAACCAATACCTTACCCATGGCGGATTAGAGGCTAACGAGGACTAGGGCAGTCCTAATCGCCCCTTGATTTTCATATGTCATAGTTTAGGAGGAATCATAGTCAAGCGAGTAAGCTCACCTCTGCTGATAGATATAGGCGGTTGTCGACTTGCATTCTCCTGTACCCTCGCTAATCATAACCTTATAGGCTCTGTTTCATTCAAGCAACGACCGGACTTATGGATCAATTGCAGAATCTACATTCGGCATCACGTTCTTTGGTACACCGCACAGAGGAGGAAATAAAGCAGGAATAGGAGGGGTGGTAGCGAATATTGCTCGTTCCCTGTTGGGAAATCCTGGCAATACATTTATGAGCGCTGTCAGGGAAGGGGCCTTTCTGGATCTCATCGAGGATGATTTCCGCCAGCTTCTCGAGAATTTTCAAATTCTTACCTTTTATGAAACTAGGCCTCTAGGGCGCTTTGGTATTGTAAGTAACCCCTTCTCCTGTGGCATCTCAAATAAGCCGATTAACAAGATTCTAGGTCGTGGGACAGAGCTCTGCGATCCTCGGACTGCCCGGAACTCGCGAGAAACAGATAGCTTTAGACAAAGACCATAAAGGCATATGCAAGTTCAGCAGCGATGATGATCCTGACTATCAGCTAGTAGCAGATAATATAGCCAGCATGGTTGACAGCGCGACCCGTGCGCAAGTATCACCAGAGCCTATTGATATTGAATCCGAAGGAAACACGTCGAGTTCCTCAGGGTCGGACAATAGCACATGGCAAGCTGGGTTTGGAAACAAAAGCCAGATGATTGGAAACGCAAATAGGACCCGTCAGCTCGGTAACGGAAACAAAAGCGACAACTTTGGAAATGATAATAAAACCGTGCAGATATCGATGGGGTGGTTAGAAATGCAAGACTGCATAGACCTGCTAAAATACTTCAAATTTTGAATATATATAGGTATCAAGTTATTCCTACCTCCTAGGACCTACGTACCTAAGGGTAGGTAGGCGATTGATACATTTTGAAGTCACGGGTTCGTCCAAATACCTGTCAGGTATATATCCCTGATGGATGTCATATAAAGTGTGAGTGTCAGGGTTGCGCATGCAGCATATCGGGTTTTGGCATTCTCAGATTTTCAATTCTGTCAAACAAAAAGTACTATCAAAAAAAAAATATCGCAATATTTGTTAGAAGACTTCGTATATAATTATTACTTTTTTGTTCAAATTTTTACGATTTATTCCTATGGTTATTTTCGTGTTAGGGATGGTACTGTTTCTAGAGAGAAATGCCAAGACCCGGCCATTAATTCTCGAGTTGGGCAGTATATTGGGTTGAAACTAAGTAACGCCTGACCTTCCATTATAAACTAGCTCTACCTGACACTGCCTGAGTGACGTATGAACATTGGTATGCTTTGCTGGCACAGCCACGTCTGTAGCCTCTGACTTGTCGAGGGGCTCAGTACTTACCTACCTCATAGGTAGGTAAAGGGCAACTTCGTGTTTGGTTATAAGAGTTTACTTTACAACCCTGCCAACCCTTTGTTGATTCGTTGCCCACTATCTTTGTAATTCATATCACGCAATGAATTCGTCATCATCACTTGATAGGATTGAAAAGCCAGCGTTATTTCTCGATACTGCATCAAAGAAAGACGAATTCATCTTGCAGAAGCCTAGGGCAACTCGCTCGTTGCCGACTTACCCTACCTATCCCCGAAACGAAGTCACAACAACTCCCCCGTGGAGAAACCGTCTACCCCGGAGAAATACTATCTATGTAGTATCCACCCGGCCAAAGTTATATGCGGTTATATTTATCGCAAGGTCGCAGCGATACCTAGGATTGAAGAAGCACCAACGTTCCGCAGAAAGGCTCAAGACTCAGCTGGTGGCCTTCTTACTTATCAGCTTTGCAAGCTACCTTATTGGCACCCGCTTGCGAATTGGCCAGATTAAGGTAGACCGGAAATTCACTATTGTCCTTCCATTCCTACCCTTCCTACTTCTACCTGTACAAGGGATTGTACGGAATACTGTAAATAATAGCGCAATACACGGAAACAATAATTTTATCCAACAAGGGGGTGTAAATTTTACCTTCATCACTGTCAAGCACGTCTACGTTGTATCCCAAGGTAGTTCATTCCCCTACAACAGAATTATCATTAGCCATTCAATTTAACAGAGGCATGTCTCAACCAACATGTCTCAACCGAATCTCATGCATACCTCTGTGTATGAAATTAATATTGTACCTGCTAACAACGTAAAGCAGATCATGAAGTTAGACGACAAGCAGCCTCTAGCCCTTTAGGCTATGCTGGATGACAAAAGCTTTCGGACGTACGAAGAAGCGAATATAGTAGCGCTTTACTACCTATGTTATTGCTTGCGCGCTAAGCACTAAGCGGTGGATTATGGAGGGAGTGGTAGGAGGAGTGAAATCATTTACCGGAGATGCTGTCAATCTGAAGGAATTATTTCAACACTGAGGGCCGTACCCGAACCTTAACTCCATAACCTACCTCCTACCTACAACACGATTAGCACAGCACGCAACACTCACGTACGTTAGCATCCCCCAGCTTTCAAAACCGTCACATTGAACCGTATTAGCTGACAATAACTCTAACACAGGTCCCTTCGCCGCAATTTCAATTATGTATTAGCTGGCGTGCTTGCTGTGGGTGTGTACGTTCATTGCATACCTGCGCATGCATCCCTCGCGTTGTTTCTTGACCTTTTCGGGTGGTTCTGGGCGGCGTATATGGCCGAAAAGTGAAATAGCGAAAATGGCGATATTCACTATATCTATTCCCCTAGATATGAATCTCCTGAGTACCTTCACTACTACAGTCACATCCATCGCAACTGCTACTACCACCACCCCGCTGCAGCAATATTCGATGTCATTTTTCGAGGAGTTTGGTATCAATTCTCTCCTGAGATTCCCCATTGCAATCGCCCTGATACCTTAGTTGTTTTGGGAGCGGACCTTGTCATCGGCTTGAAGGCCGGGCCTGCTATTGGATGATTGGATGGAAGCATGGGTGGATATCAGGCTATGATTCTGATTGGTAAAATGGAAAGGAGACCGGGGCGGCGATGAGAGGGCTGGCGGCTCTGCATGCCCAACGACAGCCCAGACGGCGGCCTAGGTGGAGGAGGTACCAACAGAACCTGTTGAACCTAGAACACTAGGAGAAGAACGAGAACCTGGAGGAACAGGCTGGGGCTTTAACAAGTATTGCTATATGATGGATGCGATGATGATGGGGCTAAAATCACTCTATAGTTTTCGGACTTCTTAATATAACTACAGTATCAACCTAAACCGATTGGATGACTCAATGAAAATGGCCTGGCTTCTTTTTTATTTCTTCGCCTTGTGGCAACTCGCTCTGACGTTATTAGATGTTTGTCCTTAATCACCTGAGTCTAGCTTACCTTAGGTACAATTATAATATAAGGACTCGAGGCTTCACCTGAATGCAAATAAGATAGATGTGCAGGTAAATCAAGAGATATGTACAATGCTTTATGACTTGACCCCAACGCCCTCATTATGCGTTACTTCGTATAAATACAACCCCATACTTATACATATATACATGCCCCCCTTAATCCGTATCATACTGGACCTTGCATATCCCTCTTCCGAGCCTCCGCGTCCAGGCTATCTACTTCGCCCCCAAGCGGCGCCATATCAGCCACCGCCGCCTCTACCACGCCCTCATCCGCGGCAGCTACACCGAAGTTCACACCGCTGCTTGAAATCTCCCTTCTCTTCTGCGCATAAGACAGCAGCCGCACGCATCCGGCGGGGGTCACCCCCTCAATCCGCCTAGCTTGGCCGATACTCTCGGGCTTTGCCTCGTTCAGCGCTGCCTTCTCGTGCGTGCTCAGCCCCGCGATGGCATTGTAATCCAGATCCGCCGGCAGCCGCAAGCCTTCGTCGCGCAGGAACGCCGCGCGCTCCGACGCTTGCAGATAGACGTAGGGCGCGTACCGAGCCTCGATCTCGACGCGCGTGCGCACGCGCTCGCTGTGCTTTAGGATCTCCGGGATCCGCGGCGCGAGGTCCCCGATGGCAACGCCCGGAAGCCGTAGGATCTCCAGCGCGTTGCGCTTCCTGCTGTCGTTGCGGTTGGAAAAGCCGGCGGCGATCCAGGCCGGCGCGTTCAGAGCGTACTGCTCCAGAGCTCGGGTTAGCTCGTCGATCTGCGCTTTTTCGTCCGTGTGCCGTGACCAACGGGCGTCCGATACGACGCCCCACTCTCGGCCCTTGGCTGTGAGTCGAAGATCGGCGTTGTCGGCGCGCGTGCTCATGCGGTACTCGCTGCGGCTTGTGAACATGCGATACGGCTCCGACACACCCTTGGTAATCAGATCATCAATCATGATGCCGATATACCCGTCGGCGCGTGTGATTGAGACTGGCTCTAACCCCTGAGCCGTGCGTCCCGCATTGATGCCGGCAATAATGCCCTGACCAGCCGCCTCCTCGTAGCCCGTGGTGCCGTTGATTTGACCCGCAAGGAAAAGACCTGAGATAGCCTTAGTTTCGAGGGTGGACCTGAGACCACGCGGGTCTACATAGTCATATTCGACGCCGTAGCCAGCCTGAGTCATTTGTACGTTTTCGAGTCCGCGGATCGTGCGTAGTAGTTGCTCCTGTGCCTCGGCAGGGATAGTCATAGACAAGCCATTCGGGTAGATAGTATCGTTATCGAATCCCTCTGGTTCCAACCAGACGATGTGTCTCTCCTTATGACCGAATTTGATGACTTTAGACTCCAACGACGGGCAATAACGTGGTCCCCTCACCGTCTCGCGGATATGCACCGTCTTGTCCAGGTTAGCGCGAGCAATGTCATGCGATTTGTCATTCGTATAAGTAGCCCAGCAGAAAAGTTGGTCCTGCACCGACACCCTATCATCGAGGTAGCTAAAAGGTTCCGGAGGTTCGTCTCCTCGCTGTATATCTAGGATATCGAAGTTGATACTTCCTTTATGTAATCGGGGAGGGGTGCCGGTTTTTAATCTACCAAGCTTGAAACCGGCATCTCTCAGGGATTTGCTAAGGCCAAAGGTAGCCTTTTCGCCCATCCGCCCAGACGGGAATACGTCTAAGCCGATATGTATCTCGCCGCCCAGGAACGTTCCGGTGGTAATGACGACGGCACTGGTGGGTAATACCTCGCCCGTCTCGAGACGTACGCCAGTAATTTTGCTCTTGGGCGAACCGCTGGTAGGATCTGCATTCTCGCCTAAAACGATATCTGACACGCTACCTGTTATTATAGACAAGTTCGGATACGACTGGAGCTCCTCGCGCATGTGTTTCTTATACAGCGCACGGTCGATCTGGGCTCGCGGTCCCCACACAGCCGGGCCTTTTTTCCGGTTGAGGACCTTGAACTGGACACCAGCTTTATCGATGATACGTCCAGAAACGCCATCCAGCGCGTCGATCTCGCGTATTATTGTCCCCTTTCCGATTCCGCCAAAACTGGGATTACACGAACAGACGCCAAGATTGTCAAGCTTAGGCGTGACCAGAGCCGTTCGAGCGCCGCTCCGTGCAGCTGCCGCGCATGCTTCTGTCCCAGCATGACCACCACCTACTACCACAACATCAAAAGGCCTAGGTTCTTCGAGTTAGCTCGTGATCATTCGCATATTTTTGGAGAATGGACTCATTTACAGACCTCACGTCTTGAGCGACAGTGGCGAAGCTATTCCGGTGAAGACCTAATGAAGGTAACGGTCGTGCCCGGATTACGCTATGAGGCCGGCTTAAGCCCCTAGGTCTCCAAGCCTTCCGCATACTCGAAGTTTTTTTTTTCTCTTTTTTTCTTTGGCTTTTGCTTTTGCAACTTGCACGTCGTCGCTTTGAATTTGAAATTCAAAAATTCTCGATAAGAAATACTATGTAACGATAAGGAAAAGCTTGGATCTATCTAAATCTAGGTCCATTAAGGTACCTATGTACATGGTCTCTCTGTGGGGCATGCGGCTGATCCATGTGGCACCTGCAGGGCGGTTCTCTTACCGGATGAATAATTCACCTTAAATCAACGCTTGGGTCTCAGGGGTTCTACTTCTATTCACGTCACGTGCTACGGAAGTACTATGTACATCGCCTGATCGCATATAGATATCATCCGCTTGGCTTAAGCTAACTACAACAAATTTACATAGGCTGAACTTATTGATGGATAACTTAATAATCTTCAATTGAAACTATTGGCCTTTGGACTTGGCTTTATTCTCGGATAAGATTCTCACTGCGTCCTTGCTAAACACGTAACTGAGGCCGCTCCAGACGGTTGTGGTCGCAACCAAATACCTGTAATTTGTCAGACGCAGTAACGAAAAAGCAAGTTTTACGCGTTTGGTTTCCTTGCTGGATTGAGTATGGATGCAAGATAAAAAAAAACACTTACTGAAAGGCCGTCATAGCCATTCCCACATCCGCAGCTAAAAGTGGTGTCGCCATAGTAGCTCCCATAAGTCCCAACTGCAAGAACGTATTATACTTGCTAATAGTCGTAGGCCGCACCTCCGCTGACGGTAAGGAGAAGTCCCAGTAGCGCGTGAACGTCTTCGGGGGCGGCAGAGATATCCACCGGTAGTAGATGGCCGAAATTGCTAGACCAACATCCCGCCCGAGGATCGTGACGGCTAACCATACTATATCGAACGTATCATCAGCATGTAAGTTATCACGTAAATACAGCCGCGGCGTAATAAAAACGGAGAGGCTAGGGGGAAGCTGAATAATAAAGTTATAGGGGTATGACCCAAGATACAGGGGTGGGGTGGCGAGGAGGTCAGGTACTTACTAGGTAGCGCCCCCTTGTAAGCAAGACATACGGTCAAAACCGTCATAAGCATCTTATCCGCCATAGGGTCCACCACGCTCCCAACGACGGTCTGAAGCTTCCATTTGCGAGCAATCCAGCCGTCCAGGAGGTCCGAGACGCCTGCGTAAGCAAACAGACCCAAAGCCAAGACATGCGCGTCGTGCACGATGGCATAGCCGATGAACGGCGCGGCGATGAGGCGCGAAAACGTCAGCAGGTTGGGGACCGTGTAGATGTTTTCGTGCTGCGCCAGCGCGGGCATCACCTTGGGAATTACCTTCCGGATACCTTTCGGCTCCCTAGCTATTTGTTTCGAAGAAGATTCAGGGGAAACTCTATAATTGCCATATATTAGCTCGCAAGCGCTATAACGAATGATCAAGAGTAGATCAGTAAACTTAACAGCACTACCTAACGGAAAAGACGTACTGTTCTTTCCTCTTAGTTTCTTCATTCTCCTCTAAGAATCTGGCAGTCTGCGAAAAGGACCTACTACACCCGGACCGCCGCCACAATCCGACTCTAACGCTACTTGCCTCATCCAGCGGACGTAAGCGTTTTGCCGCCCCCGGCCAACGCGTACTCTCGTTCAAAGCCAAACCCTGACATCCTAACGCGGCCATACTCACGATATGCGCAGATCTCCTCCACACAGCCGGACCCACCCTAGTCCTCTCAGCCGTTGCAGCTAGCTCAGCGCATATCAAATTGATCGAACTCATTTTCGGACACCTGCGAGAGGCGCGCGCGCCACCGCATACAGCCCGTAAAGTCATATCGAGTGGATCATATTATGTGAAGCCGCAATGCACGTGGAATCAAGCCGAGATGAACCAAGTCAAGCTAGCCGATAAGAACCCCCCCTTTTTTTTCTCGTCCAGTGCAACCAACTTGGCAACGGGATAACAATTCTCGCGAATGCAGTTCCGAAACGTCACCTGACCGGTCCCAAACTCTCGCAGAATAAATTCCTTATTCCAGAGAGGAAAGTAAAGAAATAAAACAGCTTCGGTGCTAGGGGGGAACGGGCAGGCTATACCGACGTGGCGTTTCCAGGCGTTTGCAGGCGTTTGCGGTCTAGATCAAGTTGGAAGAATAGAGAGTTGAGATTGAGAGGATAGAGGCAGAGGCAGTTCCACAGTTGAAAAAAGTTGTAACCATGTATTCCGGCACAGTGTTGGAGAGCTGAGCTGAGCTCCACGTCATTGGCTATGGAGCGCCAAGTAACCCTTGTTTCACAACATTTCCCCACTAAATGGACACTCCAAAGGAGCCTCAGCTTAGTAATTAAACATTTCTTATATTACTAGTACTGTCTGCGTAAACTCGACGACGCACCCCAAAGGGGTGCTGCGCTTTAACTAAGGAAACGGGCAAGATTAGGGATTCGATCCGAAATACTTCCGAACAAATGTAATTCCTACGTGCTTCAAAGTATTTTCCAACATTCATAAAATTTTATAAAATATTATTATTCTTCTTCTACTTTCAGTAAGTAACAGGGATCGGAATAACCTCTTACTGGTGCTTAAAGTCTGGTACGCTAGCTTAATTACTGCCCGATTTCCTAATTAAAGCGCAGCACCCCTTTGGGGTGCGGCGTCGAGTTATACGTAGACAGCACTAGTACCGAGTTCAACAACCTCATCGTAAGATTAACTCCTTACTATCATATAATAACTAACCTTAAACAGAACCTCAATCTTTACGCAAAAAGAAATTATAATCTAAAGTCGTTTTTTTAAGATATAATAACTAATATTAGTTTTCCCCCTATTTTTCCTTGTTTTCCATGTTTTATTTTGATACGAACGGACTGATAAAATATATGTGACGAACTTACACTCAGGTACGTTAAAGTGTAGTGCCGATGGGTCTTGATTTTCAGGTAAACAGTAACGATACGGGTCAAGTGTCAAAATAATCGTTGAAATGTTCGTCAGGAAGGCTTGGAGTCCTTCCCCTTATATGGGTTAGATATAAGACTTAGATTGATAGCTAATAAGCTGAAAAATGAATGACTAGATACATGAGAAACGTTCGATAGTTATATGAAATGTCTTCCTGCTATTCTGTTGTTCTTTTCGTCGTATTTCTTAAGTGGTCGAGTTGATCACCTCGATCACCTCGCTTTGAGGCTATTCCCGAGGTTTAGCCGTGACGGGATCGTTGGTACCCCGCCCTTTGGCCTGAACGTGATCTCCCTGGCTGTTGGTTCGTAACAATATATTAATACCCATAGTAAATATACCATAGGAAACTTGCCCATTCTTCCGACTAACTTCCAAAAAATTTCCAAAATAAAATCATGGGTATTTATGAGGGTTAACCACAAATTAAGCAATTAACCCCACCAAATTCCAAGCGCAAAAAAGGTTTCTACCAAAAGACAGGTGATTTTTTTTCCCTTTTCTCTTTTCTTTTCTCTCTGCTCTTTTCTCTTATCATCTCCTCCCCTCTCCTCTTCTGTCCTCTCCTTTTTCTTCTCCTTCTTCCTTCTTCTTCTCCTCTCCTCTCCTCTTCTGTCCTCTCCTTCTCCTTCTCCTTCTTCCTTCTCCTTTTTTCTTTTTTTATTGTCATGTAGGGAAATAACATTCTAGATATAGAAAACTTTTAGTTCGATGATCCGACCAGGAATAAGTCTGCTGTATACAGATAAGCCTGAAAGCCTGACCGATTTTTTCATTTCGAAGACACTGTTGCTGTCTTTCAAAAGTCACGCCGAAATCTGTTCTACTAGTACAACGCCAATAGCCTTTAACAAGTCTGAGTCCAAATGATGAAGAAAGAAAGTCGTCGACAACAATAAAAAGATTGAAGCGGTCGAGAGCGTGAAATAAAACGTGATATAGCAAATGCACTGCGGCCTAAAGCGGCCTGTAAAGACTGGTAACAGGTATCATCGTAATCGTTGTTATAATGGGTATAAAGTGAGTTGCCAGTTCCGCGTTGTTGGGGAAATAATCGTGACGGTCATCTGTCAATGCGGCGGTAAAGAACCGTAGGTATCAATTATCGAAAAGACAATATCCCCTGACCTCGCTTGACGCCAACGCTCCACAAGTCTTTCAAAATGCATGCAGGTACCAAGGTCGTCGTGAATACCTTGCCTAGGTAAAACTCAAATCCAGCCGTTTTAATTTGTAGTACACCATAACACATAGCGCCAGGAAATCATAGTAGAAAAGGGAATTCGAAGCAAGCCAGAAATGCAGGTGATGCTCTCCTTAACGAATTTGGTTCTCAATTTTCTGGTCTCCGGTTTGTTGCCTGCTCATTTGTCGCGGGGTCGATTGCAAGCAGGAAGTCTGTTCAGAGCCGTGCGAGTCCCTTTGAGACGTTAGAGGCATCGGCATAGGATCCTATTAAGGATCTACTCACTGTGGATAGCTTCCATTCTGCATGAAGCCATCAGTCCAGTCGACATCTGGCATCGGATTTGCCGCAGAATCAACATTGTCAAGTCCGAGCTGCATAGTCGACGATGTATCGTCTTGACCAGCGTTAACCACATTATGTCCGTGGTGCTCCGGTAAAGAGACGTTGAACTCGTGAGGGGTATGACGCGTGGTTCTGGCATTGAATCCATTTTCCATATGGCCTTCAATTCCGGAGGAACTATGCATGGCGATGCTAGTACTGTATAAATCGTTATTTTGGTTTGCGCTGCTGTGATTTGCTCCGTTATGGTTATATACGTCTCGGTGGTGGTTAGAAGGTGTAGACACAACCGCGGAGGTAGCAGTAGTGTTAGCAGGCGTGTCGAATATACTAGCTGTATTTGTATATGGCGATTGGCTGGAAAGATTCTGACCTCCGAGACTGGCGCCACCACCGAGGAGCTGGGTTGTACTCATTAGTGCTCTATCAAGCTGCGGGAGTCCCGAGTAGTCAATATTCCCTACCCCGTTTGTTCCAATATTTCCTACCCCGCTTGTTCCATTCATGGTCGAGTGCCTTCGAGGTGGCACTCGTGCCGGCTGTGAGTAAGTCAAGGAAGTTCGTGGAATCATACCGTACGACATCGCAGGACTCTGGTCGTAGCTCATGGACGACGCCGTAGGATATGGCACTGGCGGTGGCAATGTTTGTCCCATACCGTAGGGTGCAGCATATTGGGTAGAACCTGCCCAAGACATTTGATCACAGGTATTCATGCTGGGCATTGAATATGATCTTGATACTGCTCCATTCATAGCGTAGGCATTATACGAAGAGTTCATAACCCCTCGAAAATGAGGTTCGGCTAGCAGTATTTCGTGATCATCAACGGGAGCTCGGAAGCTGCCCGATGATATCAGGGGCGCGCGGGGAGTGATGCCTCGTAGCCTTTCATCCTGACTTGGAGTGCAAAGTTTATGTTGAATAACGTCTTCTATACTGTAATACGAGACGAGGTGATGCTGTATACCTTGATAGGTGACACTGATGGTCTTTTTGATAAGTCCATCTTGCTTGAACTGATACGAATCGACGAGTGAGCCGACGAGGGCACGTTCGGCTTCATTACGTGTGTTTGCTGTGCTCTCAAGGTTTGGAAGCGAATGTCCGCTATCCATTATAGCACTGGCAAAACTACCCACCGAGTTGGCTCTGGCGTGGTTCGTAGTCTTTGTGACCCCTGCGTCATTCCTCTGCCGTTTCATTGCTCGTTTCTTCTCACCGGGCTGAAAGGGCTTGTCCAGCTCGCGATACAAGAGGAAATTGCCCAGAATACGACTAGGACTCCAAGGGACACCGTCAGTCCAACGTTTTATCCCAGAAGAATTTTCCTCGTAGATGAAAACATTGCCGCTAACGATGAGGGACGATCGTTCCCTATCGTGTGGTCGTCTGGGAACATGGCTGAGATGGCCGTTAAGACAACCTTCAAATAGTATAAGTGCATCCATGGTGCTCGCGATATACCCAAAGAAAGTTGGGTTCAGAGGGTTTCCCGCACCTCCGGGACGGTCAACTCCCGACATTATTCCTCCTGTCGACATGTCTACCTTTGCTATTAGGCGTATTATGCAATAGGATTTGAGTCTTGCTAGCTCAAATGCAAGCGGCAGCTTAATAAGAGAAACCTTCTCGGGTAATAGCCAAAAGCAGTGTTGATAGGTGAAAGTAAACTGTATCTCTAGACGTCTTTACAACACGTGGGCTACTGGTTCGGTGGTTCGGCAGTGTGCCTGTGATGTAGGACAACTTGATCGAGAAGGCAGAGCTTTAGCCTACAACTCGAGACCCAGTCTCCTCAGAGAGTTAAGGTGTATGCCGTGGAGGTAAATATCTATATGGAATCAGGGAAGAATCGTGAGCTTGAATGCAGAGGAAATAGGGAACAGTGTTGTAGAGTAGAATTCAATCATACCTTGACAGAGTGTTTATGCTTTGCCGCGAAACCGGTAAAAAAGTATTGGGAAACTTTGATGATTGTGCAGCTTGCTATGGTAGAGAGATATATATATATTATATATCGGACTGCCCTCACGAAGGCGAACCTGTTCTGATTCTTCTTTTTATTATTTGAAGTCCGCTGGTAGTATTTTCGGCTGGATGGATAACTCAGTAGGGAAGAAGGAGAAGAATGGGACCCTTGGCTGTGCCTGGTAGAGCAAGCAGTGGGCTGGTATGCGGACCTGGGTGTAGGATATTAGCGTTTCGAAGCCGAGTAAACTTTACGGCGGGCGGGAGGGGTTGTCCGTAGACCGGGACTAACAATATTTTGCTGGGGACTTTGAAGAACCCTCTTTAATAGTAGATCTATCTCGGAAAGTTGTGTTATATGCTAAGAGGGGTGAACTCAAGATTAAGTTCGCGGCTACGGTACCAGAAGCTGTCGGTTGCCCCCTTCAGCCTGGGGGTATGGCGCGTACAACGAGTAAGCTCAAACTGGTGATCCGAGTTGGTGGCAGCACCGTCTTTAAACTTTCAAACGCGCAGACAATTCGGAAACGGAGTCCGAGCTGGGGTACGCTGTGGCAAAACCTTCCTTACTGTTACCCTCAACCGATTATCTTGAGGTTACTATATAGAGCGCGTAGTGTCGGTGGTATCAGACCTCACGATGAGTGAAGAAGAGTAGTTGCGTTAGCAAGAAGTGCCTGAATAAAGCAATGGTTCCGGCTTGTGATATGAGAGGATCAACTCAAGGCCCCAAGGTGAACTGTGGCGCCCAAAAACACTGAGTTGAGGCTGTAAACCTTGTCGTCGGGGTGAGTAATGTTGCTTGCTTGACAACTAGAATTGGAGTAATGAAAATATGAATTGGAGCTTTTTGTTTTGCAAATTGTGTTGTGACTGCTATAAACAGGGTGAGTTGAGAAGGTAGTATGGTTGCAGGTCAAGGGATAGCTGCAACGCGACTGATATCTTGTCAAGCATCGAGGTTGTACTATGTACTAGTATGATTATGATGCAGAATAAGAGTGAAACTGGGGGAGAGAGGTTGTTTATTTATGTGTGCCTGCTTGGGGGCGTTTGGACTCTGATGGTAACGTTATATTAGATAATAGAGGAGGGTGAACAAGAGGAGACATGAAGGTTCAAGGGGGGGGGGGGATCGTGTCAAAGCGGTTCCTGCTTTAGTCGTATTGCGTGTGATGCCGTTAGGAGGTACGTAGGTCCCAATACGTTCAACAATTTATAGAGCATCCGTGTAGCGAATTCGGTGCAAATAGAGGTAAGTGCTGGTGCGTTATGTAGTATATTAGGTACTACCTAAGGATAATACTAGGTAGAGGCGAATAATGTAGGAGTAAAGATTACCTAAGGTAACGAGATTAATTGGAGATGTCGAAGAGGATAGCGCTTGCCAGTTTCCATTAAGGCTCCTACTACTACTTACACGCAGCTACTACCTCCCACGTGCTACTATGATGCGCAGCTGCCACGTACCGCCCCTAAGATCACCACAACTACCTACCTACCTGGTACAACCACTACAACTACAACTACTACGGCTGCTGCTGCTGCTTCTATAACTACCCAGTGCAGCTACTTCAGCTGCTGCAACCACTACAAGCTGGCTGCTTCTTCCTAAATGCTTTCCTGTATAGTCACTGATGCTAAGTTAACAGGTATGTCAAATGTGCCTACCTACGTACCTATTCGTTCCTTTCATCACTGGTTTTACCACTCGTCCAAGTGAGATCGGCACGGCCATACCTTCTCTGTGTACAAAAAGGTGACCTAACAGCGGATTCTACATCTTGCCGCCCTGGCGGGTTATGATATTACTTACAATTTAGGTGTGTAGGTAACTTATTGGGTATCTCTACTAATATTTTTTTCGCTACTTCCTCCACGGCCATATCGGTAGCTTGACTACACCGGTTCTAGATTCTTCATTCTTCCACTTGGGCGGTCTTCGTTGCATGTAACAACCCTGCTCCTCTGTGTGTACGCGAGATAGCTATGTATGTATGTGTGTGTGTGTGGGTCGTTTTAAAGCACGGTCTAGTCGATTGCCTAACCTAGGTGCTGCTTCGAGATCATGGATGGTAGCTTGTCGCCCCAGAATATTTCTAAGGTCGCGGGCCACGGCAAGTTAAAAGTGAAGTGGACGTGATAGACGGGCTAGGCTCTATATCTCTATCGCAGTCCGAAGCAAGTATATCAAGACGTGGGACTATCACATGTTAACACAGCAATACGGAAATATATGACAATGGTAGACCGGCCGTCGTGCTCATCGTCCTCGGTTATCATTATTGCCGTGCCGATTAGAACTCGTCAAGTTTTCTAGGGATATTAAATGTGTGCTCGTCTAAATAATAATTCGCAGCTGTATTCCTAGAAATTCTTGCTAAGAAGGATAAAGGTATGTATATGATAGAGAGGTATATTATAAATAATATAACAAATTGTATTAGACCGAAAGCTTGAAGACCAGCACCTAGGTTGTGAGCATTTGAATAAGCCATGCCCATTCATCGGGCTTAATAACTCCTGCCTTTGGTTAAATGATATCGGTCTTACGCTGATTTCAACCTCTAAGATCACTCAACTAGCAGGCACTACGACGCAACATTGCTCCGCGTTAGTCGTAACTAGCCGTCTACGAAACAAGGATATACGATGTATTCAACACCAGTGAGACCTTGAAAAATATGCAACTGAGATGTAGCGTAAAACTTGCCAGCCTAGAATTCAAATTGTATTTCTTGTCCGGTAAATTTACATAATTATGTGAAATATACACTGTCATGAGTCATGTTGTCCTCGCGGCACCTGGGGGCATTTGCGTAGAGTCCCTAACCCATAAATAGAGCCTACTATCTACATATCCCTTGAGCATATAGATACCTTCCCCCTCATGTGCGTGTGGCGACGGTAGAATTGTCATCGCAAGCTTGGTATCCTTTCCTTGCAATTGTCTATGCAATCATATGCGCATTACAGGATCGACAGAAAATCGACTTTGTCAAGTCAAACTAGTCACTAGGGCTATCCCATAATATGACTTGCAAGAGGCCTGGAAAATCTCAGACTTCAGGGCAGCTCCTGGAATGGTAGAACTCCTGCCACGACTGTCGGGAGCCTCACTTGAGACTCATTGGGAACAAAGGAGATGTTTTGCATATAGCTTTGAAGTCAAAGCTATCTTACTTAGAGCTCCTCGCGTAACACCGATGTTGTTTCCCTTACCAAATGCTCTACGACGTGACAAGGACGAGATGTTATAGTGGTAACGTAAGCTGAATATCGGAATTGCTAAGGTTTCGGACTCTAAGGTAGGATTATAACAGTATAGCGGCTAGCTTTCTATCTTAGATAGGTATCAGGATATCCAGGAAAGTTTTGCTGTTGTGGGGAACCGAGAACAGTAAACAGGGCCCCAAGGTAGATTAAAGAATTTTTTGACTAGTATTGCATATCAATATTACGGAAAATACCTGTAGGTGGACACAGAAATAAGGCTGCTAGAGTGACGACGGAGCCAAGACCTTCTCCGGCCTCTCTTACTGGCTAACCCCTTCTAAGAGGGGCGGCGGAATAAACCTTGTTAACGGGCTAAGTTCTGAGAGAGCCAAGGAGGTACATAGGGACGGCTTCGACCTATTCATTCAGGTTGCTAGTGTGGTATGCACAGAATGTGAAGGTCATAGGTCACGGTAGTAGTGCTCCGGATTGATGGGCGGTGATATGCTGTAAAAATTCTCCGTTGATGTTTTGGTCCGGGAGGAGGTATACGGGGGGAAGATAGGTACCTATTATTAATGTAGTAAGCGAGAATACTATTGGAGCCTATACGTACCTAATTCATACTGCCCTCTATAAAATATCTTGCTGCTGAGTGCCTCATATTTCTTCTAGATAGGGTAGGTCTACATTGACATCGACGAAGAGCTAATTGCTAGATATATCCGAGCGATTCTTGATGTCTTCCGGACGACTCCTGGCTAATTCCATTTCTATCTTATTCTTCAGTGTCCCCTGAACGCAGGTACAGGACCGCAAGACAGAAAACTCTGTTTTTGATGCTAAACTAACCGAGAGGTCGGTAGGCCAAAAGAAAAAAGAAAAAAGAACAGTAAAGGCAAAATAATCTATGTACTATATGCATCTGCAAATGCCACTCTTCTGAAAGGGAACAGTCGAACCTCAATTCATAACTGAATAGGGGATGGCCAAAAACTCTCGACGTTTGCGGAACAACCACGATTTGATGGTTCAACTAGCCGATATAAGCAGTGATCAGGTTACCGACGGAGACTACAAACCTTAAATATTGACGTGACATGGTATTGCCCCGGGCTTACCCCTGTAAAGACTCCTCAGATGTTTCCATGTGAAAGCCAACACCCCATCTAGTATTGATACCTAGTTTGATAGGGACTCGAAGATCCATAATGGTCTCGAAGGCCTACCTGGGTTATCGTGTATGCCATTGGTCGGGAATTTACATTTCCAACTTAGTATAGCCAAATTCCAAATAATGGACTGTGACTTGTTTCCAAGTTGGCAAATATGATAATACGGCGGCGGACTGACTAAAAGTACAATAGTGAATACGTAGAGCACATCTCAAGCCAAATGGCCCTTTTCAAAACGGAAGGCTTAATGTTGCTGGCAAGACGATCGATCGCTTTTATCGCCTGGGCTGTTGGGGTTGAAGACACTTAGCGTAGATCACCCGCGCGATCCGCACTAGACGATCGCGGCACTAGGATGATGCCAAATAGCTGACCTGTGAGCTACGCTATTTACCTTTTAGGATGGTAGGATAATAGGTAGCCGGGTCTAGCCCAATTGACTAAACAAGGTCAATCCTCAAGGAAGAACCAAGGCCGTTTTGATTTGGTGTCGCCATATGCCTCACTGGGAATATTCATCGGCACTGGGATAGCGTCGTGAAAATTAGACACGCTAGAAGGTCGAGACCCGTCCTCGGCTAGATTCCGAGGCGAAATAGGAACTGCAACATCGAAAGTCAATAAAATACATCTTGCGCAAGGCCCTTGGACTGTCGCCGAATCATAACGCTCCATTTATAAGCCGTCTTTCCCCAAGAAGGCTTAAAAAGGGATGAACGTACCTATAACTCCACATTCCCAGTTTCGACAGTTCAGCTTCGGATTGCCTGTTCCCCTTTCTTTTACCAAATGCCCCCTATTCATCGGAGTTTCTCATTAGCCAAGAACAATTTGAAGATTATTTTATAGTATAAGCTTACCAGGCACTCTCGGATATATTTGCGCTGCCAACGTAGACGAACGCAGGTTTTGACTCGTTCGAATTAGAGTGGTGGACTAGCATGAGTTTGCTGTGGATAAGGAGACCGGATCTGACGCTTTTGCAATCGTGAATTAACTCGCGGGGAAACGATGCTGAATCCCACCATTTAGATTGAGTACAGATGGTACCCGCGGCCTGGGGAACGATTAGTCTGCGCTACGTCCTAGCCCCCAGTCAAGATCGTATATACTCACATCTTTACCGCCCCGACTTTGAATTACAGTATCGCGAGAAGGGAAGTAAATCCGAAATTTATCCTTTAACTCTAACTTTGTCTGCGCTGGGAGTTTTTTCTTCCCACTCTTAGCACTCCTTATTCCGTACTCCTTCATGCCATCGTCACCTATTCTATGCGTTAACAAAGACTGGGCATGAGTGGAAATCTGCGGTTTTACCTTGAGCTGCATAATATATTGCTGACAATAGGTCAAAATTCAGTGATCCCAACGAGGAGGCTAGGAAGTCGATCTCTATATTATTTGTGGTATCGAGGCCGAGGGATTTTACGGCTCGACCCAGCCCGCAATATCCTTTGAGAAGATTAGCATGAATATACCATAATGTTTCTGGGCGAAGTCTACCTGTTCGCCGCCATTTGTCGCCCACGTGCGACCCTCCTCTATTTCGCGTTAGCTGTAATTATCATGCATATCGAGAATAATGAGCCTCGTGAGGTTCTTACATGGTGTGGACGAATCTGTAACGGTCGGCTTCTGAGAAGTCGTAGTTTTTAAGACTGCTCACTAAGCTTTCTTCTAAACCCTGGGCTCTGAGAAAATAACAGAGCTCTTCGCCAAATAAGCCCAGCTTACTAGGCGTTGTCGGGTTGGGATTATCTAGCCGAGGAAGGTCAATAAGAAAGACCATGTTCTCAATAACACCTGTCTCGCCCCACTACGCGTTTCTATCTGTTAATGATATGCCAAAGTATCGGAAGAGAATCAACTTACATCATAAGGCACGAAGTTACCACTGGGCACAACGACCCGCAAGTAGCTGCGGTACTTCAATAACTGTAATTTTGAATGCATGTTGCCTGTCGACATCATAGGAGGAAAACAAAACTTGATGGCTGCGCCAGTTGGCACATTGGCCTTCATCTCTTCTTGCTGCGATTTCCCAATAGTCCATTAGTTTAGTTACCAAAATCACAATATAGATGTCGACTGAAAATAGTATATACCTGGGCCTCGTTTGAAGCGAACGCAATGCAGAGGATTTTGGTTTTGTAGTAGTCGATTTTAGACAGCATCCATCGCTCATCCCACTGAAATGAGCTGATAACGGCGAGTTCAAGTTCGTCTTTTTGCAGAACTTCTTCAATTTTTATGTCGTCTTTTCGAGCGAAGCCCTTGGCCCATGTCTTCTTTACAGTGCCTTTAGCATATGGTAGGCGAACGTTGCTCTTACTAACCGGGTGAGCTGTGAATTCGGGATCGAGCTTTTGTCTTTGCGTGCGACCTTGGCTCTCGGGTTCGGACTCTGGAACCTTTCGCTTCCCCAATCTCGCTAGTCGCTCTTCTTCCATTTTCTTCCTGTCCAATCCCAGAGATGCAAAGCCACTCGGAGTTGGAGAGGGAGACGGTTGAGAGACAGAAGATATTTGAGGCAAACGGGCAGCTTGTGGTTCGTGCTTTTCGTTTCTATGCTCGGGTTCTTTGGTAACTGGGGGGTATTTTGGTCCCTTATCAAGATCGTCATCGTCACCTTCACTATCGGACTCGATTTCAATAGGGGTCTTGGAGGAGGCAGTTCCGGTATCTTGCAAGGATAAGGCTATGGCATAGCGTAGCGCAGCATCCTCATCACCTCCAAAAGCCTCAAGTCCATTCATTTTAAGTTTTAAAAAGAAGTCCAAATGGTAATTTACGTAGAAAGACGAATTCACGCAGACCGCGATGGAAATGCGTATGAACGTGAAATCAAACACGCTAGGAGGTTTAGCTCCGCGCGGAAGCACGTGAATACATAGAGTAGAAATCTTGGAGGCTGACGTCACTACAGCAGATACATAATCAGGTATCTAGGTAACTATCTACGTAACCTCCTACGGATTACGAATTACATAAGCTACCTGCCTAACGATCGGCTCAACGCTACAAGGCTGCCAGGGCAACCAAAAAAAAAGAAGAAAAAAAAAAAAAAAAAAAAGATCTCCGTCACTCGACTGTAAAAGAGAAACGAACTTGTGTCTCTCGCATTTGCTGACATAGTTTAATTTTAAGTAAGAGAATACCCCAAATTTACGGGCTAAATGTGATCACGCATATGGAACAAGGATATTTGATGATATATTGCGACCAAAAAAAGGTCTCTTAAATTTATAGCTCGAGGCCTTAAACGAGTAATCTGTAAGACCAACTGCTTGGATATATCATCAGAAATGTTTTTTTTCTTTTTATGAATTTTTCGTTGTTTTTTGTCCGTGTAATCCAGCGCCGGCGCATCAATACAGATGCCTTACCTTAGGTAATCAACATTCCTAAGCTTTATATCTAGAAGCCGTCCGCCGTTTCGAATCGTTATCTCGTAAGTGGTAAGTAACGAGATAACAAGACGTCCGGAGTGGGGCATTCCTTCGTACCGAGTTCCATACCACCTCTGCGCGCCGGATCTGATCCTCCATCCGTCTAGAATCTGAACCCAAAAACTGACGCCAATTCCGACGAGTAGAGGGGATCCCAAGACTCCAACCGACCAACACAGGCAGGTTTCCGAAAGTTCAAGACATAAATTGCTGATGCCACAGCTATTATCTCAGGCTATACCGAGCCCTCCTCGGCCCTCATATGCTGTAATACATTGTTGGTTGATGAAGGGAAAAGAAAGAAAAGAAAAGAAAAGAAAAGAAAAGAAAAGAAAAGAAAAGAAAAGAAAAGAAAAGAAAAGAAAAGAAAAGAAAAGAAAAGAAAAAGAAGAAGAACAGAACAAGACTGATAATGGATTTCCCTAGACCGTCTTCCTGTATGAAGTCTAGATGTTGGAAATACGCGACGCGACGCGACGATGCCTACCCCTCCCTACGTACCATAGCGGAGTCGACACCGCCTCCCTTAACCGAGGAGAAGAGAAGGAAAATAGTACGTGACGAAAAGGGATTTTAGCATGGAGATAAAGCAAGATAGTGCGAAGAACGGCCATAGCCAAATCAATATCAGCGGAGATCCAGCACCTGCTTACCAACGCCTGTAACACCGGTTCGAGATCCTCAGCCTACAGAAGAAAGTACAGCCGGTCAATGTAACGATAAGGCACGGCTCGGATTGAGTTTGAGTATCCGACGAAGCTCATCTTCCATTACAGTGACCTCGTTGGAGTGGCAGGGCGTGGGTTGCGCATCCACAGGCGGAGTGGTGGGCTGCCCGTTCTGTGCGCTGGCTGTGAGAACTGACATAGGAAACATGCCGCGAGGTAGATGACGTGGTGGGGATTGGCACTGGGCAGACCGGGCCTGTTCAAATGGCTTGCGGTGTTGCGGAGAATGATGCTGAGCAGCTTGATTTGATGGACTAGGTGGTTGCTGCGATGGTTCCTCATTACCACCCAATCGGCCCGTGAAGAGATAACGCTTGAGATCATCACTATAGCCAAAATCTTGGGTTTGAAGTACCTTGTTGGTAGAACGTGCAGAAGATTGGTTTGATCGGGCAGCTCGCATACGCTCCTGATAGGGGGTGGAAAAGGCTGGCCCAACAGGTTCGCCAGGGTTTCCGTCTAATTCCTCTGAGGAAATGCCCAAGACGGTAGCGCGCTTATGATAATGTGGGCGTCGCGTTTGGCTCGGTGTGATGTCGACAGAAAATGCAGAAACATCTTTTGGAGACTGATGAGACGACGAAAGCGGGCTCAAATTTATCATAGGAGCGTGGACTGAAGCACTAGCCCGCCGGGCTTTAGCCTTTTCTTTTTCAGCACGATCGGCACGGAAGAAGAATTCCAGCGGGGACTCGGTGGCCCGCGCCGTCGGACTAGGAGAGCTGGCCTCATCTGAGTCAGATGTGGTACATGAAAGCTCTTGCTCCGGGCTGGAAGAAACTTGGACCCTAGGGGAACTAGGTTCAAACTTGTTAAGAAAGCTTGGGATCGGCAGTGCGGATGGGGCCGGAGAGGCATGAAAAGTCGAGCCTGCGAATATGGGAGCCGAAGGGCTCGAGCACTCCGGGTTGTTTTGGCCCGGCGAAACGATGCTATCATTGGGACGAGGCTGTTTGTTCCCGTTCTTCTTCTTTTTGCTACGAGGTTTTTGACTAGTTGAACTTGCGCGGAACGCCTCGACTCCTTCCGAGATGGGTGTGCTAGGACTTCCATTATGACCGGATTTGCGCCTAGGAACGTCGTTCTCAGAAGCGTACGTCGTTTGTTTAGGGGTATTGCGACTCCGACCGCCCTGACGGCGTCGGTTAGGTGTATGTTTCTGTTCCAGTCCCTCTTGCATGCTTTGGAGGCATAAATATGGAAGAGAAGCAATTCTAATAGTTTAACAAAGATTCGCGAGGCCCGAAGGAGAGTGGGAAACTTCGCGGGTTTCAGGAGATTAAGGTGAGTGCGACGACGTAATGCGGGGCGGGAAGCGACAAAGATGGGAGGAAACAAGGACAATGAGGTAATCTGTTTCGACTACTTGTTCGGCGGTCTGAGTTGGTGGATTATACGGGAGGTCGTCGACGTGTTGAGGAAAAAACTGTTCTTCTCGATGATAAGCGTGACATCCGTCGGCTGGGGTTTGAGGAATTATCAACACCTCTGTACATATTTGTGTTTTGATTGTTGATAGAGGAAGCCATTGTAATTAGATCCTGCTTCGCAGGCAAAACACTTCAGTGTACGGTGGAGTCGCCTTCTGCAGCTATCGTCCAGTCATGAGGCAGGAATCACGTAGGGTAAAGAATGCTACCTAACTTGGATTAAATTAAACAGCCCAAGTATTTAATAATTAATTACATAATCAAAATAGAGCCTGAGGCGGCAGGTCTAGGAAGCTTGGCTTGGCTGGCTAGGCCGGCTAGGCAGCTGCTAGTGGCAAATTTCAACCGACCCAGCTGCCCAGCCCAGTCACTTACTTACCTAGGTAGGTTAGGTTAGGTAGGTAAGTACTTTCCATTCATACGCAAGCTTCCGCAGATTACAGGTACCTAGGTACCTACTTATCTCTCAAATGCTGGAGGGGCATTCATGCAGCTGCGACTTCCAGCTGTCCCGCAACCTTGAAGGCTCCAAAGGATTAAGAAACGGCTTTGCAACTGCCTTTACATTGTCTGTCTTACAATCACTTTTTGAAGGCAAAACAGCAAAGAAGAACAAGACCTTAGTCGTGCAAATCGTTTTGTCCGCTTGTCTTCATACAAAACACGATTGGCAAATCCGCAAGGAAACCTCAAACACCAACTCAGCATTCCTCTAAACCTTTGTACTCTGAACGAACCCGCCGCCTGAACCCGACCAATTTAACCCAATCGGCGATACCACGTCGATCTCTAACGCGATAGCACAACTACGGATTACGGCAATCTTGGACAGATACAGACACCATGGCTGATATCGATATGACCGATGCGCCTAACACGTCGGTTGTTGCCAAAAAGGAGCGCAAAGGCGGTGACGCCGATGGAAAGTTTGACGGGAAGAAACGCTTCGAAGTTAAGAAGGTAAGGAAAAACTAAGCCAGCACTGTCTATAAGGTACCTAAAATATCGGATTAAGCTAATTTGTAACGCCTAGTGGAATGCCGTAGCTTTGTGGGCTTGGGATATCGTCGTCGACAACTGCGCCATCTGCCGAAACCACATCATGGATCTGTGCATCGAGTGCCAGGCGAACCAGGCTTCTGCCGCCAGTGAGGAGTGCACTGTAGCTTGGGGCATCTGTAACGTAGGTTGTCCTTTCTAATGCTCATCTCAGACTTTCAACTAACAATATGACTAACAACATGTAGCATGCTTTCCACTTCCACTGCATCTCGAGGTGGCTTAAGGCACGGCAGGTCTGCCCACTCGATAACAGGGATTGGGAATTCCAAAAGTACGGTCGTTAGGTTGTGGAATACATTTTATCGAGGCCGCTGTCGCACGAGCGAACCCGATCATCGCATCGCCCTGATGTCGTAATCACCGCCCATAATCATATTCACAAGACAACATCCATATCACAGACGCGACAGCTTTAGGATGGTTTCGCGGAACAGATTGTATTATATGGGTTGCGATGCCTATATTAAGTCTGTTTCTGGTACAAGGGATAAATCCGTAGCCACTACGCCTTCGAGGCGGAAATAAAGGAACCATTTATTTCGTGAAAAGCTTCTCGTCAATAACTATGCTTTGCTGTGTATTCGTGATTGTTGGCTCGCCTCCGACAGGGAGCCATTTGACGGGGTGCGAATTGAAGAAGGGCCAAGGAGGGACAACAAGTAGGAAGGTAAGTGCTGTGCCGACCAACCCGATTTTGAGGGCCAGGGTTATGTCTTGGAGAATGAAGCCGGCGAGGAACGAAATGCCCTATTTAATGATGCCAGCGATTAGTAGACTGCCGAGAGAAGAAGTGAACAAGTAGAAGGGTGGGCTTATTCTCACTCCAACAATTGAGAGGACAACTGTTGCTAAAATTTCAGCTAGCTTTTGACCTTCAAAATCCTGTAGGGAATAAATAGTTGGTTAATCACGATGTCGCTTGCTGATTTGATTAAGGTGTGGGCAGAATAAGTCACGAACAATTTGACCATCCACTGCGTCCCTCACTTGATCCAGTAGTTGTTCAGCCATCTTCTAGGTAGGGATATATGATTCGTACTAGTCGAAGGTTGAAGTTATGGTGGATTTTGAAAGCGATCGGTTATGCTACAATGTAAAGTATTAAAGATGCTTACCTGGCAAGTACACGATTGAGGCTGTTTAGGGGACATGGTACCTTATACATGGTATCCAATCAGAAAATGGAGATAATGTATTTTTATGTCGTAGCACATGGGCAAGCCGCAAATGCACTAAGCCTCGACGCCCCGCTTCCATTAAACCACTAATCTTTCTAGTTCAGCGGCATGGCATAGGGTAGGTAGGTACCTATTGAATCGAGTCTTTATTCAACTCCATCATGTTTCTTTTCCTTTACTTCACATTACATCAGGCAATCCAACCTATAATATGGTAATGGAACAAATGTTTCGATTAACTTCGTGAATTCAATATTACCTAACCTCTGATAGAACTTACCAAACTATTAGTGTCGTCATTTTAAATAAATAAAGTGAATAAAAAGCATTCTAACTTATTATATACTATGTACTGCAGTGTATCCAAGTACTTACTCCGTAGAATTTATGGGTCCATGGATCTTAAAAATTCGATCTTTCTTGCAGGAATTTTTTACCTCTTAACTCTGAACGTTAATCCCCTGGCAATAGCCTAATAATTTTTTTTTTCTAGGGCCAAAGCTCAGATAATCAACTAAAATATCAGATGCTTTGAACATCTTCTTTCAACAGCAAATTCTTCCCGCAAACAACAACTCCCATACGTCTTGTGATCCATTTCGTATGCGGTCTACAATTTTCTAATTGAGAAACACTGTTTCGTCAAAGTCTTCACATCGTACGATCCCTTAATTCGCCTTTCAATTCAATACTCCAATCTCGGTATTTATTCCGACTTGCCACATATCGTCGATCCCGACATTGGTCACCTTTAGAAGAAAAACTTAAAAAAACTTCACGTCTATACCTACACGTTATCTAAACAAATTCGTCAAGTTCCATCACAGCCAAAACCTCTCCCTACCTTACACTCGAATAAACACGTACCAGCTAACACCTACTCGACACTATCTAAACCAATTGAGATTCTTAAGGTGTTCTACAAGCTGCGCTATTTCTTCCACTACACCGAGGTGGTCTTTCTTGCGGTAAATACCGCCACCCTCTCAGAAACCACCAAATTGGCGGGCCTCAGCTGCGATCAGTTCTCATTTTCTCGACCGCTTCTCGGCCCTGTTTGCTGGGTCTACAGCGGCGTCAACAAGAAGCCACCTTAACTTTACTGCTGCATCTTCTATTTTGACTTTTTAAAAAAGTCTACCCATTCATTACTTTGTTTACGCGACTTGGTTACCCCCGGAACCCGGCCTAATCAATCTTCGGCACTGGCTCGAATATCAAGCCGAAAATCACCTTTGCAGTCGGCGTGCTGCCACGCCTGCTGCAGGTCACTGATGCTGCTAGGCTGAGTATGTCTGCCTTCCCTTGATCAGCACGCGGAAGGCTTTCCTCGACTAGTTTCAATATTTGGAGGAATTGAGTTTGTCAGGTCAATATAGAGAGAGCCCTTGTATCAGCGGCCTCGAAATACCGAGTAGATCAAGAGGAATACAATAGTCCTACAAAATGTCCGACCATGACGAGATTGCCTCTGGCTCGGGTTATAACACCCCCGTCCCAGAGCTCGATGACCACCGCAACCAGATCTCATCCTCTCAGAAGCTTGAGCGCCCGCGCCGTGGCACCGTTGATACCCTATACGGATCCCGCCAGCATTTACAGCCGGCTGCTCCCTATTCACCATCTGACGTCCGAGTTCGAGATTTCGAAGAAGCAGTACTAGACGAAGATGATGAAGGCGTGTCACCTTTGACGCCTCACAGCCGCAGGCTTACTTTCAACTCCACCAACGAGCAGCAGCGTGCCGTGTCCCCCCCAAATTCAGTCAAAGCGTTTGCAGAGGCACGCCGCCGCGAACGGGCCCTTTCCATCACAGACGGCCGTGCGCAGAAATCTGAGGAGGGTGATACTCTTCAGCGAACCTATTCTTCCACTAGCCGCAACAGCCACCTGAGCCAACGCTCTGGCCGTAGCAAACCTGGCACTTTCCTTGCCGACGACGGAGCAAGTTTAGCAACCAACAAGACTGCTGAGGATGATGTGTGCTTTCCCGTACAAGAAGAGCATCGCCGTGACCAGTTACATATCGACTTCGACTACCTCGAGAATTTCATCGCATCCGAAAATGCCGCGCGCAGGGAAAGCTTCGACGCCCAGGAAGCTGTTCGAGTATTCCCAAATCTAAGACAAACCTCAACAGCTCCACCCCCACCCATGATTACTGTCGATGGCGACTTTGTTAATATTCCGTATGGATCGTCCGATATTGAACACGAGAAGATGTCACAAGCTCCCGAATTACAAGAAGCAACGCCAAAACCGATCGATAAAGAGCACCTAGACCCCAATCGTTTCAGCTTCTTCTCTTCCGCATGGGAATCTACCATTCATGCCGCTGAATTCGGAGATTTGGTTCTTCCTGGCGAGGATCTGCGCGGTCTCTTTACTCTACCTCGAGACGAACCGGATGGTGTCTGGTGGTTAAATGTCAACAGGCCCTCCGAAGAGGAGGTGCGGGCTCTGTGTAAGGCCTTTGGGGTGCATCCCCTAACAATTGAGGATATCACAACTCAGGAGCCCCGGGAGAAAATCGAAATTTTTCCATCGTATTATTTTGCATCATTCCGATCTTTCAATGTCGTCCAAGACGATGATGGTCCCGACTACGAGCCGTACAATATTTATGTCGTGGTTTTTCGCGAAGGTACCCTTAGCTTCAGCTTTGTTCCGAACACCCACGCCTCTCTCGTCCGAAAGAGAATCTCGAGCCTAAAGGACTACGTTTCCCTGAGTAGTGATTGGATCTGCTACGCTCTGATGTGAGTACAACCCAAATTTTGCAATCCCCCAGCATACATAGTCAATGTACTAATTGTTTTCGCAGTGATAATATCGTCGATTCGTTCGCACCTGCGATCGATAGGGTGGAGTCGCTCACTATGTCCATCGAAGACTCGATCTTTGTCGCTCGACCAACCGATAACAATCTGTTCTTGCGCAAGCTTGGCAGTGTCCGTAAGAACACTCTAGCTCTCATGCGAGGACTTGGAGGCAAGGCCGACATCTTGAAGGGTTTCACCAAACGCTGCAACGAAGACTACAAAGTTACACCACGGATGGATATAGGCATGTACCTCGGTGATATCCAAGACCACGTGGTAACCATGATGACCAACCTCACCCATTTCGAGAAGATCCTATCTCGTGCTCACAGCAACTACATCGCCCAGTTGACCATGGATAGTATTACGCAAGGAACGGAGACTAATGCAGGGCTGAGCAAGATTACGTTTTTGGCTACTATTATTGTGCCACTCAACGTCGTCACAGGTCTATTCGGCATGAACGTTCATGTGCCTTTCCAAAACATTGAAAATATCAATGCGTTCCTTGCCATCTTGGGGTGCCTTATCTTCTTCTGTGCGACATGTTTGATCATCGCTCGCAGAATACGGCTTATCTAGAGGATTTAGCTAAGCGGGCGATCTCAAGGCATAGAACCAGTAGTAGGAGATGGGATTTGTGTTTTCGCTCAACCATCAACGTTGTTATGGTCGCGGCTCTCGATGAGGGCATATCTACTTTATCAGCAAGCTCGACTAATGAAAGAATGCCACATTCTAGGTGATCCGAGGCATGTTCACCAATAGACAACCAATACATCTACGAGCATCATTTCAACTTTTCGTCACCGCGAGGCTTACATAAACCAAAATCAAGGTTCATGGAATGGGGACTGACTTCAATTGCGACGATCCAATGTCTGTAATTTTTGAGCAACCCCGGAGGAGTGAGGTTATTACGCGGCGTCGTAGCCTGGCAATATACTACGGAGAATTCGTGCGTAAGGTAGCGAGTCATTGGGACGGAATAAATATTAGCCACAGCATAGCAAATGCTTTTGTCCATACCATGCTTATAGCTTAGGTAGTTGTTGGTAATGCGAAGATTTTCTAAAATAACCACTAGGATCTAGCCTATGTTTTTTTCAGCTTTTCTGTGTTCCAAAAGATTCTATGTTACTGGCATCATGTACGTAACGATGCGCGGTATAAGCCAGCAGGATGCAAGTCCCGTGTTTGATAGAAATTCCACTGGTATCAACAGGTAGAAGTTGGACTGCATTAAAAGGCGATGAGATATCGGTGGTCTCGGATCCTAATTCATTGGATGACCAATGCCAGATCGAATGATTACCTTGCGCCAATAAGATAGTCTTGGGGCTGGAAAGAGTTTCAGCTCTTGCCACTCCCAGACTTTCCACTTCCCCTCTTTCTTGAGCCCGCTGTTTACCATCGTTTTGTATTGAGACTACATCGTTTCGAATTGTTTCACCCCAGGTCCAACAAGCGTACAATCCAGGACTCCAGTTGCTGACGTAGGAATGAACAGATATTCTGGTCCGGAAGACATCTCTTTCGCGCGGGTTTCAGCAGTACTCAAGAAAGATGTATGAAGAAGCTGAAGATACACGTGAAAGGCGTAAGAAATATAAGCAACCGGGCTCGTTTTCAAGGTACATGTTCTAACGCAACTTTCAGCATCGAACACACCTCACTTCATGGTACCTTTCGGCCAGAATCCTGGCTTCGTTAATCGTGAAGAAACGCTCCAACTATTGATGGACCGAATTGACCCAAGAGTAAGACAAGCTGATTGCCAGCGTAATGTGCTTGAGGGTTTTGGGGGCGTCGGCAAAAGTCAGTTAGCTCTCGAGGCTGCTTATCGCCTCCGTGGAAAAGATCCGGAGTTATCTATTTTCTGGGTGTCTGCGATCAGTCGAACAATGTTCGACAGTGACTATCGAGACATTGCAAGACAGCTTGGGCTCGGAGAACACAATGATCCAGCAAATACAAATTTACTTACCAAAGCTGCTCTGGAAAAGAAGATTGTTGGAAAATGGCTCTTGATCCTTGATAATGCGGACGATGTCCAGCTACTTTTCGGCAACGATGATACTGAGGGCCTTGTTGAATATCTCCCATATAACCCCAACGGTTCTATCCTTGTTACTACGCGAACCCACGAAGTGGCCAGCAGGCTAGATGTTTCACCGTCAAATATCAATATTATTGAAAATATGAACAAGAAAGAGGCTCTTCAGCTTTTGCAGAATGGGCTACAACAACGACAGCTGCATGACGTAGAAAGCGTACATGGCCTGCTCGACCTACTAGCATATGTTCCCCTAGCTGTCAAACAAGCAGCTGCTTATATGGCGAGAACGGAAATGACGGCAACTAGATATCTACGCCATTGTCGTGCAAGTAACAATACCCTTGTCGACCTGCTCAGCAGCAACTTTGAGGACCGCTGTAGATATAAAACTCGGAACCCGATTGCAACAACTTGGCTTATCTCGTTTGAGCACATCTCACGGTATAACCCATTAGCAGCTGATTATCTGAAGCAGCTGTGCTTCTTTGGGAACACGAACATTCCCCGCACATTGCTGCCTGAAGAATATGAACTAGAGTCCGACGAGGCTCTGGATGTGCTGAAGGAGTACGCCTTCATCACTGAGCGGGAAGAGTCAGGCTCCTTTGACATGCACCGGCTTGCGCACCTTGCTATGCGCAATTGGATAGAAGAAAATGAAAACTGCTTTGAATGGATTACCAAAGGAATAGAGCTTCTTGACGTCCATTTTCCAGCCCTAGAATATAATAACATCGTCGCCTGTATAAAGTATCTGCCCCATACGCAATTAGCCTTGCAATTCGGACAACATGCCTGGAATAGTGAGGCTGTGTACCGTCTTCTCAGGAAGATCTCCTGGGTTCAGGCTTTCCTTGGATGCCGCAAGACGGCCAAAAAGACAATACGCCGAAAAAAACTAAAAATTACGGAGAATAACCTTCGCAAGAGTTGTCTCCGCACGGCACATGCAAAGGCATTCAGGGGCAGATAGCATCAACAGAGAGGTGTTGCAACTATACGAAGCTCTCCTAGGCCATGAACACCCTTATAGTATTGGTGTTATGAGCCAACTTGCTTTAAGTTTAAGTTCAAGAGTTCAAATGGAAGTTTTAAAAGAGGGGAGAGATGTCTCAACAGGCATTAAAGATGCAGAGGGAAGTATTGGGAGAAACGCATCTATGATAGGTCTTACAACTAGTTTGTTCGATCAAGGGGACAGCAAAACGTCTGAGGGAGTGCTTCAACATTCATTAAATACCCTTGATGAAACTGAAAACCGGAATTCCGTTGTGCTGCATGGTCAAAAGGACGAAACTGCCGAATCAAGACTGTGGGAGGTATTCGAACTTGCGAAAAAGGCGTTGGGTGTGAAGCATTCTGTTACGATTAACACCCTACATGAAGTTGCACCTGTACCTTTGGCCCAGGAGAAATATGAAGAAGCCGAGCTGTTGTTCCGAGAAGCTTTCGAGCTCAGAAGCATGGCAGTGGGCGAAGAGAATCTCCAATCCATTGACGCTCTGCACTATCTTGCCGGCGCATTATACAGGCAGCGGAAATATGGCGAAGCTAAGATACTATACGTACGAGTGATAGAGCTTAAAAGGAAGATGTGGGGTGAAGCGCATTCTAACACGCTTGAAACTATAGGATAGTTTTCCGAGGCACCGTGGGAGAAATGGACTAGTTTATACGCGTGGATGGTGGTGCATTGAATTGGGTACAAAAGAGTATATGGCTATCGGCTTCTGAGACGATCTCTTTGCTGGCAGGGTTAGCGATTGAGTAAAGGTCGAGATATGATGTACGCGTGCTAGGAGTCGCAATGCTATCTACCTAATTTGCAGTGTTGAATCATCATACATGCCTGTATTGGGCTCTAACTTCCTTCGCAGTCGCAAGAGTTGTACGATATACTGTACGTATGCCATTTACAGGCGTTGAAAATAAAAGAACAATATAAATCCTACGATGGTCGGTTAGAACATCCGATCGGAACACCACTGCCGACAAGCAGGTCAGACAGGAGCAACTTCACGTGGCAGTCCACAGAAGTAGGATCACACTTAACGAAGATGGTAAGAATGCCACAAGTGAAGTCATACGACTCTAAACTGTCCTTATTTCCCAAAGATGATGGCACTAAATATAAATCTCGTTAATACAGCTTCAAGAGCGTTGGGAATATACTATATAGAGGCAAGGATGCTGAAGTTGAAAGTGGCGCAGACTATCATGCCCTAGCTAACCTCGTTCTGGTTATACGTGCTACGGCTAAGCAAGAATGGAAGCGCAGCTGTGACGTTATGGCATTTAGGTAGTTCCACGTGGTTGACGCATGGTAAGTAAGCCTTATTGTGTAGCTATATGCCTAGATCTTCTGGTTAGCAGGGGCTGGGGGAAAGGAGGTTAATGACGAATAATAATACTACAGTAGTAATAACTACCTAGGTATGTACCTAGTAATAGTCATAGTAGCTATCACGATCCTTCCACTAGATCTTTGAACCACGCGTAGCATTTGTTTGTCCCGGAGAAGCGATGGCACAACCTCGTCGGACCCGGGCCGGATGCGACGCTTCTCTTATACCCGGGAGGCTCTCGGGATGCCGTCAAGTCCCAAACTGCCCTATCAGGAAGCTACTTTAGCACGCGCCGCTGGGCGACAGCAATCTAGAATGTTGGGAGTCCCGTCGTATGGTTCTACGAAGGATCGTGTCCCGCTTATTTGGTATTTAGTTGATTCCTATTGGACGAGGCGAGCCCAGAGAGGTTGGTGTTAAGTTTAACATGCATTTAAGCCTTGCGAAGACGCTCAGGAGAGTTTGTTCAGCTAGCCGGCTAGCGACGCTCCCTTGCCTTGTTTCCGGCGGGGGCTTTTTGATTATGATCATGGTGACATCGAAGCCATGTGGCATGCACGTAAAGTGGGCGGCGCGGTTGTTCCCATGTCTTAATAGAAGATTCAAAATGCTTCAAATTGCCTCTTATATTTTTTATTTTTTTTATTTCGTCTTGTCTTCCTCGCTGTTTCTGTATACTCCGCTTCGCAGCCTTCACCTTCACTCTTTTGGTGATTGATTTGGTACTCAACATGAAGGCCCCCTCATTGCTTCTCGTCGCAGCGGCGACATGCTCGTTCGGCGCCGCTATACAGGCCCGGGAGGAATCCTTCTCTGAGCAGCTGTTAGATACTCTTGAATCATTTCCTTCGTCGGATCCCATCGTGTCTGAGTTGAGCGCGGCGATCCGAAATTCAAGCGCGCTCTTAGATCAAGCCCCTAGTCAAAACAGTGCTATCAGCGCTCGAGCATCTACCTTCCAGGCGCAAGTTGCGTGCCAATTGCTTCGCTACATCCTCCCCGACTCTTATACAGATGCTACAACAAACCAAACTAACTACGTTACGTTACGAGATAAAAATTGGTTAGTTGATCGTGGTATAGAAAGACTAGGCGATTGTTATGCTAATGCAGTGTTAGGTCGAGTAACTGTGACCTCCCCGCGGCCTGTTTCATTACCCCGGAACATCCTATTCAGGTGGCTGTCGCGCTGCAAGTGATTAGTAGGGTGCAATCCAACTTCGCGGTCCGATCTGGCGGCCACAATCCAAACCCAGGTTTTGCGGGCATTGGCCAGGACGGTGTCACGATCGATACGCAGCGCTTTTCACACCTGAGCTTGAGCGCGGATAAGTCGTATGCGACTGTTGGTGCTGGCCTTCGCTTCGGACCCGTTCAGGAATATCTCGATTCTCAAGGTGTCGCGGTTGTGTCTGGCCGCAATAAGTATGTGGGCGTGTCCGGACTGCTCTTAGGCGGTGGTCATCCGATCATCAACTCCCTCACAGGACTTGCCGCAGATAACATCAAAAGCATGGAAGTATGTGTAGATTGTACTATGCTATTAAATCTATTCTTTATATACTAACGTGCATTTTCAGGTCGTGCTTTCGGATTTCAGAGTTGTTACCGCAAGCAGAACTGAGAACTCGGACCTATTTCGTGCCTTGAAAGGGGGTGGGAATAACTTCGGTAAGATCACTTCTTTCATTTGATGCAGAATCACGAGATAAAGACTAATTTATCTTCTTAAGGTATTGTTACGAAGTTCGAGCTGTACACCAAGATGCCGCGGAATCTCTGGTACCGCAATGCCATCTACGCCGCTTCCGACGCGAAAGCAGTCTTTCAGGCGCTGGCGGAGGTGCAGAATAATATGGAAGAGGACCCCAAAGCTGGTATCCAGATGACCTGTTCCCCTGATGGTTTCACTGTCGCTTTTGTCTACGGCGAGCCTACAAACGACCCTGCTGTATTCGCGCCGTTCAGCAAATTGGTACCGACGTCTGAGAGGACTCCTCCTATAAATGGCACGACTTTGGAATTCATTCAACTCCAAAGTCCACCGCAGCCCGAAGCCAGTCGCGATACCGTGGGTGTTACCACGATTCCTGACGCAGACCTGTATCTGGACCTCTACAACCAATACCTTACTATAAACGCAGCTAACAACGGCACTTCCGCCGCGTTTCTCCTCGTTATCCAGACCTTGGGCGCAGCAGCAGTTCGGGTAGCCGAATGCAACGGCGGAAACGCTCTAGGGACATCCGAGCGAGCTCTCACGCTTTGGAACCCCATCTCGACGTGGACAGACCCGGCCGATGGCAATAAAGTTCACAATGTTCTAACGCAGATCGGAAACTACATCAAGGACCAGTCACAGGCTAAGAACCTGTACGACCCTCTCATCTTCGCTAATATCGCGGCGCACGACCAGAAAGTGCTCGCGAGCTACGGTTCGCAGAACCTGAACTTCCTGCTGGGTGTGAGCCAGAAGTACGACCGCAGCAGCACCTTTCAGAGACTACAAAATGGGGGTTTCCTGGTTTCTAGATCATAAAGGAAATGTCTACTGGTAATACTATGTACATATCAAGTTTTACATATACGTATTAATTTTAATCTCCCGGGGGCACAGGGTTCCTGTAACTCCTTGCCGTACGTAATTTTGGCCCTTTGCACGTCTGTACATGCGCCACGCCGTTACAACATTCAAATAATAGCCGTTGCTAAGTTAGCTGCTAGATAAGGACCTGAATGAGATTGCTTAATGCATACCTTGCATGAACCGTTGCTGGTGTGGGTTTTCTTGGCAATATTTTCAACCTCGCCGAACTCTACCGACCTCACCGATCTAGCCGATTTTCTGACCTCGCCGACCTCGCCGAGGCCGATGGTATGGAGAAACGATACCGAACACAGCCCTCCCCCCCTCCAAAAAAATGGAAAGATTACGTGCGTAACACTTAGAAAAAATCCCCTTAGGGTGTGCCGTGCCGTGCCGCGCCTAGTTCAAGGAATACCACTTGACTGCCGCCGCTTGTTTTAGTGAACAACTTCCAAACAGAACTAGCCACCCTACCTTAGGTACCTAAGGTAGGTACTTAATAGTTCTAAACGGCAGGATATAGGCTCCCCTAATTATCGTCAGACCGACGAAATAAGAGAGCCGCACTAGACCCTAGCTTCTTGCATACTGTACCTAAGGCTCTCTTTCGGCTATAGATGGGACCATCCAAGTAACTATGATTGATCGATAGGATCCAATTATAGGACCTTAACAAGCATGTATGGTAGCATTCCAACATGCCCAACGCCCTTACTCTTCCCAAGCATAGTTAAGCACCGTTACGCTGTAGATCGCTAGGTTTCTCTATTCGCTATCGTAGATCTCCCACGTGTAACGAATTATGATTCGATATGTATAGTTCCAGCGCCTAATAATATTTTCTCTAGGCATCTGCTTTGTGATTCGACTTACCTCTTCGTGCATTTTTCTTTCCCCATTTTCCATTGTAGTGAGTTATCCACGATGGCGGTGTCTCAAGGCAGAGCTAGTGTCAACGCTGATGCGACCAGTGCCAAGACATCTATTCCTCCTGCGTCGTTAGAAGAACCTCTGAACGAAAAGGCGGATCCGAAAGAGGCTGTCGTAGTTGTGAGTGACGATGCTGTTGATATTCCCAAGGCAGTCTACCCGGAGGGGTGGAAACTGTGGTTTGTCTATGTCGCGACGCTCTTGACTATGTTTCTTGTGAGTACCTGATTATCCTTGGTCAGATAGTGCTTGGGCCAATCACTAATTTCTTCTGTTTTACAGGTACCGCTAGACATGGTATGTTTGTTAATTAATACACCCCCGTTTGATATTCCCGTTTGCAAAGATATACTCTTACCTTTCTATCTAGACCATAGTCGCAACGGCCATCCCTAAAATCACGGAGGAATTCCAGAGTCTTGACCAGGTTGGATGGTATGGCTCGGCCTTCTTCCTAACATTAGCAGCCTTCCAGGCGCCATGGGGAACGATATACAAATATTTCCCTCTCAAAATCGCCTACGCCGTCTCCGTTTTCATATTCGAATTCGGAAGTCTGATATGCGGCGTTTCGAGGAACAGCCAGATGCTCATCGCTGGCCGTGTGATCACCGGTTGCGGAGGTGCAGGCATTACTATTGGCACCTATGTTATTATTGCTCGCCTTGTTCCGCCCTCAAAGGCCCCTGCTTTCATCGGCGGTATAGGTGCTGCTTTTAGCATTGCGAGTGTAGCTGGACCTCTGGTCGGAGGAGCTTTCACTGGAGAAGTTACGTGGAGGTGGTGGTACGTTTTGGTCCATGTTTACTGGTGGTTATGACGAAAATCAAGATACTAACAGTTAACCACCATAACTTATAGTTTTTACATTAACTTACCTATCGGTGGCGCTGCGTCCTTCATCTTCTTCGCTTTATTCCCCAAGCCAAGCACACCGCCCCAACCAGTAGCACTAAAGGAAAAGCTTCTAGGATTAGATCCTTTGGGGACCATTCTTGCGGTTACTTCTATTATCTGCTACTTCCTTGCGCTTGAATGGGGTGGTGTGTCAAAGGCATGGAACAGCGCAGACGTGATTGGAACGCTCATCGGCTGGATTCTCCTTGCTATCGCTTTTGGTGTGGTGCAATGGTTCCTGAAAGAGCGAGCATCAATTGTCCCCCGAATCCTTGCCCAACGGCACGTATGTGGTGGTGCAGCTTTTATGTTCTTGTAAGCGGCTTCGAGATGAACGTCTTATTTTAAGTCTGGACTAATTGGGGAAACTACTTAGACTGAGTTGTGCGAACTTCATGATGATTTACAACCTTCCGCTTTACTTCCAATCTGTCAAGGGGTCTAGTCCGACCCTTAGTGGTATACAAGTTCTGCCACTTATTGTCTCTGCTTGTAAGTTCTTCGAGGCCCCTCCTAACACTACCTAACTAACATGAGATTATAGCCGTAACCGTCATCATCAGCGGTATTCTCTTTACGAAGTTCCCCTTTTACCAGCTTTACCTCCTCGTTGGTGCCAGCTTGACTGCAGTTGGTGCTGGATTGCTGTACACCCTTGAAGTGGACTCTTACGCGGGTGCATATCTAGGGTATCAGTTTGTAGTCGGTATTGGCAACGGCGCATGTCAGCAGATCCCTCTTACTGTGGTCCAGGCTTTTTCCAAGCCAGAGGACTTAGCTACATCGATGTCCACCCTTCTCTGTGAGTCAAATTCTCATCTCGGTCTTAGTCATATCTACGAGACACCTCTTATATGAAGCAGATGTGCTAACTATCTTGCTCTATAATAGTCTTCCAGCTCCTTTCTGGTGCTATGTCTGTGGCCGCGGCTCAATCGCTCTTCATAAACCGCTTACTCGCCGCCGCTGCCGTCCGCGTTCCAGATGCCGATCGCGCGACTATTATTGCCACAGGAGCTACTGATCTTCAGCGCGTGTTCCCAGAAGGCCAATTATTGGGTATACGCGAAAGTTATCTGGATGGATTGCATGCGGCATGGGTCATGGCCATTGCGTTTGCGGGCCTTGCTTTGCTGACTGGACTGACGTTGGGGTTCAAGAGAATTGGGAAGCCTCAGGGAGAAGCGCCATCGAAGGTCGCGGAAGAGGGTGACATAAGGGCTGAGGGAAATGAGATTCGGGTAAATGAAGAGAAAGTGTAAGGGGTCTAAGGAAATGCGAATATGAGTCAATAAACTTGCGAGACTTGAAGTTAGAAATGAGTTAATTTCGGAGCGCTTAAAAAAAAAAAAAAGGGAGTTTCAGTTGCTCTCACGAACCCATCTTAAATCCAGCTTAGCCGTAATATCATGCCCTGGTGCTATGTATTCAGGACGGCCGTTAAACTTATGGCCGACGGTGGATCTTTTGATCTGGTAAGACTGGTAAGACTCTTTGAAAATACACCGAAATTTTCTATATTCGTTCATCCGTGAACCGAGTTACCTAGTTCGGCACCGATTCTAGCTAAAGAATGGAGACGATCATTCGACACTATCCAATGCCTGGGCCTAGTATTTATTTATAAACCCTCCGGACGATATCTCTAGTTTAAAAGTTTCGTATCTGCCAATAGAATCAATTGCCGATCGAACAAGGTAGCGTTACTCCCTGGAAGCTACCTCTTATCTTGTATTTATATTCTTCGTGGGGCTCCTAGGTATTCTACGTTTCCCAAATCTCGTTTTTATTTGAAATAAGCTTCTTGGGAATCGGGATAACACGAATGATACGTCCACAACTATCCAACATGCCGACAAGAACAGAAGCACACTTTGATTCCCATATCCCGGACTCTAATTCCACTTCCCCCTCTTCACATCTCACAGTCGTAGCAGTTTCGCGCTCGCGACCGGCTACTCATGATATCCATTCGCAGCCAACGCTCACGGCTATAGTTCGATCACCATCAACCACGCCACTAGTACTTACTCCGGAGAATGGCATCGAGGGGCACAAGTCCGCCGTCCATAATGCGCAGGTATATGCATTTTTTGCCCATCATTATGATTACTGGACGTCACGTCTAAAAATAGAGCGATCCGAATGGGATTGGGCTTTTTGGGGGGAGAATCTGACCTTGAGGGCGCCTGAGGGCATTGATGAGTGGAGCACCCACTTAGGAGATCGGTGGGTATTCTCATCCCCTGACGATGACACGAACGGTGATAACCAAGGAGCTGAGAAAGAAGGAGTCATCCTAGAGGTCGTAGGCGGGCGAAGTCCGTGTTCACGGCTTGCATGGCGATGTGGACAGCCTGCCAGCTGGTTAGCCGAGGCCGCTAAGTCCGGGTTCTGCGGTGTCTACCTCCAAGTCGTGCGTGGAGGCTCCATCGCGCCCGGTGCCACGGCGAAGATCATTCCGACCGATCAGGAAAACACGGTTCCGGCAGCGAGTATTGGCCAGTGTGTATTCTCGCCCATCACCGACCCTGCTACTCGTACGTTGTGCCAACGTATCCTGCGTGTTCCCAACTTGCAAAAGATGAACAGGCTTGTTATTGCTCGCAAGCTTGAGATGATCGAGGATAACGAAGCAGCAGGGAAGAATCGATGGGCTGGGTGGCGGTCGTTAAAGGTCGACAAGGTGGTTGATGAATCTGCGATTATCAAGTCTTTCTACCTGACTGCCACCGATGGAAAGCCCCTGGCATCTTATCTTCCAGGGCAATTTCTCACTATAAAATTGCCCTCTGGTGATATCCGCCGCTGGTCTATTTCATCGTGGTCGCCTTCTTCCTCTACCTCAATTCCACCATTCTATCGCATCACTGTGAAGAAAGGGCCCAATGCCTCTCTTTACCTCCACTCGCACGTGTTACCTGGGGACACGATATTAGCACGCTCACCATCTGGTTCGTTTGTCCCAGACCTAAGCCGGGACTTCCCCCCTCGACAGATATATATCAGCGCTGGAATAGGCATGACCCCGATCCTTAGCATGCTCCAAGCTCATTTTTCTCATCCAGCCTTGAAGAAAGCTCCCGCGATTCTTATACACGTCGCCAGAAATGGTGAACAAAATACCCCCGACTTCAAATCTGAGCTTTCAGACTTTAGCTTATTCCGTATGGCCACATTTTACACGGCGCCCATTGCGGGCGTGGACGTCCAGGGTAGAGACTTTGACCATGTAGGTCGACCGACTTTCGACTTCTTTTCCTCACTTTTGAGTCAATCATATTTTATTGATTCGATGGGCATCACGCCCATTGAATTGTCAGGAAGTCTCTGCAACGCGTACATCTGCGGCCCGCCGAGCTTTGTAGATACGATGCGGGACTATCTCCAACGCTGCAAAGTGCCGCCGCCGCTAATACGCTACGAAACATTCTCTTCAGACTCCTTAAAAATTGATGATTTGTCAGTTTCGGCGGCTGACGGGACAGAACTCCCGGAGGAGTCACTTGTTAAGTTTCGCGAAAAACAAACAAAATGGAAGAAAGCCGAAGCTCTATCACTTCTTGACCTTCTCGAGCGAGATGGTGGAGGAGAACATCCAGAGTCTGCATGTCGAGCGGGCGACTGCGGGACTTGCGAGGCCAAGATCTTGAAGGGAGAAGCTAGGGCGTCGAAAAATGCAGGTAAGGAGGCCAAAGAAGCGAGTGGGAAGGCCGGGACTATGATTAGGACATGTTGCTCCTTTCCAGCCAGTAAGCTTCTGGAGTTAGAATTTTGAAATATCACTACATCCTACATCAAATACCATACCTATTATAAGGACTCCAGGGCATGAGATGGAAAACCAAGCGCGTTTGAAATGACTGATACCACATTCAATTATATAGGTACCATATGAATAGCTCATAAGTTACAACTAACACAATGCGCACCTTTTTAACCTACTTGAAATTCTCGTAGGTTATTCTGTCGTAGGCTCGCATCTCAGCAAAAGATCCGGATGATGAATCCACATCTCATCATCCCACGGCCAATCCATATTCTCCTCATCAGCAACCTTCTTCTCTTCGCCTTGTTGCTTCGTCTTACCATCTAACGAGATACTCCAATTCTCTAAAATTTCAACTACCACGCTCCTCAGTACCAACTCTGCGACATTTTTCCCTAGACAGGTGCGTGGCCCGAATCCGAACCGCCAGTACCGATATCTCAAGTCTCGGCCGCTCTTCTGACGCTCGAGCCACCGTTCCGGCCGAAATCTCTCCCGATCTTCACCCCAGAACGGGTCCCGGATGTTTAGTGCGTACGAGTCGACGACGAAGTTAGTACCGGCGGGTACTTCGTAACCGTCGAGGATACGCGGCGTCGGACAGGCCTGGGGTGTGGAGAATGCGGCAAGCGGACGCAAGCGTGCAGACTCGAGGATACACGCTCCGAGGAGAGTTGGCGTCGTCGTCCACGATGAGAGGAGGTAAGCGTTCCGCGTCGCTGCATCCATCGAATGTGCGCGTATCTCACTGCGCAATGCTTTCTGCACACCGGGATGCGTTGCAAGGAACACGAGGGTCCACGACATGCCGCCCATAGTCACGTCGATGTTGGCGAACATCATCTCGTCGAGAGTCTGCAGGAGCTCCTCACGCGACATGCTACCTTTCTCAACAGCTTCGTACATCTTAATGATAGACGCTTCTCCAGCTTCCTTGAAATTGAGAGCATGCGCATATGCTCGGTCGTTCCAGTCGGCCCAGCGCTGTTTAAAGTAGTGAAGGGCGCGCACAGCTGGTAGAGGAAGGAATTGTGCTATGCGGAATCTAGTGATGCCTCCGCTAATCACGCTTTTGAATAAATCCTCCCTATCCGGGATCAGATCCCGAAGTTCCCGTTCCAATCCCGCGTCCAGCGGCCCATATACGACTCTCGCGACGAAAAGGAACGGAAGCAGTTTTAGGTCGCGCACAGGGTGCAACTTTCCATGCTCCCGGAGCAAACCGCTCTTTGCGCTCAGAGTGTTCATGTATTTCTTGGTGAAGTCTTGCACATCGGCGACATACTTGCTCGCCGAGCGGTGCAGAAAAGGCGCTTCGACACCGGCCTTAACGGCGCTCCAGGACGAGCCGCTGATGAGACCAAGACAGGAGCCGAGAAGGCGCTCCATGAGGTACCCGCTATCATTAGCGTGCGCTTTGATATGGGTGTGAGAGTCGCGAAACACGAGCTCTACGTGAGATGGCTTGGTCAAGACACTTGTAGATAAGTTAGCAATATACTTAATGAAGTTGATGCCTTCGGAGGCGATGATGGTGGTGACATATGAACTGAAGGAGAAATTCTGGATACTTACACCTCACCCTTTATCCCAGACCATAGGCGATAAAGACTCCCATACTCGCTCTCCCACTTGGCGCTATTCACGCGCCCGTTCAGGAATTTCTCGACATTTCCTTGACCATTGGGGAAAACGTATGGAAGTGATGGCAGATGAGAGCCATTCTCAACATGTCTAATTTTGTAGTGGTTCGAAAGTATTGTCTGAAAGTGAGTTGTTAGTCAAGTTTCCGGATGACTGGGATTAGACAGCTTACGTTAATTACGCCAGAAAGTAAGGACTTAAAACATGTCTGTATTGTTTGACTCCGTAATACCAAGATAGAGACAGCAATAGTAGCGAGGATAGTAATAGGTAAAGGAATATGGATAGGAAGGTAGTCCTGTAGAGGATACATCCTACCGATCTATGCAGAGAACTCTGCAAAATACTGTTGAGTACGAAGAATCGTAAGCACCAGGCGGAGATCAGTGAAGAGGTTCCTTGGGTTATGATAAACGAAACTATGGTTTAAAGTAATAACTGTATGCTATTCCTAGCTGAGCATCTCTACGGCTATGTTTTGGCGGATCTAGTCTTAGTGCCGGAAGCCATATCCAGGGGCTGATTCCTCCGAACCTTGGCCTTTGACGCTGGCAATGATCTCGCGTGTGGATATAATTTTCGCAATGGTCACTTGTAATAGATAGGACTATTAATTAATCTTCTAATCTTCGTGTCTCGCAATCGTAAGATACCATGCTTGGTGATAAGATATCATATCTCTAAAATGGTATCGACGTATAGGTAAGTTATTCTGTGCTACACATATCGCCGATATACGTTCCCCGCACCGTGTGAAGGAACCGTTACGGCATACGGAGTCCGGGGCCAAGCGTAAATCGGCCGCCGATCCGGGAACCGAGCTAGGTCTCGGGAGCTAAGTGAAAGACGCACCGCGCCGAAGGTTACGCACAGACTTAAGACATGATGCGCAGTTATCCTTGTCTGCACGTAGCAGCAACTAGTGTCGATATATGTATCGGAGAATTTGGTACGCAGCGAATTAAACGGAGTCAAAACTATATTCAGAACGCGTCAGTTGATCAACTTACACGATGCACTGCCCTAAAAGACTTATAAGGTATAGTGTTCCATCTCCCTGGGCTCGGGTGGAGGTCGGCAGCTAATAAGCATTACGAGAAAAAAAAGGCGAGGGCTAGAGACATGACATGCAGGATACGATTTCAGCAGTCACTATTTATAGGTTACATGTCCGTCTTTATGCGCAGCTGCAGACAAGGATAGAAAATAAGCATAACATCACGTTCCGGTTTTACGGTGTGCCGTTGTGGGCCGAATCCTAATATATGTACAATTCTGATGCCTGTGCAATACGAATAGATGAACAAGCCATTGGAACGGATATTGGTTTAAATGATAATATCTCTTACAGCGCGAGCCGCCGCGCTGAACTCCATTTCTGTTTTATCTGATACATGAGCGTCTTCGTCCTGACCTGTAAGTCTTCCAGCAGAAGGTCGTGAGTGCGCTTAGGAATGTTGTTCCAGTCTGGCTGTAGCAGTGTCTGTTTGATTAACTTGGATACCTGAAGGACGCTTGATAACTCCCTCCCCACTATGTGCATCTGTAAAGCCTGCTGGACCTCGCGGTCGACCTGGTAGGCGCCGAGATGAAGTGAAAGGTCGCCGGATGATCCCCCGGTTGCGAGGCCGCAGATTACGGACGGCATGCATTGTTCGAAGAAGGTAATTACTTGAGTCAGACATACTAGTATAAGAATCATATGCGTAGATGGCAATGGGTCTGCTGAGGGTAAAGTGCGGAGAGCCTCAGTTACGCGTGGAAGAAATTGCGAGCTCTGGTGAAGTACTTCATCAAGCGGCATTGGGGATTTATGTGGCCTGCGAGAAAGCTCATCAAGCTGTGCCGTCCAGTAGTTAACGTCACCTCCGGAAGAATACGGCGTGCTAGGCGTCTGGCCGGAACCGGGACCTTGGTAACTTGATGCTGACGTTGTAGTTGATGAAGAAGTTCCAAATAGTTGTGTTGCATGGAGTTGCTGCTGTTGCTGCTGTTGTTGTTGCTGAGTTGGTGAAACTCGAGGAGACGGAGGAGTCACAAACCGAGGAAATGTCAAGTCTAAAGAAGTTCCAATAACTTCGAAATGATTATCATCGATATCTGAAAAGTCTATATCCTCGAAATTTGATATAAGAGGGTCAAAGCCGGGACTCTGGAGATCATCGCTAATATTATCAAGTAGCATGGATGTCGTCGAATGTTTTCGCTGACTAGTAGGTCCATGTGAGATACTCATAGAATCACTAGCTGACCGATTTTGATGATGAACGCTATAGTTTCCCTCTACAGATGAGGTTGTGAACTGTGGTTCGTTCTGTTCAATCTGTTGTTCGCTGTCGCCAAGTCCGCTAGATAGGCTGGTAGACGAATTCCAGTCGTGCTGTTGTTGCTGTTGATGACTACTGATAGGGCTGTTGATATAAGAACTCATTGACTTGGGAACGCTTGACTTTCGTCTCCTGTTCGCTCTATCTCCTGGCGTACGGCCCATGTTCGACTGGCTATAGTGACATGTTTTGTTGCCGCGCTCACAGCGCTGGCAACCAGAGAGCTCGCCGGTGCACCGAACCTATTGAAGTCTGTTAGCTGATAGTTCTATTTCATACCCCCCCGCGGTGCATCTTTACAATATACTCGCTTACCTTGGAGATATGACAGTTATCGCAGGCCAGGCGCCTTTTGCGTTCAATGCTTGGCGACGCACTCGTCGACGCATTGACAGCACGACCATACATTAGTGTCGTCGTCGTGGAATGCGTTACAGCGAGATATGGAAAAGAGGCTGGTGGGCTTTTTCCTATTTCCGAGTAAAGCGGTAAGACTTGAAGAGACGCTTTAGCTTGCTATTGAACTGTATGGCATGCAGATATCCCTCCTCTGTACAGATTCCCCGTAGGATATAGGAACCACAGAGCTGTAGATTTGGGATTTATTGTTAGCATGACAGGGGTATACTGACAAAGGTACAAGGTACCTGTAGTGATGCTAAAATGCAGACGCCAGGCTGGGCTATGTACCTAGCTTACCTGCAGGGCCTGCAAGGGATAATTTAGACGCCTTCGTTCTTATTGCAGCGCTACATGTAGGTAACCTGTTGTGTGTGAGCTTCTTTGCAGCATCATTGTCTTGGCGCTCCGGAGTCCTGCAAATATGGAGTATGGTGTTAGACGAACAACTTTAGAAAGTGGTATGGAGGATCAGTTTGCTGACAAGATACAGGCACGACGTGACCAGCCATAAGAATCATCTGTTTAATAAAATATTAGCTTACCCTGGCCGTCTTGCTACCTCGCTATTAGTTTAGTTAGGACTACGTTGGGACACTATATCAGGCTAGCCTCCGAGGACGTACTATGTTTAAAATCGGTCCACAGCCACTCCACAATAGCTTTGGGGAACACTAAATAAGGCTTGATTAGGAAATAGCTTTGGGTGGTTTTTATACCTTAGGTACCTACCTACCTCCTTAAAGGACAATTGGGCCCCCTTCGTTGGCCCTTTAAAGGATGCTAACAGACCAAGGGGTAATAAACTGTAGCTTACAATTTCACATGGAGTTAACAATGGTCACTCTTCACTAAACTTAGGTACCTATGAGTGCCTACTGATTTTAGAAATCGTGCATTAGTCTACTTACAAGGATGGCGGTCTACATAGTACTTCCGCGATGCCACATTTTCGTCATCCAAGATGGAAAAAAGGTCCTTCAGGGGTCAGCTACGAAAGTACACGGCTTAAAAGGCTAATCAGGTACTTAACTACCTATCTTAGGTACTTTCCATAGTAGGTAGGTGGATAATGATATTAAGTGCATAGTCATTTCTGGACTCTAATTCTAGGTAAGTCTCTTGTTTTTACTTCAAGGGTTTGCAGCCTGTTTGAGCTCTTCCACCCACTTCTCAGCCTCCTGTGACAAGTCTGGATCGTATAGCCAACGTAACTCTCCTCCTTCCCCACGTGTAAGAGACTGGTCGGACCAGATAGCGCCCGGAGGGAGTTTAGCTCGCTCCAATTCTGGTAGACGTTTCGCATTCATCTGCTGAGTTAGGTCAAGGACTTTCTTAACTCGCGCTTGGCGATAGGACTGCCACTGCGCGGTGGCCTTGTCTAGCGGCACCTCAGGCGAGAGCTTGGAGAGCAGAGTGGCCAGTGCTCGCACGTCCTCGAAAGCCTGGTTTGCACCTTGACCGGCAGTTGGGGGAATTGCGTGTGCTGCGTCTCCAACTAGGATGATTCTCTTGGACTCGGACAGCCACGATGCTAATGGCGGTATGCCATGGAACGCCCAAAATCCCATCCGGTCCACAGGTGTTGCCTCTAGAGCTGACTGCACAATATCTGGCCAGTCAGACTTATTCTCTTGAAGCATATCATATAGCTTTTGCTTGTCTTTCCTCAGCGCTTCCCAGCCCGCTGCGTCCAGCTCGGGAAATCGCCGCTGCGAACCAATGAAAAGCTCGGAACCGTCCGGCTTCTGGGGGACTAGTAGAAACGCGCCCGGCTTGGCCATGACGGTTGCAGGTAAGCTGTAACCTTCAGGAATGCGAAGCTGAGATCTCCGCACGACGCTGTTGATACCCATAAAACCAGCGTATATAGGCTTTACCTGGGGTAAGAAAGTCCCACGCACAGTCGAGTGGATACCGTCGGCTCCGATTAAGAGAGGAGCAGACGCCACACGGCCGTCCGCAAATGTAAATTCGACCTTGTCTGGGCCGTCAGATGTGATGGCAGTTAATTTACTATCAAAGTGGATCGGGATGTTGCGCTCCCGCAGCATGGCCCTCATCTCATCCAAAAGTTCTTTACGCATGATACGGATGGCATGGTAGCCGTATAGTTTCTCTGAGCCAAAGTAGTAGACATCAGTGGTCTGGTCCTGGCCATCCTTGAAAGTTAGGACATCGAATTGCAGTGAGTTATCGCGAACACGTTTGTAGACGCCCACGCTATCAAGGACCCGCAGGGCATTGGGCGATAGCATGATACCACCCCCTTGGTCAAAATCCGCGGAGCGGGCCTCATAGACCGTAGAGGGGATATTCAAGTCATGAAGCGCCAGAGCGAGGGTTAGACCCTACGATTAAGGACATCAGCAAAAACAGAAGTCATAAGCATAGAGATGGCCATAAGATGGTGCAAGAAGACGGCGCAGATCGACGCTAATCGACATGAAAGGCCCAGGGGCAGACACCAAGCTACTTACGGCAAGACCTCCGCCAATAATGGCCACTTCGGCAGGAGGGGCGGTGAGAACCATGATGAGAGGACGACGTGGGTATAAGAGTAAAAGAGATAAATCCTAACAGAGATGACGAAATGTGAAATGCCACGATGGGTCAATCAGAAACAGATGAAAAAAAGAAGTGTGAGCAAGATATATTGTTATTAACCTCGCTACGACGCCGCCTTAAGACACCAACAAACCCGCCGAATTTTGTCTTACAACCTCGCCGAGCCCTTCTATTCGCTAACCTCGCCGAATTTGATTGCCTACAGGCAGAAGCGGGGGGGTGAACAAAGAGGGGAAGCAATGGGGAGGACTAGTTACCTACCTAAGGTACCTAGGTATTGTTAGGTTGGTATCGTTCTTTATATAAAGGAAGCCTTACGGGAAAATTACAGGAGTTCCTTGATTAATACGTACATAGGTACATCCTGTTAACAGCTAACCGCATAGGAAGCTGGCTTAGACGCTTTGCCATTGGCTCCGAGAACTTATCACTAGCGCGGTGTACCACGGCTAGGGCTACCGGCGTTTGGGGGCGGGGCGAGTACCTACCTAAGGTAAGGTACCTCAGAATGTATATAAGACGAGCATTAGCATAGGCTTTTGCATACCATATCTATAAACTCATCACAGAATAAGTCTATGCTACGAATAATAACCGGTAAAGTTAAAGGAAATAAGGGAAAATGATATTCATAGTCGCAAAAGGCATGATTTAGTATTTGTACATTATGTACTTGATGTAACGGTACTCGTGAGTTGTGACAAACTAAAATTGATACCGGATGGAGAGTGTTGTAGGTCCGCTTTTATGAGGCTGAACGAAAGGACCGATTGGAGCTGGATGCCCTGCACTCCTTCAATGTTATACACTAGGAGCCAAAAGTGGCGTCTAAATTGCTTCGCCACGGTTCTGCATAATACCTCTTTGTACCCTAACATGTGAAGCAAATCCGCAGGAATTAGTATATGTCCTTCAATCGTAGCGATGTGACAATTTGACAAAAGTGACAATTTAGGTAATTCAGGAGGTATACCTTCGGATAAACACCATAATCATTGAGTAAACAACCGTTAAGACAAGTAAAGGTATCTTATAAGTGACTCCAATAAATTCAGCTGTTACGAGGCGACCAATTAAAATAATCCGTCACCTTCTTCTAACCCATTCTTCCATTCTTCCTGTTATATGGCATGGGTATCATAATACTAACCATCCTACCATCAATCAACATTAGTGCTCCACAGTCTGAGCGTTACTGCACATAGGGCCTCGTACGGATCCGTACCTAGATCTGTTTTGCTTAGGGTCTGATTTCACAACATTTGTAGAAAACCACGTGGTGACATTTTATAACCGGAATTCGTCTGTTCCCCTGGTCCCTTTCCGCTCCACCTACCTAACTAAGACTCCGACAAGATATACAAATGCTTCAATCTTTTCCTAGTGCAGAACGTGGTCCGATAAGGATCGAAAAGGAGGAACTAAAGATCAAGCATGCCCATACCACGTTACTAATAAGAATACAACGGCAAACAAGAACATTGCAGGAACTTTGAGAGCCGAATCCTAGGTCCGAAGATACCGATTAACAGGTACCTATAAAATAGTTTTTCTACAAAAAGATCTTCAGGTTGATTGTGTAATTGCATAAGGTAAACTGCAATATAAATAAGACGAGCACAATAATAAAATAATAAAAAAGGTAAAAGAAAAAAAAAAGAGAAAGAGAGAGAGACGATTATACAATGCATGGACCACATTCAAACAAGAAGCACCTCCAAAAGTACTGACAGACACACCGCTGAGCCAAAAGTGTATTTCTTAATAGCACAAGTGCTATTACAGTCTATCTGACCATGAGTGGTATTACCACCTCATAAGTACCTTGCCGTAAACACAGCAGTCCGTCATAATGTAACACACATCTGATTGTGCCACAAACCCCAGAAATCGTTAAGAATGCAAGTGTATCATTCGGGACATTCATATGTCCTCATCGCACCCCTATAGGAAGTTGTTGAAAATAAAATAAAAACGTGGCGAAGGATCAATTGCTCCCAATCCCTCCGTCAATCGGATTTTGCTTTGGTAATGCTACGTTGTGTGCGAAATACGGAAGCAAAAATGCTACTTAAACCCCTTGCGCTAATGGTCAATATTACGAGGCCACGATATCTCAATACTATAATACTACCTGGATTAGGTAGGTAGGTAGGTAAAGGTATAGCCTCGCCTCGCCGACGAAACCGATTACCTAGACCAAGACCAACTTTAAATCGGGAAATCCTATTAATAGGGCCTAGTTAGTACAAGCGCCACGAGGAAACTATATACTAGTTACGTATAAGCAGGGTTACAAAGTACCGTAACAAAGACCTTTCATCCCCAGGTCCGTAGGAATGTGTGAACAGATTAGTACCATGTATAGTTGCTTTAGGTTAGACAGGTACCTAAGATATAGGCGTCAATTATTGCAGAGCGAGCCGTAGATAGACTCTCCATTAACGCCATGATAGGATTACGGGCTAAGCTGACGCCTGCGCAAGCTTCAGCTAACAGTAGCTGAGGGGACCAGAGGATATCTATCCAAGTACTCCCAACCCCTCTAGTCCAATTACTGTGATATACTTCCCCATCCAAATATCCAATCTATCAGAGTCGTTCGTTTGGTCGGTGGTCCGTTCGCCCCCTCGCATATCTGTCCCCATTGCTCAACTACACGATGAGCAGCCCAGCAGGTGCAGCCTCAGGCGGTGCGTCGCCGGCCGTCCCATCAGTTCCGACGGGGCCATTCATCGACCCGGCGAAAGAGTCTTTGCCCCCTAGAGCCGTACTGCTGGTAACACCCGTCACGATATTTTTTATTTTGGCGATGCTATGTATCGGGCTTCGACTTTGGGCGAAGCGTATAAAGAAGATACCGTTCCGGTTGACGGACTACGCTGTCCTCGTTGCTGCCGTCTTTTCTGTTGGGTATCTCGCTATCTGCTGGCTAGGTAAGAATTAGATCCGCTTTTGCTTTCCTATTGTTCGAGATCGATGGACTAACTGGTGACAATAGTTGTTGAACAAGGCGGTGTTGGTTTCCCGCTTGTACGAGTAGCTCCCCCGCAGCGGACACTTACACAAAAGGTAAAATTCTTTGTCTACCACTATGTACCTATGTTTCGTCATTTAACGTCTACTAACTCTATTTCCAGTCCTTTGTCGTAGCTTGGCTCCTGCAAGCATGGGCCAATACCTTTGTGCGACTGTCCATTCTCGACTTCATCGCGCAGGTCTTTTCCGTGAAGAAGTTTCGCATGGTAGTCTATTTCTTCGAGGGATGCGCGATCGCGTACCTGGTCGGCTGCACAATCACCTTCTTCGCGATCTGCAGGCCCATAAAGTACAACTGGGAGATCGGCCCTGCGGCCTTGCAGCACTGCGGCAACCTGAGCTTAAAGTTCCTTCTCAGTTCCATCTTCAACCTCATCCTTGACGTGTGCATCTTGGTCCTCCCAATGCCTATGCTATGGACGCTGCAGTTGAACTCGCGCAAGAAGATTGCTTTGACTGTAGTCTTCGGACTCGGTATATTGTAAGTTACAGGGCCACCTTATCTACTCGCATCTAATGACCTATGAAACTAACGATTTCTATTAGTGTTTGCTTCGCTACCGCGTGGCGCACATACAACGTGGTTCACTTTTCCACACCGGAAGCCAAGCTGAACTTCACCATGACAGTCGTCGAAGACGCGTTATGGTCCGGCCTCGAGATCAACCTGGGCATCATCAACGCGTGTCTCCCCGTTATGCCCGCGGCCTTGCAGCGAATCTTCAAGATTCCTTTTCTTAGGCTCATCTCCTTCTCAACGTGGCGACCCGCCAGCGGCTCCGATGTCTCGGGTATGAGGCCGACCTGGATGCGCCTCAGCGGAAACAAGGGCGAGAAGAGCGGAAGCATCTCCCGCAAGGTCGAGTACTCGGTCGACATCGAGTCAGCACACCCTATGGGTAACATTCCTATGGAGAATATGGGCTCCACGGCAAAACTGGCTGAGAATCAGTGGCCGATGCATCATCAATACACTGCCACAAATCAGTTCCAGCCTAGTGGACAGCCTCAGGGTCTTCAGGATCAATATCATTAGCATCAACGATGATTAGATGCAAACTGATAAAGGGGAAACTGGGAGGTTTAGGTAATTGGGAGTGGCGAACTGGTTTGGAGCGGGGATTTCATTTTATTGTACAATACCTACCATATATCCTGTACATATACGTCAGAGAGCTACGCAATAGTTGTCACAGTCATGTTTTACGTCGGTAACTGCATTTTACGAAATTCTACTTTATTTCCACTTAAAAGTCCCCAGAGTGTTACATGGAATGTGTCACGTCGCAGAGCATGCAGTAGGTAAAACAACTTCGTTGTTCCGCAAGGAACTCTAACTACAGTTGCTTTGAAGCCAACATTATATACAGCATAACTCCTTTGTTCCAAGGAGTCTCAAGTGAGACTCCTGACAGAATGTGAATATCTAAACTATTACGCTGCTCACGAACAAAAAAAGAGTGATCGCTTCATTTTCTTGGTATTCGCTCTCTGATATTCACCATACTCCTAAGACATTATACAGTAGGTTTCCCTTCCTCGTCATCCACCACATACATGTGAATCTTCGTCTTGTCCAAAAATGTCCTCTCGTCCGCATCCAACCTAGCCTGGTTCTCCGGCTTCTCCGCGATCTCCTTCAACCTCAAGAACCCCTCCCTGTTCTTGAATTCAAGATATCCGATGCCGTCGTAGCTGATTTCTGCGGGGCCCTGTACTTTTTCAGGGTAGTGGTGGATGTGGACGTCCGGGTAGGCGTCGCCGGCAACCTCCTTGAGTAAGTTGAGGTGCTTATTGTCCCAGTGGTCTTTGAATTCTTCGAGGGTGATGCCGGGCGCCTTGACGGCAAGCATGTATACGCGGAAGACCATTGTGGTAGTAATGGATGGAACTTTTTCTTTTTTAGGTTGGTATTGTTTTGAGTGGATGATGGAATAAGGTGATTTGGGTATCCTCGAGAGGGAAGGATTGTCTATGAGTAGCGAGGGTTGCTATAAAGGATATTGGTCGGAATAATATTGTAACTATACTAAGCGCTAATTAATGCATCATTGAGACGCAAATAAGAGGGCAAGTATGAAGGAGTATACCCTGTGATACTAGTAGGGGTATCGATCCTAATCGCCGTTAACGTGCCTGTTCCTTCATTGCGCTAGCCGATGCCCCTCGGTCACCGATTACCGGTTATAGATCTAATTAATATGTCTTAAAAGCTTAGCTAATTGCTAAAAAATCGCGGTGATGCCGACAGCGCCGAATGAGACGAAGGATTGCTCGGGATGTCGGCGCGGGTGGTGAGCGACTCGCATGAGGCGTGAATCGTCCTATGAATGTAGGGATGTAATTGATTACCAAACCAGTCCTTTCACTGGTAAAATTTTACAGCAATGGAGATGATCAAGTGTGATAATGTTTGATGTTTGTTTCTTGAGGCAATATGATATTGGAGGGGCAAATAGGTAATACTTGAATATTAAATTTATCAACTCTCTACGATAGCATTACAATACATAAGATACCTAAGACGACGCCAGCATGCTATCGGCTACATTAGTGGTCGTTGCCTTGGCGAGTGCTTTGTTGGCGGCATGGTTGAAGGAGAGGATATCATCGAGAAGACGGTTTAAGGGGTTACCGCGCATTGGAATTGATCCGGGCCTATTTGGTCTGCGGCTCCAGGCTGCTAAGGACGAGTTTTATAAGCGCGGACAACAGTTACTAGAGCAAGGTTATGAACAGGTATGCTACAGACGCTTGTCGAAGTTCAACTATCAAGTATTCCTTGCTAACTAGACGATCGCTACAGTACAAGGACACTCCATATACCATCCAAACATGCGACAACGAGCGCCTCGTAGTCCCAGACAAGTTTATCGAGGAGCTAAAGAACCTTCCGGACAACCGGATTAGTTTCAAAGAAGAACTCCTGGATAGATTTATGGGGAAATACACCAAGCTCGATGCAGTTCGAGGAACAACTATTCATCGGGACATTGTCAGGCATCAATTGACCAAAAACATAGGTATTACATTACTACTTCACAATTAGGAAGAAAGGAGATATACTAATAACTCTACAGGACATTTGCTACCGCAGATGAAAGAAGAGGCAGAGCTAGCTCTCAAAAATGTTCTTAGCCAATGCAATTCAAAAGGTAAATCTCACTAATTCTCCTCAACAGTGCTCAGTGAAAGCATTACCGCAGTTAACATTATTAACCTATCTCCAGATTTTACTCCTATAAAAGCATCGTCTCTCATCTTCGCCGCAATCGGCCAAATGACTTCCCGCAGGGTTACTGATGACCCCGCCATATCGCGAGACCCGGTATGGCTCGAGACAATCATGGGCTTCACCGCGTCCGTGGCCATCTTCTCCATGACAATGAGACGCATCTCGCCTACGCTCCGTCCCATAGCACAGTACACCCTGCAATGTGGTCGGAAGCTTCGCGCCGATATTGCTCAAGTGACGAAGTTCCTGACTCCCGTGATTCAGGCTCGACAGCAACAAAGTAGTGGGGGGGAGAAGGGTGACAAACTCGATGATCAACCAAAAGATTTCGTCCGTTGGCTCTCCGAGGCCGCTGAGGGTCAAGACGCCCGACCCGACGCCATCGCCCTGAAGATTCTGTTTCTTATCGTTTCGTCCATGCACACGAGCGCCATCACCGCAATCCACATCCTCTACGATATCTGCGCTCACCCGGAGTTCATGGAGGAGCTGCGTGCCGAAGCGATCGAGGAGATCGGTGCCAACGGCTGGACGGAGACTTCGCTGCTCAGGCTGCGCAAGATGGAGAGCTTCCTCAAGGAGAGCGGTCGGACCAACTCTGCTGGTGTGGTCTCTTTCCAACGCCTTGTTCTAAACCCCATCCGTCTGTCCAACGGGTTTACCATCCCGGCGGGCACGCATATTTGCGCCGCATCTGATGCGCGGTCGCGCGATCCCGCACTCTACGAGGCGCCTCTTGAATTCAGGCCGCTGCGGTTCTATGCACCACCCGGTAAGGCCAACGCGGAGATTGACACTGCAAATCTGTTCAGCTCCGTGGCGGCGGGAGACTCCTGGTTCGGAGCGGGGCGACAAGCTTGTCCGGGACGGTGGTATGCGAGCGCGCAGATCAAGCTCGTATTATGTTTGCTGCTAATCAACTATGAGTTCAAGTTTCCAGAAGGACAAAAAGAGAGGCCGAAGAATTGGGTCAAGGACGAGAAGACGGGTCCGGATATGGAGCAGATGATCTGGGTAAGACAGAGGACGGCTGCTTGAGATAGCACCTCTAGGTATGGGTAGGTAGGCGAGATACCAACTGTTTGAAAATATAAAGTTGTTAGATTTATACAAACCTTAAAAGTTTTGCATTTAATCTGTTATGCCACTACGAGCAAATAATATGCTGTAAGAATACCTTATTCGAGATAAAGATTAACATGACAAAAAAAAGACTTGTGATAGGAAACTACGAAAATGGTATCGCATCCCTACCATAAAGCGAGCACAGCCTTAACTCCAAACGCCATGGCGATCAGATTTTCGTCAACTAAGCACCCACCGACTGTTCCTCATGCCAAAGCCGCGATAGGGGTACCGAATTCCACCACTTCGATACCGGTAGAGGTGCTTCCATCTCCGTCCGAAAACCCCTCAAATCCAACACCCGAAAGTTTCCCTTCCAACTCCCCAAGAGTACCAGATGTCGGATTCTCACATAAATACCTGAACCCAGCATCGATTCGCGCAACAAAAAGCCGCACCTCATCCGACGAGAAATTCGCCGTGTCGTACTCCACGCGCAGTGTCACTGTCGACGAGCTGATAGCCGAAAACTCGAACATGATACCGAACTTGGCGCCGTTTGCCCAATTGACAAGCGGTTGGATCCCCGGAATAGCAGACGACGAAGACTTCCCGGTGGTGCTAGGCTCGTGGAACGTGACCATGGCGTCGAAGAGCGGGTTATTAGGAATCGCGGTGGCCGCGGCTGCACGCAAGTTTTCGTCGTCCGAGGACGAAAGGATCTTCATTAGAGAGCTCCACTCGACGGCGTGGCCGAGAGCGGACCGCGAGGATTGTTGCACAGCCTGGAGGAAAGTCGTTAAAGGAGCTTCTTTAAAGTCGTCGTCATCATGTTGGTCCGATTGTCTCCGAATACGAATCGGAATAGGTTGTAAGAATAATCCGACAGTGCGCATGTCATCTTCTTGTCTCCCAAGGTAAGGACTGCCGAGTACCAAGTCTTGCTTTGTAGGGCTATCGATCTGAAGCACCAATGACACGACCGCAAGTGCGATCTGGTGTAGAGTTAGGCGCATTGATCGCGAGACGGTCTGAAGGCTTGGCATCGCGTTCTTCGAGAGTCGAAATAAGAACGATTCGCCGTAGTATGAGGTCCGAGACGCTCTCATGTAAGGAGATATTCCTGTAAAGTCGACGCCGGACAGGTAGGACTTCCAGAAATCTACGGTAGCTTGATCGACTTCGAGATTCCAACATGTCGTTTCCTGATAACGTTTCTGAGTGACTAACGGCGATTCTTCTTTATCAATATTAAGATACATGGAAGTAAGCTCCTCGAAAAGGCAGTCCAAAGTGGTATAGTCGCATATAATATGGCTCACACAAACCAACATACGGTCTTTCGACACTAATACTCGGATTGGGTTTTCTGTCTCGAGCGAGAACTCCTTGTTGATCTCGGCGCGGACGTCGAAATCCTCCGTGTATAGAACTTTAGGAGGCTCAACTGCATAGGACCTCTCCACACTCCCATTTTCAGATAATCGAAACCTGCAGCGCAAGATCTCATGTCTTGCAAGGACCGTATTCCAAGCTGACACTAAGGCTTGGTGCTGGTCAAAGAACGCATCAAACTCGGAGACATGGGAGACGTTGAACGACGATGTCCCGAGGTTTTTTTGATACTTCAAAAACCAGTCACGCTCGATGGGCGATACCCCGTGGTCTCCGAGAGTCTTCATACTATCGTAAACAAGATTCAACGGCTGTCTTGATATATTTGCATCGAGTTGAGTCTCTTCTCCGCTCGAATCATCAATGGCAGATGCCAGACGTGATACCACAAGGTTTTCAATGACTTTTCGTACAGGAAATTGTCGCTGAATCAGTGAGGATATTCGACTGGCCAATTGGAGCTGCAAGATGGAATGGCAGCCAAGTTCCGTGAGATTGGAGTCCTGGTCGACAGAAACGCTCGGATCAAGCCTCATCAAGTCGCGAACGACATCCGCGACCTTCTTCTCAGTTGCGCTCATAGCCCTCTTTTGATGCTGGGGCACTATCTTCGTATCTGCAATACTTGCGTTGATAAACTTTTCGATCGCCTTATAATCAAGCTTGCCCGCCGCGGTAAGCGGGAACTCGTCAAATGCGACGATCCTCCGTGGCATAGCATATGGTGGCAAAGCGTTGCTGATGTATGCCTTCACGTCTATTGCGTTGACTGCATCACGCGATGTAGTTTGGTATGCCGCTACTAAGTGGTCGTCGCGTCGAAAGATAGCAGCACCTCTGCATCCAGGAATGGCCTTTACAACTCGCGCTTCCAAGTCGTCAAGGTCGAGTCTGAAGCCGTTTAGTTTAATCTGCCTATCCTTGCGCCCAAGGATGCAGATCTCCCCAGTCGTGCTGTTCCAATAAGCGTAATCGCCAGTTCTGTACATCTTCTGACCCGTCTCAGGCATTACCGAGTCTTCCAGGAAGCGACTTGCGTTCTGCTCTGGCAGCTTGATATACCCACGCGATACTTGTATACCCGCGATGTACAACTCGCCTACCGCGCCGGGCGGAAGGAGGCGAAGATTATGATCAAGGATGTACACCCTGCTCGAGGGGTTCGGCCGACCAAGAGACACAGCTTGATTCGGAAACAGCTGCTTGATTGTCGCGCCGCAAGTTGCCTCTGTTGGCCCGTACATATTATACAACGAGCGGTCCCGAGCCCAAGACTCGCAAAGGGACTGAGGAACAGCTTCGCCAACAAGGTAGACCTGAAAAACGTCAGTTTCTCACTTTTTAAGCGACGGAATATCTACGTACATGCTTAAGCCGAGGATACTGGTTTGGATCAAGTGCCTTGGCGATGGAGGGAGTTAGAATGGCCGCATCGCTATCCCGCAAATGCGAAAAGGGGTCTCCCTGATGGTTGGGCGACGCTAACCGCAACGTGGCGCCGTGGGTCAATGCGGAGAAGATTTCGTGTATGCTACCGTCGAAGACGGGGGACATTATCTGCGCGATAACGACGCCTTTCGAAGCACCTAGACGAACTGCTCGGTCCTTCTGAAAGGCCACCAGACCTTTGTGAGTACATTGTACGGCCTTAGGCTGCCCCGTCGAGCCTGAAGTGAAGCAGATGTAGGCGAGATCGTCCGGGCGGGCAATGCGCCTCCTTGGATAATATGCCGAGAAGCTATCGCGTGCCTGGGTGTCATTTGTCGCGAGTAGTTCATCAACAGCCAATACCAAAGATTGAAAGGGGGTCGCATCCTCCTCTTCCTCTTCCTGCCGCGATGAAACAACCTGCTGAGAAGAAGCACGCGAGGGAACAAGCACAGCGCGCGCCCCGCTCCGAATGAAATTCGCACGCCGCACGGACACTGGTGCCGAGGGGTCTAGGGGAGCGTACACGCCGCCCGCCTTCAGCACGCCAAAGATGGCGACGAGCCAGTTTACCGATCGGTCGGCATACACGCAGACGGCTTCGTTAGGTTCAATCCAGCTTAATTTACGCGCAATTACACCTGACGCCTGATCTAGCTTGCCGTAGGACACTTTGACTTCCCCGTGGATAACTGCGAATTCGTTAGGCTGTCTCGCTACGACGTTTTCGAAGAGCGTCACTAGGTCGTCCCCCTTAGACTCGTCCAAGGTCTCGGGAGAGGCGCAATTACTCCATGCTCTGATTGTCTGCTCCATCTCATACGGAAGTAGCGCATCGTTCATGCGCCACACTAATTGTTTCTCATTTTCATTTTGTAGAAGACAGTTCATACTGTTTTGGAATACGGACCGCAGATTATTCATGTCTTCATCCGCGAAATGCGCGGTCGAATAAAACATCTGTAAGCGGCATTCATCCTCGATAATGATGTTGAGAGGAATTCCCGATCGCATGTCAGGACGTTTTCGATCGACCGGTATTGGGCTTGGTGATTTCTCCTCATCGCATTCGAATTGCGTGGCCATGATGGAATGGAACTTCCTATCAAATCCCTCCGTACTGTCCGAATGCTGAACATTGTTAAGGTCGAGAATATCGGCGTGAATACGTCGTAGGAATCCTTCTACGGAAATCTCGTCGTCTTCCTCTGGCACATGTAGGAACAGCGGCAAAATGTTAATCAGGGGCCCGACGACGTCGAATGCCCCAGGAATCGGTAAGTCGCGCCCCGAAAATACCATTCCAAAGCAGACCTGATCAGCATCCATGAGCTTTCCAAGAGTCAGGGCCCATGCTGCAGCCAAGAATACCGTGGCGGTATATCCCGTCCGCGCTACGGCCGCTGCTAATTGCTCGCTGGGGAATTCGATCGTGAGAGACTTCTGTGGAGATACTTCCGCAGCCTTCACCACTCTCTGAGGACTTAGGCGCAGCTCTCCAATTGCAGCAGGGAATTTCTCCCGTTTGCCATCCCAGAAGCGTCTCGTAGACTCGCTTTTTTCTTCTCGCAAGGCTTGCAGCGATCGTACCGTCTCCTTAAATGACGGGCCCGCAGTGATGCCGAATTCCCCTCCTCGCAAGGTACGTGCGATTTTATCGCGCAGGATACGAGCAGAATACCCGTCCATAAACGCATGGTGTACACGCCAGATAACGGTAGTAGTTTTCGATGTACTGTTTGATTCCGATGATGTAGAGAATTGTACGACTGTAAGTTTAGTTATGGGACCTACTGCGTTAACCGCACTCCGAATTTCTCTCCGAAAACCATCTTCGCTCTCAACTTGGACGATCTTCCTGAGCAAAAATTGCTGTGGTAAGACGTCTAAGTCACGAAGAAGGTCCTTAAATATCGGCTCCGCTAGAATCGTACTCGCCCACGCGTCCCAAAGGACTTGGGCATCCCAGTCACCCGCGTAAGATTCGTGTATGGTCAATATGTTCAACTTCTGATTCTGGGAGGTTTCGCGAAGTAGGAGTAACTGCGGCTCCGTCCATTCGTCCGGGTCAATTTTGCTTAGGAGACTTTCCACCGTGACGATATTCTTTCCATGTCTTAGCTGGGATGAGTCTTCAGTTTCTGGGTCCGGTGTCGTGATCGTGGTATGTATAGATGAAGCGTCATCGCTGCTGATATCACCTTCGGTATTGTCGCTGGTATCTTCCGTTACTATGATAGTCGGAATAGGCGTTGGTATACGCTCAGCCAAGCCTGCAGCTGTCGTTATGACCTCATTCACGGTTGATATCCGCAAGAACACACCAGCTGGTATTAAAATTCCTTTTCTTTGGCATTCTGCACAGATGAGAATGGCGGATAGCGAGTTACCTCCAAGTTTAATAAATGTTGTGGTATCTGCGGTGGAGTGGATCTCATCCACACTCACGCCGAGCACGGTTGAGATCGCACGGACGATGATCAAGGTCAATTCGTTTCGGTCGTTAAGTTTATCGGCATTAAGCTCGCTGTCGCTTATATCCAATATCTCTGCCTTCCGGACTTCCAGGCCACTCGGCGGTAACATTTCTCTCGCCATACTTTCCATTACGTCCCTTATCTTACAATCTTACATACATATTCGTAGGTAAGAAACCTTTGATGAGCTGAATAGCTACTAAGTATACCTATTTCGATGAGAGTATCACGACCAGATGCTCTATTAATGGTACATTACATAGTATAGTACATAGTACTTCTTTAGATAGTATATTACCCATGCACATGAACTAGCTAGGTATGTTAGCGATTTTCCATTTATAGAAGGTCGGGGGGGCTATGGGTCTTGCTAAATCCCGCCGACTTGGCTAGGACATCGGCGACCGATCGATTTATTAGGAGGTACCTAGGTAGTTATTTACCTGGACAGGTTAAGAGGCTCAGCAGTTTATTAAACGATGCTACCTTTTTGGATAGACCTACTTCGCTGACACGAGTGTAAGTCTCGAACCAGACTCAGAGTATAGCTTGTCCAACTTAGACAACGTAATGGCAACCCCGAATGTTGCAATTATCGGAGGTAGGTGGTTTGGAATTGTCGCATTCAGCACTCATATTCAGCAACCGCATTTCTAACGCAAGGAAACAGGCGGCCCGGCCGGCCTCACGTTGGCAAAGCTACTTCAGCGTGCATCTATAAGGTGCAGCGTCTTCGAAAAAGATGTTGACCGGCACGTGAAGCACCGCGGGGGCTGCTTAGACCTCCACGCGGACTCCGGGCAGCTCGCCTTGAAAGAGGCCGGCCTGCTTGAAGAGTTCAAAAAATTGGCAAGGCCGGAGGGTGAGACTTTGCGAATATTTTCACCTGATGGTACGGTTCTCATGGACGAGAGCAGAGGCGAACCCGGTCGTCCCGGAGAGTTCGCCGATCGTCCAGAGATCGATCGCGCGCAGCTACGAGACCTGATCCTGGACTCGCTTGAGCCTGGGACTGTGTATTTCAACTCCAAGCTTCTCAAGATAAACACCCAAGAAGACTCTAAGCTGACCTTGGTCTTCGCCGATGGCCGCGAGGTGGCTGACTTTGACTTGGTCGTTGGTGCTGACGGCGCCTGGTCCAAAGTCCGACCAAGCATCAGCGATACGGAGCCTTTCTACTCTGGCATCGCAGGTCTAGACTGTCGCATCTTAGACGTAGACGCCAAGCACCCCGAGTTATCTACGCACGTGGGACAAGGAATGTGCCTTAATTTGGGGTCGAACAAGGGGCTCATGTGCCAACGAAACGGTGACGGCACCATTCAGCTTTACGCCTTCGCCCGTGTGCCAGTAGACTGGTTCTCGGCATCTGGGATCGACCCCGTCCATCCAGATGCGCGGAGACAAGTTGTAGACACGCTTTTCCCAGAATATTCTAACCTGCAGAAGTCGCTAGTATTAGACAGCGATCCGGACACGGTGGGACGGTTGCTCTACATGCTTCCTGTCGGTTTTCAGTGGCCACATAACCCACGGTAGGAAGGCTATTTCTCCGTCCCCTATTACATATCTAGAAGGTAACTTAGCATCAACTAACCTATTTTTCTCTAGCATCACACTTATTGGGGATGCGGCGCATCTAATGAACCCTTTCGCCGGAGTCGGCGTCAACGTAGCCATGAAGGACTCGTTAGAACTTGCACATGCCATAATTGGCGAGGACTCCGGGCAGGATTCGCCAACATTAACCGAGCGCCTGGCCAAGTTCGAGGTGGACATGTGGGCGCGAGCAAAGAAGAACGCAGAAGCTACGGTGATGTATCAAAATTTATTCTTCCACGAACGCGGCGGCGTTGCTATGGTGGAGCACTTTGCGAAGAGACGAGAAGAAGAGCAAAAGTCCAAATCAAACGAAATAAAATCTAATTGATTTATATAGCAATTTGCCTTGTACTTACCACAATATTTGGAGCTTAAATGAAACAAATATTCCCACGTGTTTTTAAGGATCGATGTATTTTCCTCTTTTTCTCCATTGTGAACCTGTCACGTAAAGTGAGAGGGGATCTTAGACGTAATATAACGGTTGATTAGGAAGAAGTAAGATCTAGGCTGGTAGTATACAGGAGATCGTTTTATATATGGCTCAGCTGATTAGTTATGGTGGGGATCCCTTAACTAAAGTAACTGGCCGATGGATGAGGCCGAGCCGAGACTTTGAAAGCTACCGATCGGTAACTCCGATCAACCGGGATAGCGGACATAACAATACTATTACTTTTTACGTTCGTACCTAGCATACCAGGTAGCTTCTTACCATAACTATGACAGTGAGAATTCTTTTACAGCTTATTTTTCCGAATTTTAAGTCCCTGATATTCATGGTAATCATATCACCAGATTTGCCCCATTTCACATAACATCATTTTGTCACCCTTGCAAAATGGCCGACAAGCAAAAGAGCGAATATTGGATGGAAAGTCAGGGGGAGCGCAGGCGTTTGGCTGGTAACCATTTCATAGCGAAAGATGCCATGGGTGGTAAACTCGTTCGCGCGCCCGTCGATTTCACCAAGCCAGTCAAAGTCCTTGATAGTGGCACTGCAGACGGTAAGTCCTACCTATTATTACAGCAGTTATTGTGCACCTAATATGTGTACCTAATATTAGACATCGTAATTGTGTTCTACTCCTATTTAGCTTTTTTAAATGAAAAAAAAAAGAATGAAAAAAAGAAAGAATGAATGAAAAAAGAGAAGAGAAAGACTTTCTAACCCACCATTTTCTCTTCAATTAGGAACGTGGCTCCTCGACTTAGCATTTTCTCTTCCTTCTCTACCCGTCGGTGCGCACGAGTTCGTCGGCACGGACCTCAACCCCGCCCCCTTTCCCCCCTCACCTCCGCCAAATGTGTCCTTCGCGGTCCACGACATCAAGCAGCCGTGGCCCGAATCCGAGCGCGGCCAATACTCGCTCGTTCACCAGCGCCTGACCCTCCTCGGCGCCGGCGGGGCCGGCGCCGCCTCCGTCTCCCACCTCTACTCCCTCCTTAAGCCCGGCGGCTGGATCCAGCTCTGCGAGGCGACCATGGTCTTTCCGCCCGAGATCGTCAACGACGAGCGCACGCCCGCGTACTCCGATCTGCTCCGGCTAATGAAAAGCGTCGCGGAGCACGTAGGCGCCGAGTGGGAGCTCGGCGGGACTTTGAGAGGTTTGTTGGAGGGTGTGGGATGCACGGATATCGGCGAGGAGGACGTAGTGCTGAATATGGGCCGGACGAATAAAGACGACAGCTTGTGCGAAGACGGTGTTCGGGGCTGCGGGATTGCTGTCGAAGGATTGTCGAAGTTTGCAAAGAGTAAGTAAACGTCCGAATTTCGGCGTAAGGCGTATTTTTTACTAATATCTTATCGCAGCGTTCCCACCAGAGAAGCAACCTCTACCAGCCGAGAGGTATGAGACCTTGAGGGCGGATTTGGAGAAGGAACTTAATGAAAAGGGGGCAGTCTTTCCCCTCAAGGTAGTTTGGGGGCGAAAGCCAGAGTAGACACTACGCATAATTAGCAGTCGCTAGCAATAATGTATCAAGGCACTTATTAAGTACATTATGGATGTTCGACCCCTTTAACTTAGATGTCTGTTAATTTCCACAGTCGAAGCTTCAGAGCTTTCAAACGGATCAGCTCAGTCTACCCGTGGTCCAATCCAATCAATGAGCTTGTAATACACCAGCCTAAAGATCATTAACTTTGATTGGCTCAGACCACCGACAGCAATGCCAATTAGGGAAATAGAGTCGGCTATGATTGGTCAATTTGTTTTCGAGTCCTTTAGCGGAAACAGTGGAACTGGAAATTATAATAATTAAAATACCTAGTAGAATTCTACGATAACTAACAGTTGCGGCCTCCAAGGCCTAATGAATATTCCACTGGAAGGTTTTAGGTGCTTATGATTTTGGTGTATGAGGAAGACTGATAGGTAACGAGTCTTCCAATCAGCTTAGATCTTACGCTATCAATTGCTTTGCAATTTCCCATTTGTTAGTTCGTCATAGGTGTGCTTATTTTTGGGATTTGATTTGAATGCCTAAGGTAAAGCTTATATGCTTCCGCGACCGAGCAATATGAATATATAAAAACAAGGTCAATATAAGCTACGTTAGGTTAAGAGGTAATTATTAAGAATTCGCCTGTTAAAAGGGAGAAAGAATCGCATTAGTCCTAGTAAAATTTAAGAAGAATTATCTAGCTACGATTCCATTCAGTCTCAACCATAATCCGAGACCTATTATTCCTCCTCAGAAAACTGTACTGCGTAGTCTCGAGGGTTGAAGAAACGGTGCCCTCGTCTGACTTGCCGAGCAAATAATCCATCGCACTGGAAGACGTAAAGGCAACGCAAGTAAAGAAAAGTACAGGGGAGAAATTCGCGTCTGTACTGAAAGGTATGCCTACGCACCAATGAACAACGTCTCCTGGAAAGAAACCTTGGAGCTCTCATCCTAAGCGGCTAGGCTTCTTGATGAACCTCAGACATACCACATTGTGGTATTCATGAAAGTAATTCTATCGATTTTCCATCGAGTATTAGCCATCGTCAACAACTTAGGCGGTGCGACCTCGGCTTTCTGGTCGTCGTAGATTTCTGCGTCGCTCTTGGCATATGGGAAGCCCGACTTTCCATAAGCCATAACCATCTTGTCCGCTGGTACGGCTTCGTGAGATCTAGCACGGTTGGACGCTAGATGCGCATAGTAAACTGCAGGATGCAGCGATACCGGCGTGGTTGAGCGGCAGTACTGGTAGCACTGCTGGTATATCATTCTCATGAGCTCGTTTGGTTTGACGCCGGCCTCGTCGAGAATGACCTGATAGTGAACAGGGCGCGCAGTTCCTTGGATGGCTACATGCGAACAAAGGTAGAAGTCGAAATGTTGCGGATGCGTTACATCTTTCTCCACCAACGTACCCGGAAGTGGATTGCCATTACGATCACCAGTTATTTTATCGTTAGGCTTTGGGAAAAAGCGAACATGATGGCGCTTTGTAGCGATAATGACGGTGAATCGAGGTGTTCCGTAGTTTAGATTCTGGAATACTCGTCGCATGACATCCACCTCTTTCGTGAGTATATCTTGGAATTGACCTTCAGACACACCATCTCGGAGATAGTAAATGTGTTGAGGTGAGGTATTATTCATTCGAACCCAGTTCTTTGCAAGCTTAATGATCATCTCTTCCATTACCTCTGGGACAATGGTTTCAGTCCGCCAACCGTTTGTCTGGCAAGCTGCAGCGAATCTCGTAGCATGCTTGTCCATCGACATGGTCAATGCCGCCATAGATGGTTGACTGCTGCCCGGCGCAGCGTGTGAGACATCAACACCAATCATCATCGTAGGCTTGGTCCAAAAAGGTGGATTAGCGGGCTTGGATACGTTCGGAACTTTGCATGTGACTCCGCCAAGTTTGCTGTTTACTTTCATCGCAACGTTGCTCAAGTACTGTCCTTGAGCTTTCCTTGCATGTCCGGCTTGAACGCACTGAGAGACGAGATTGTATCGACAATCCATATTCTTCTTCACACGCTCGTAAACGAGCTGGTTCTTGGTCGGGAGGATGAAGAATATCATTTGAGGCTCAACACCTGGGTTGGCTCTCTGCAGGTCATTGTACGCCTGCTCACAGATCTTGGAGTAATCTCCATCTCCAAACCCGATGGTCATGCATTTTGCAGGCCTTACGATAATGCCCCCGTGGCCTCGGTACGTCTGGGAGAATAGCCTGGCGAAATTCTCCACTTCCTCTGGCCTGATTGTCTTCTCCCCGCAGCACACTACAGCCCAGGACTGGAGGTGCACACGATTCGGCTCGAGGAACTTTTTCCCACGCAGATCCCACCGACCACTTACACCCGGGTTGATTTTTTGGTTGGCAAAAGCAACCTCGGGATTTGGAAGGAGCCGAGCATCTGTGACGGCCATTGCGGGGCTTATTTGAATCCCAAAGGCCTTCAAATAAGGATCTTCAGACCACTTCAAGTGCGTGATTCCCTCGAATATGTCCTCGCGGCGCTTTGTTGGGCGGGTGGCGGCTGCCTTGATCATGTCACTCGTCTATCACATTAGTTAGTTGGTGAGCAATGGATAGCGTGCTAGGAGATTATTCTAGGAAACAAACCTGCTGTGGATTCAGCTTGAACGTGTAGCGCTGATCTTTAACGGAATTGCACAATTCCCATGGGAATAAGTTGCCATTCGTAGACTCGATGAGAGGAAGCTTCGACCATCGGAGTCGGATACCCCAGCGATCCATATAGTGATCATAGACAGTTACTGTCTTCGTCTCTCCATTCTCTCCCACCTTCGTGAAGGTCATCCTATGGGAATTGGCACCATCGGTGCCAAATTTTGGATCGAACGTAATATTCTTGATTGTGTAGATCTTGGGCCTTCCAATCTTTCCTCGGTGATTCACAGTAAACTTGAGTTTTGCAAGTCGTCGGAGGAAAGAAAATGCCTCAGAAGGGACAATTTTGACCAAACCGGTCTTCTTGTCAACCTCCTCCTTGGGTCTTAAATTGTACGCCATCTTGTGTTCATCCCCTAGAGTAAACCTGTTAATATAGTGTTGCATATATGAGCCATAGAACTTACAGGTTGACCAATCATCCTTGTGTCCATTCAGTAGGCGAATAGCCAACTGGTCGATACTGTCAACGGGCCAGAAAGCCGTCTGGCATCTGTCAACGTTGATAGCAAGTCCAGTTCCACCCCTGTTGATCGACTAAATCACAACTCCATTAGCATATACAGAAGGAGGGTATAAAATGGGCAATCCTTACCTCGCTGAGGCGAGGTGCACAGTAGATGCCCTGGTTTACCACCAGGTCGCCTGAAAGACCCCCAACTGGAAACATAGGGTCGTAGAAGTTTCGCTTAATAGTGACCCACTGTTCCGAAGGAAACTGGCGGAGACAGTGGTCGAAAAAGTCTATAAATGTATTAGCGTAAATCACTAGATATGTCGACTGGTAGAAAGCACATACTCATGCATTCTAGAACATGTGTATCCCAGGAAATCTTTCCCTCGAGATACGTCCTTAGATACGATAGGTGGATGGTTGTTGTTTGCCTAATTGTCAAGCTATAAACACTCGTTTTACCAACCTTCTTGGCGATGTCCTCGTGCTCGGCCTTCTCTTTTAGAGAGTCAAGATCAACAGTGAAGCGTGCTTCATTGCGGTCAATTTTCTCAGAAGACCTATATATGTGTAAGTCAAGATGTCTCGGTGGTAAAATAGTTATGGTACTTACCAGGCGAGCTTGGAGCCATCATAAAGCCACATTCCGCCCTTCTTTGCCAATTCCTCTGTCACAGTCTTCGTGTTCCAGACCTTCTTGACTAAAGCATTGGAGTCCCTTGGGTTTGGGGACACGATGATCTATTAAAGTTAGGAGTACTAAACAAGGAGTAGAGAGCAATATACTTACGTCATACTGGTAGATCTCCTTATCTTTCCAGCTTGTGACGGGGAACAGGTTCAGTTGAACCTTGATACCTTTTCCGTCGGTATTGAAACCGGGACGAGCTGCAAATCGAGTTGCCTTGGTGCCATCCTAGAGAGTTGTAAGTACAAATACAGACGATCTAGTGGGGTACAGAAAACCTAAAACAGTAAAAGAGACTTACCACCTTGTATGCATCAGCTGGCAAGTCAACTCGCCTGCCAAGAAGCTGAGCGGGTGTCAACTGCGGTCTATCGCGGGCAGGGTCGACTCCTGTGCCCTTGGCAAATCCAGTTTGCTTGCTGGGAATTCGTGCAGGTGATCCAACCTGGGAGTCGGCACGAGATCCAGGTCGAGAGCCCGCCGGGGTGGCCGAGCTTCGACCAGATCCTGAAGGGCGGCCAGACATATCGGCTGTTCAAATGACTGAGAATCTAGTTAGTAATTGATATCGGAGCTGAAAGGTGTATCAATTTTCAAACTGTATCGACTTCAAAGCAAGAGCATCCAACCTATTGCTAACTTCTAGGAGATAGAATAGGTGGTAGGGCAAGGGAAATATAGGTTTCAATATGTTCAACGGTGTTGTGCCAAAAGCGACTGAGAAGATAATTTGGGAGAAGGCGGTGTATAGGAAATAACAGTGAAATGAAAATACATACCAAGGATCTTAGAAATCAAAAGGATATCGTAAGTAACCCTATAAATCATTTGTTAGTGTCAATAGGCCCATGCCGCTTAAATGCTTAGGTATGGTACGGGGTTATTGGCTTTTGAAAGTTTGACGTCATAAATATTGATAGAGAATTTCTTGGGGAAGGGTTGAAAAGGTATATGCAGAAGGGAAACGCGGGAGCTGATTGGCCACAGTGATACCTAAAGCCTTGTAGATGTTCGTGTTATGTAAAGACGTGATAGGGGTCAATTGGCAGACGTTTAATAACGTGAAAAGAGGTCCAGATCGACAAAGGTCAAAATCATTGCTATTTTGAGAGGAGTCTTCATGAGCTAAGAAAAGAAACTTACTAGGGTTGAAGGGAACAAAGTTTTCCTCGTTGCTGAGTCTTGCTAAGAGATTAGAGCTGTCAGTCATGCGATACCTCGTAGATCTCTAGAGGTGAAAAACAGAAGTTGTAGGAAAGGTGGAATGTGATAGGATGAGATTGATTCCCCAATTTAAGGTTAAATCGGAGAATATCATGAAGATGACATGGACTATGAGGCTTAAAGTAGTGCCTGCATGAGAATGATATGCAGCTTGAGGGTGTGGAGAAGAGTGGAAGTGAAATAGGCACAGATATGCAATGAAGTTCAGTGTGTAGCGAAGGAGGGTGTAGGGTGTGTCAGATAGGGTTGGATGAAATGCACTTACCTCGTCTACTAGGGCAAATTCTCACTTTGCTAGACTATTTCGCATTAGTGATTGCATAGGGATAACAGTGGGCAAGGGAGGAAAGTATGGCTAATGTTAGAAGGAGCTCTGTAAGGAGAAAAGAAAAGAGGTTCTGAGTTGTACCTATAATTCAAAAGCTTGTTAGTTTTAATCCTTCCAATAATCTATTGACTCTAGTCAAGTGATGACTGGTGAACTTGAGGACCAAAAGCCTTGGTGAACAGTTGAATGGATGAATGAGTAGGAAGGCGAAAGAAGAAATGGTGTTTTGTGTAAAGAGAATTCTTGGGATTGCGAGATGGTATGTTTGAGATGAAGGAACTCACAAGGATGTTTGGTTGGTTGTTTGCACTGAGGGATAATCGGTTGCTGGGGAAGATCACAGCCCGCAGAAGAGTGCAGCTTACCTGAAGCATATGATATGGGGTGTTTGGGTTTGGAAAGGGAAGGAAAAGATGGATTGGTATGAGAAAAGGAAATCAGATAATAAAGAGGAAGGCTTACCTATTGTGCAGCTTGAGAGGTTGTTATGTTAAGTACTAAAGCAGGTAGAGGAAATAACTGTTAGTTGTGGGAAAGGAGACCCTCTCTGGAGTGTACTGGTTAGCTTGATAGTACTTGAACAAGATGCGACCGAGAGGCCATAGGCTCTCTGTGGATATGTATTGAAGAGGAAGTCTTTGAGCAAAGAAATACGTCCCAAGAAAGGACCAAGTGATAAAAACAAGGAAGACAACCTGATAATGGATATACATACCGAGTAACTTGGTAGACTAGAAGTGGTGGATTGAAGATAGAAGTGATGGGGGAAAGTTGATATGATGTTAGGTAGGTAGGCAAGGGAAAGAAACGAAAGGATGGGGGAAATGTTATGGGTTACCATAGGTTAGGTATGTATGTGTGAAAGGGAATAATGTAATACTGCTTGATGTTTATCATTGGAAAAGTACAGAAGAAAATATTAACATACCTTAAGTGCCTGTTAGATAGGCTTTGATACGTCAGTGTATGGTGATAGTAGTAAGGAGGATTGGTTTGCAGGATATTTTGAAAGTGGACAAGAGTGATGTGGGAAAGATTACGAGGGAGGTGGACGGGAATTTATAAGTTTAAGAATTTGAAAAAGAATGGGAAGTTTTCAAATGGATAAGAGAAACTTGGAAGGTGCGTTGGCAGGTACGTTGGAAGTTACGTAGGGGGAAGGCAGTAGTTACCTAGGTATCTTAAACTTGGCCGGCGTTGCCTTATATAGTATCTACATGGTACGTAGTTACATAGTTACGTAGTTACGTGTATATGTAGGCAAGATATTGGTGCTTTGGGCTTCTAATGGTACTTATATGTACATGCATTGGCTATCCAGAACGTGTGCCTTCCATATCTACATGTAGGTACGTTCATGTACGTACACAGCAATTGCGAGGAAACTGCTACCTACATGTATGTAAGTCGCCAACAAAGTGGACGCAGCTACCTTCCTACGTAATTTTTAGCATGTTAGCTACCTAGGTACCTACCTAGGCACATCTTTACCTGGGTACTAGGTACCTAGTGGATGGGAACTAGAATCAACTCTTATCTGTAGACTGCCAGGTAAACGCCTGCCTACCAGGTCGCGGTTAAATTATGAAATCAAGCATTGATGTGAGGAAAGTATTGTGCAACTGTGAGGTCTTGTTATTTTATGTGCCCACATGTAAGTCAGGACCGAGGCTGCTTCAAGGTCACCTAGCAGTGAATAAGCATAACTTTCAAACCGTGATTTTACTTGACGACTAAAGCATATCAGAACTAAGAGGCTTATAATATTTCAAGTGTAATATCAAATTCAAAAAGGAGCAGCATGTAGGATACCGTACCTGTTATGTCTATTCCTTGGTCATATAGAAGACAATGTACCTATCAGAACCAAATATCTCCCATGGTATCAATTGTTGACATGTCCGTGCAATGGGCCTAACTTGAAATACTCAAATGTTCATTAAGAATCCGCCATATTATATAGAATAGACCGCAACTTGTGGATAAAGAAATGTCGTGGGTAGGTGCATGCAATAGTAGTCACTGGTCTCGGAGAAGATGGGACAGAATGGTTGAATATTTCACAGCAAGTAAAACAGGAGTGATTTACGAACCCATACTTACCTGGTACCTACCTGTGTTTAGATTCTGCACCTCTGTGTTTGGCATTAGAAATACTTACATGGATCACCGAAGTCAATGGTGGTAATATCAACCTGTACCCAGAACCAGACGTATGGACATTGGCGGAGGCGGGATACTAATAGTTCGTTATGATCCCGGTACCTTCCCAACTGAAGATGGCTAATTGATAGAGCTTTATGATATGAATTATTCAAAGATAAACAACGTATTTCGAAATACACATAAACAAGAGGTAATATGTAGTAATGCTGTGACTCTACACGAGGAACTTCCAGACGACAGTACCTTATATTCACTTCATAAGTAGGCCGCTTGAATAAGAATAGACGAATAATAAGTAAACAAAAGACCGCTATTTAATTACTGTTCATATTTATCTATTTTCTTTTTCTTTTTTCGCAAAATGAAAAATATGACTATCACACTTTGAATAGTTGTGACTTACCTCAATGATCTATTATATTTGAATACCTACCTACATGAATACCTACCCTGCCTAGGTACCTAGTCTACTCTCCATATCCCTTCGCCTTCGCTATTGCGAAGCCGTAAGTTTCTATTCCTCAGGATCATGAAACTAATCATAGCATTTGAGATATTAGTTATACTAGATAGTGATTTTTATGATTTCCCCGGAGAACGGAGTAGGGTTTAGTACAGCCGGTCTGAATTTCATGAGTTCACAATCTGGCACTATTTCATGTTATAGCTTGGTACATACAGTAATGGTCCAAAAATATCTGGCCTACCTCCTATTTTACGCCAAAACTCAGCTTTGTCACTCTGCGATAACATTACCAATAGAAATAATAAAAATACTCTTTCAACTATTTCTTATATAAATTCAAATAAGCTAAAGCTTTTATATATAAAGTTTCTGTATATATTTAAAGTTGACAAAACTACTGTGGTTGAAAGCTGACTTAAGTTGATGTTTTTAATTTTCCTATAGGTATAAAAAACCGGGATTTGCATGTGGAACTCTCCAAAATTTAACCACGGTAATTTTACGAATTCTAGATACATCGAAAACTCTTGTATACAAAAAATATATTTAACTCAAATCTCTACAAGACAAAATCAAGATCTTAATTTTACTATTTTTATTGGTAAAGTTATCGCAGAGTGACAAAGTAGCAAAATGGCCGTTTCTGGTGCGAATTTCAAGGTGGGCGGGATATTTTTGGACCCTGACTGTACATCAAACTAAGCGGACGAAACATCAGAACATAGTTCCACGACTAAATTTATTGGATCATTGCTTTGCCATCAATCCTATTTTAAGATGCTATAATCTTATGAACTAAAACTCAAGACGCAACAAATGGTTGGCTTGAGAGTATGGTTTCGTTTAACAGTCCGACCTTCGGGTGTTAACCTAGCCCCGACCAAGAAAAACTCCAGAAAATGCAGTTAATCACCAAACACTGAGGAAATTTCCTTGAAAAAGACGCCATGAGTGATACCCCTTCCCTTTACGTCAATGAGCAAGTCCATTTGAGCAGCAGTCGTATGGACTTGGAATTAATAGTATCCGCCATACTGCTGTGTATGTTGTTGGGATGGATTAGCGTTATATTGCCCGGGAGGAGCGTAGTTGCCTTGCCAAGCGGTAAACGCAGAATTGCCAGCACTAATATTCTGCGCCAATGGGTTAAATTGGCTTACACCTGTTTGGTAGACAGCTGGAGGTGGTTCGTATGATCCACTCGAACCAGGCCGTAGAGGAGAATTGCGGTAAGGTGCTGATGCTTGAGTTACCCCACGGCTCATTCCGCTATAAGGGCTAGCTGGGCGGTTGGATGTTCCTGGCGAATCGCGTGCAGTATATGGGTAATTCTGATATTCCGAAGAGGCTTGACGAGTATGTGCGTGTGATGTTGCCAATATATTACGCGAGCCGCCTTCTCGGGCTTTCCATTCAACATAGCTTGGCACAGAAGTATTCTGAATCAAGCGCACTAGGCCTTCTGCACTAAAGTGATGGCTGCGAAACGCATCAGCAGGGGGGATTACGGTGAGAAGAAAAGCGATATCACGAGGAATAGGAGTCGGTCCGCTGGTATGTGAGGAGACACCTTGGCCCTGTTGAGCCCGTCGTTGCTGATCGAGTCGTCGACCGGCTGCGCCTTTGAGAGGGGAGGCCCCGCGGGCTAACTTCCTGGGAGGGTATTCGTCCTGGTCATCAGCTTGAAATGGACGTTTGGGTGAATTAACAGCAGGCAAAAACTGCGGCTGTGGGCTACGCTCGGGCTGGAGTGTAGGGCGAGGGGTGCTGCGATTAGAGGTAGGTGGGACTTCCACAGACTGCATGATTGTCTTGAGACGCATTTGTTTGGCTGGCGAAATGATGACTCGAGCAGTGATGGGGTTAAATTTGCCAGTGTCAAATCTCGCTGCAAAGTACGTCAGGCTAGGATCTTCTGGGAAGAGCTCTGCCATCTGCTTCTCAAGGTCCTTGATCTGCGTTAGCTCGCCGAACTGAGATGTATAGTGATGAAAGTAAGTGAAAATAGGCTTTAGTTTTGGAATCAGCTCGGGTTTTGCCTTAAACCGTTTGACAGTTTGGGAAAAGACAACTCGGGCATCTACATCGAATTAGTTAGACTCGAATATACAAACAGAGCTGGTTAGACCTACTGGTAAAATCACGCTTCTTATGAAGGTGCTTCAGATATTCAACGAAGTAACCCTCTTGCTCCGGAAAGAGTTTTGTACCACGCTCATAGATTTTAGTAGCCACGTCGTCTTGATAAACGTCCCACTCTAGATTCGACATTTCAACGTAAACGTCATATGTTAGGCGGCCTCTTTGTCGGGCTTCTATGAACAGACCACGCATACCCACAGCAGGACTGCTCTTTATATAGCCTTGGCCCTGTATTCTTCTGTGAATACGTAAAAGGGCAATCCAGAGGTATGATATATGTTGGGACAGGATCTGAATTTGGGCGGCAAACCCGTCATTCACTGCTTTGATCTTGGCATCTCTCATCGCTTCCGAGGATGGCTTCTCCGTAATCTCTCCCTCATCTTCCTCGTCCTCGACGTCGGCACCTCCCGAGTTAGTAGCATTAAGAGATGTGTCTTCCTCAATTTTTGCCACGGCCGCCGCTTCTTGATCCTTCAAGTTCTTAATCATCTCGTAAAGTGTCTCAAGGACTCGATCACAAGGTCGTCTAACGGCCAGTACAAGAGCAGCTTTGCCCGCATCGTCCTCGGGTGTGGGTTGAGTAGATTCGATACGGTCGGCATGCTTAAGGGCTATTAAAGAGCTCTCAGGGTTTGCATTAAGACCGTCAACAAGGAATTGGAGTCCTGTATCTTGCTCGGTCCTGTCGAAAATGTTATTCTCGAAACACCAGTCAGCAGCGTCAACCCATAATTCCGGCCAGAAGCGCAGAGCCATTAGTGCTTGTTTGTAGACACTAAGAACACGTTGTCGATAGACATTCGGTTCGTCAGAACTCAAAGAAAGCGGATCATCCTTCTCCCAGGCGATCCACGTCTTCCAAAGTCGAACTTGTTCAAGATATTCCTGATCGCCTTCAAAACCGGGTGCCGGGGGGAGGCGCGGTAGAGTTGTTCTTTGAAGCCCTCGAGTAATATTTTCTAAATGCGTATTGGCACTTCTCGCGCTCATATACGAAGGTGATCGTTCTTGAATGAACTTCCGTCCCTACAATGATATTAGCGGCTTCTCTGAAATAAATGAACCTGGTACTTACTGTCATCTTATTTAATCCCATTTCGAAATGATCATATTCTTTCCACAGTGAGTTCACATTGGCCATGGGAATGGCGACGGCTCGTTGGTAAGCTTTACGAAGAACGTCCATCTTCTGCTGGTCTTGCCAGCCGGTACCGCCGACCTGACCAGGCCCACTCTTGAGGAATTGTATATAATCCTGCCATATACCTCCAGCATCTCGGTCCTGCCCAATAGCGCCTAGAACGAATTCGTAAGACTGGTTTATGGTTTGACGGGCCTGACCGGTAGGGTCATTCAAGTCATTTTTGCGGCGTATATAGTTGAGATAAGCGGTCCATAACTGAATATTGGGTATCTTCTCTAGTGTACGAAGGAATATCGACTCAGCTGCCTTGGAGTTATCAAGGCTTAGCTCCATGTCAACATATTGAACCCATATCTCGGCCTTTGCGATAAATTAGTAACAGAAGCAACGAGATATGTTTAATTGGAGACTTACAGCGTGGGGGAACACCTTCAGAAAGCGCTCGTAAACGGCCCGCGTGTCTTCAATCTTATGACGTCGCTTTTGCTCATCGATCAGAGCTAGCCAAGCCTCGAGATCGCCGCGAGGGTCTTCCTTAATACGGTCCTCAAGTATGCCAACAACATCAGTAGGAAGTCTCAGGCGCGCTGCATTAGTAGTTGCTACATTGGCAGGAGCCGCTGTAGGAACAGAATCATCGCTCGCTTGAGCAAGGACATTAGTAGCCATATCCTGAGGTGTAGTGATCTGTTGAAGGGAGGGATGATTGTTAGGTTGCGCCTCGGCTTCTGTGGGAAGGGGCTTTAGAATACTTGGTGAATGTGACGGAGCTGGGGTAGGGTCTGGGCCTTGGTCTGGGATAGGGGCATCATCCTCTTCATCAGAAGAGTCATCGACAACAAAGCCGCCCGCTGTCTTGGGCTTTTTGGATGGACGAGGGGAATCGGAAGCAGGGCGTTCCACAATAGGATCGGGTGCTGTAGTGACGGTAACAGATTCTGGATCATATTCTCCACCATCCTCGTCATCAGATGTATCAGCAGATGGAGCAGGATCAATATTAACATTCGCATGTTGATTGCTATTCTCGGTATATGAGTTCATATTCCCCGTCTCACCACTCCAACCTTCCGCGTCCCATGCAGGTGTGCCGCCCTGTTGAACGGACGCGTCTCCAGAATCTTCCGAAGCCATTATGCACAAGAAGCGCGAAATTAGCCGGGTTCTAAACCGACGTTTGGGCGGCTGATAAAGTAGGGAAGAGGGGACAAAGTTTCGTGTGTGGAAATTCGGTCGCGCCGTGGGCGTAGGATGACCGTAACTTTGCGATTCTATGCCACAATCCGGTACGACCCGCGCGATAGAATATTATCGAGTTTCTTCTCAGACTTGCTCGCAGCGCAAATTCCGACGGCTCCTGATAATTCTTGAGGTTGTTACAAGTAGCTGCAGCGCCGTTAGTACCGTTGGAAGAAACACCTGATTATATCCTCGAGCTGTCTAGAAGTCAAATGGCAAGGCGTGCTTGGAGGTGGGATATATCAAATAGATATATCAAATATTAATTCGAAGGCAATTGTAGGAAGCCGTATTTGATACGACTTTTCAGCCTGGATCAGTCCTCAACTACATATATTGTCAACCTGCATTGGTAAAGAGCGGCAGGTATAATGCGCGAATGCGAAAGATGGCTGGCAATTGGGAAAAAAAAAAAGTTGTAGGTATCAACGAATTCGAACTTGCACCTTGACAAAACAATGGCGCTATCGAGGTGAGCAAAGATCATTCTCTTATCCTTATCCTAATCTTACCGAAAGTGGGCTAGCGCGGCTCAAATCGGTACAGCGCCAAGTACGTACCTCTTTATCATCCAAGGTACCCTAAGAAGTAGGGATGGGATTGACATTATACGCTTAGCGTATAATGTCATATAATGTAACATTATGACGCATAATAGAAGTATTATGCATATGACGGAATACGGACCCTTAATTATCCGGCACATTATTATAACGAAATTACATTTAAGCTTTATTTTTAAACTTTTATTACAAGCTTTACTTTAAATTTCATTTAATTTATTTTTATTTTAATTTATTTTAATTTTTTAATAATTATAAAAGTAATTAACTTCGTATTTTAATTAATATATTTAAATTTACGTAAATAAAAAATAACTTATTAATTTTTTCTTAATTTAAACGACTGCATTTAACGTTATTAATATAATTACGTTAATATTCTATTATATTATGTGTATAATGTATATATTGCCGCATAATAATTCTATTATGCGCATTATGCCCATCCTTACTAAGAAGTACCTAAAACTTTCCTCCCCTACCTACGTGTACAATGTGTGGGTACCTCTTATTACCTAGCACTACAGGTAGGTACCTTTTTCATTGACATTAGTATATTTCTTCCATTGATATATTTTTTTCTGATAATGCGTTACCTAGTACCTTAGGTACCTAGGTACATTAAAAACTTATATCAGTCAACTGTTACTAACAGGTATGTACCTGTTTTATATATTGTACCTATAGCAATCTCGTTTTCCTTCAGATACCGGGCTAATCGTGTGCATGTATTGTGTGAGCACTATCGCTGTCTAATTTGCCCACTTACGTATACTTAGGCCATGTACCTATTGCTACCTGATGCAAGCACTGAACGCGCTTTCTTCAAAAAAAAGCGCGTTGCCCTTTTTTTTATTTGAGAGAAAAAAAAGGGACCCCTGCTTGACCCTTAGTTTAGCTGGCAACTGAGGTACCTTACCTAGAGGTTAACGTACCTAGTTTTCAGGTCGCAAAATAAACACTAGGGAATCGCCCACCGCCAACCTCCCATCTAGAGACCACAACTTCTTTCCTTCTCTCTTAACTGCTTTTCTTTGACAATCCACCTCTTCTCTCTGTTTTTAATCATTCATCTCTTTTTTTTCCTTTAGTCTACTTAAGCACTTTGCAAGGTTCTACACCACAATCGTCCAAGATGTCTGTCGTATCTTTACTTGGCGTCAATATTTTGAACAACCCCGCCAAATTCACCGACAACTATGTCTTCGAGATTACCTTTGAATGTCTCGAGCAACTTGAGAAGGGTACACATCTCCTTTATGGGAATCCGATACATTTTTGGAATATTGGTTTTAACTGACTGTATCCTAGATTTGGAGTGGAAGTTGACCTACGTCGGCTCTGCAACCTCGTAAATTACCATTTCGTCCTCTTCGATAGTTACGCGCTAATTCCGATCAACAGTGATCAGTACGATCAAGAGCTCGACTCTCTCCTTGTCGGACCCATCCCCGTCGGTGTCAACAAGTTCATCTTCGAGGCCGATGCCCCCAAGACTAACCGTATTCCTGATGCCGACATTTTGGGAGTGACTGTGGTCCTCCTAACTTGCTCCTACGACGGCCGCGAGTTCGTTCGCGTTGGATACTACGTCAACAATGAGTACGAGACTGACGAGTTGAACGCTGACCCCCCTGCCAAACCCATTGTCGAGAAGATTCGTCGCAATGTGTTAGCCGATAAGCCGAGGGTCACGCGATTTGCCATCAAGTGGTATGTTAATACTTCCTATCCTTATCATTCGTGGCCACTGGAATTTTACTGTTTATACTCATTCGCATGATAGGGATTCCGAAGCATCTGCTCCCCCTGAATTCCCCCCTGAGCAACCCGAAGCCGATCTCCAACCCGATGACGAAGAGTATGGAGCTGAAGAACTCGAAGAAGAAGCTGAGGAAGAGGGCGTCGAGGCTGCTGAGGCTGCTGGTGGAGCCAATGCTGCCGCCGTAGCCGCCGATGGAGACGCTGAAATGGAAGGCGTTGAGGAGAACGGAGAGCAGGCTGAAGAGGATGAGATGTCCGAAGAGGGCAGCGTCGATCTCGAGAATGAAAGCGAGGACGACCTTGAGGAAGAAGTTGAGGGTGAAGTTGTCGAAGGCGGTGACGATGCCATGGAGGTTGACGAGAAGCCAGTTGGTGACTCATCCAAGCCTCACGAGGTCATGGCTCATTAACCATCGTTTGGTCTTCGGTTGGAGGTTGATTTCAATAGCCTATCATCAGGCTTTTTCTGCATGCAGTTGTGGTTGATGTTCCGTACGAAGTTATGAAAAAAAGCCTTGATATGAGTGTTAATTGGCTTATGGTAGGAGTATGAGTCATTTGGTAATGAAAGGCCACACACATGGCTTATAAACACTTCACTTCCTGTTCCATAACACGGATGCATATGGTTTATGCCCCCAAATTCATGGCCTCTTTGGTAACATAAAGGGTGACATGAACAGAAAAGAAATCAAGTTTATCTTGTTTGTTTTTATCTGTGGCCCTGATGAGACTTCCTGTTCCATTCGCACTCTCTATTTAATATTGATGGGGGCTAATTGTTAGTAGTTCTCGCTTATTAGCATATGTGAAAGCACTTTGACCAAATCGCCAATGTGCTACTTAATGAAGATGATGCTTTGAGGAATCCAGCAACTCTTGCACTGAATCATGCAATTCTCTGGAACATCTGGACAACTATGTGACTCCTAACCGTAGCATACATTAGGCCCTTAGCTGATGTTCCACGTGATAATTTCAAGTGTTAAGTGCATGTAGAATACCAGGTACATATCCATACTGTAAATAAACCAATCAAACTTCACCTAAATCCGCGCCGTAAGAGTGGATAGGCCAGTTTGGCTTGAATGGTAAGTGGTGAGAGGGGTTGTGCTGTGGGGTAGGAAATATATCGGGATTGACAGCATGGACGTTTTGTCATGGTAGGTTGAGGAGGATCGCAATCCGAACGGAGCGGAGAAGAGGGGGTTATCTGCTGTGTAAATACCATTGCCTCGGCCTTGGACAAACCCGAAGAAACATATGAGAGTTCAGTAAGGTTAGGTACCTAGTTAACAGACAAGTCCCTGGCTTTCCTGAGGACGTATTTAAGCCGAATTCTGCGGGAACAATGTTATTAGACGCTGCCGAGTTAGCAAAACATAATACAGCATCTTCGTGCTGGATCGTGGTCGACGGCAAGGTCTACGATGTAACGCCGTACTTAGAACACCACCCAGGGGGAGCAGCTATCTTAGTAAAGCAAGGAGGGACGGTATGCATAATTCTCCAGCTAAGCTCGCTACGTTGAGTTCCCGAGAAATCGTATACTGTCGGGTTCAAGAGGAATAACAGAATGAATAGGATGCCACGGCCGAATTCCGAACAATCCATTCTCCGGATGTGTTAGAATATCTACCTAAGGGGAGCTATCTTGGGGAGGTAACCCCCGAGGCTCTGAAGTCCCTAACAGCAAGACTGTCATCGAGCACGCCAGCGACGAATTCAGTCTTGCCACCATCTCCGTCCCCTTCTCCGCCACCAATTTCAACGTTATCATCACCCGACGCTAACGGACCTCCACACATCGCGCACTGCGTGGCGGTGTCGGACTTCGAGCCAGTAGCCAAGGCCGTAGTCCCACGAAACGTGTTTTCGTATATATCGAGCTCCGCCAACTCCGGCCTCTCGCTGCAAGGCAACTTGTCGTCTTGGTCGAGCATCAAGTTCCGCCCCCGAATCCTCCGCGACGTTGAGCGCGTGTCTGCGAAGTCGGCCATCTTCGGCCACGCGACGCCTTTCCCCTTTTACGTGTCCGCCATGGGCATGCTCGGTCGCGGCCACCCGAATGCCGAGGCCGAGCTCGTGCGCGGCCTGGCGCGTCGCGGCGCCCACGCCATGATCAGCAGCGAGTCTTCCTTGCCCATGGAGGACATCGCCGCGGCGCTGAGCGACGAGCAGCGGAAACTCGCTTCAGGCCAGGGCGCGGGGGAAAAGCAGGTGGACGAGTTTCCCCCCTCGCAGCTCCACTTCCAGCTTTACGTGCACGCGGACCATTCCGTCACGTTATCCCGCATCAGGCGAGCCAAGGCCGCCGGCTTCAGGAGCATCTGGGTCACGGTTGACACGGCATGCTTAGGGAAACGCACGGCGGACCGGCGGGTGAAAGCAGCAGAGGCACTTGAGGTGGGGCTTGGAGACGCGGCGGAGCAAGCTGGAGTTGGGAGGAACACCGGGTTCTATCCGTCAAGGGCCCATTTCAAGCCGTCGCTGTCGTGGGAAGACCTCGTATGGATCAAGAAGGAGTGGGGTGGGCCGCTCGTGCTTAAAGGCGTACAGTGCGCCGAAGACGCGAAGTTGGCGCTGGAGCACGGGTGCGAGGGTATCCTGTTAAGCAATCACGGCGGCAGGCAGGCACATACGGCGCCTGACGCATTGACCACGCTCCTCGAAATCCGGACGTATTGCCCGGAGGTTTTGGGGAAACTTGACATCTTTGTTGATGGCGGGTTGCGCGATGGCGCTGATGTGCTCAAGGCCATATGTCTAGGCGCTACGGCCGTAGGTGTAGGCCGTCCCTTTTTCTACGCGCTAGCGGCGTATGGTTCGAAAGGGGTAGAAAGATGTATCGACAGTATGTTTCTCCTTATCATAGCCCCTTTCTGGACACGAGGATATTATTTACTAATATGGTGTGACTTCTATACAGTTCTCTCCGAAGAGTTGGCTACAGGTATGAGGCTTACTGGAATTGCATCTCTAGATGAGGCGCAGCCTGATAGGGTCAATGCTAGTCGTCTACTTAACGAGATGTGGCATCCCGAGAAGAGTCGTCTATAAAAGCCTATGTACCTGTATATTCATATCTACCAATTTGATTGGTTACGACACCATAAGTACCTGATATTGATATATCGACAATCTAAGTACCTGATGTACCTGAACATCTTACTTACCAGACATTTGCTTGTATGCGTGGCGTAAGCGGGGTTAGAGCGTTGACATATACCACAAAAGTCTCTCTATTGAAGCAAAAATAAGTATGCCTCTAATTCACCCTTTCATTGCTACCTAGGCATAGCAATCTTTTGAAAAGTCCTGCCAGCTGCCACGGAAGCCCATCACCTCTAGGTCATCCCAAATCTATCCAATGTCTACTCCCATCGTTAATAAAAAATCAAAATGAGGCTTCTAAATTGCAGTACGATGCAAATGAAGGAGTTTTTTGATAGTGATATTCCTCAATATGCAATCCTCTCTCATACCTGGGGTGATAGTGAAGTTTCATATCAAGACTTCCAGAGCGGATCTTATCGAAGAGGTGCTCCAGGGTTCAAAAAGATCAAAGGTTTTTGTGCCAAAGTGAAACAGGATTGGTTTCCCTCAATCGACTGGGTATGGATAGATGCATGCTGCATTCCGTGGATGGGATCATCAGATAACCAGCATCTTCGGGGGTAAACACTATTCCCAAACAAATCTGGGAATATATATAGATCTATTGATCATCAAGTTTGAAGCCCATAAAAACGTGGCCCTTGCCTTTTTAGATTGCGTTCGTACCGAAAAAGATCCTGCCCGGGTTGTTGCTCTTCCATTAGAGTTCCAAGAGCTATCCACTGGTATAAGTCTCGCTACGAGGGCATACAGCAATTCGCCATTCCTCGCATGCCCTAAACCGAACTGTTCGAGAATACCCGCTTATCTCCCTTTGAAGAGGTGCCGACCATTACGCGAGCATGCTTTTAACGCAACGATAACACTGAAGCCCTACATCGATTTCGGCTATTACCTTGCCGACTTCTTTCCTACTCCATCTGCTGCGTATTCCCCTACATCGAACTCTGGACATAGAGATATTCTTGTTATAAAAGATGAAACAAACTGCCAGAGGGTGTTTCGCTTTTGTCATCAACTTTATGTAACACTCCTCCTGTTTGTTGAACCTGTTCACTCTCGTTTGCGCTCTGATATAAAAGCGGAGTTACGAATCGCCCCTACCACTACAGTTCTTACTTCATGGCAGCTACTTCTTGGGCCCGATCTTGAACGGTTCGATTTTGATAGGTTGTATGAATCTGTTCCATGGACATTAAATGGCTACTTAATGTCTATCGATAATCGTAATTACAGGGGGCGACTTGCTATCAACAGGGATGATATTCTACCTACCTGCTATAACAAACAATACACATTAGGTTAGGTACGTAAAATACAGGTCGTATTTGAGGGCTCTGGAAGGATAATAGATGAGTTAGTGAGGACAAAGAACATGCTTAGTCTATATATCGCATCGTAAGTAATTTATATTTTTAATGTAAACGTAGCAGTGTCTTAGTTTTGCGGCTTGAGCTACGAATAGTGTCATTAGTTGATTCTTAGCGCAAACGGACGCTAAGCAGCGTGACGGGGAGGCAAGTAAAAAGGCGGCAGGGCGATAGCTTGGATCTTCCCCGCGTTACGCTTAATAGCGGGTCTCATCTGGTCTAAAAAGCACCCGTTAGTCTACTATACTATTCTTAGGTACCTGCTAACTCCAAGTCTTCTACGTAAGGGTTATAGTATGCCTCGCTGGGTTGACATATTCTACATTGTACAACCTGGAAAACCTAAGAAGAAGCACAGAGAGTTTTGGAGGTAGCCCTCAAATTTTCACTCTTCCATCACCTTATTCCTCCATAGTATTCAACGTGATGATTTGGATTTACGTCAATTCTGATGCGTTTACAGTGTTGATGACGCATATCCATCCATTGAGAAGACGCTTATCTTCGGGTTCGACACGTCTTGTAGAAATGGTGAATGAGAAGTTAAGAGATATTATTTTTATTGCTTCGTTCATCTGGTCAAATTTTTGGGGTGTTCCCGATGCCTCGGATTCTTCGAAGGACCTAGACCGCCATGTGAGTTGCAAATCTGAGGTTGAAAACTACGCCAAGTAACAAGGATATCATCTAACGGCCTAAGAACACGAGCCTTCACTCTTGATGATAGCCAAAATAGGTAATACTCCGTAGCTACGAGCCAACTTCCCACTCGCACTTTTTATGGAGAGCGAATTTCCAAATTTCTTTACCGAGAGAAATATGACAGGGCTGTATTTGGAATGAGCCGGAACTGCGACGCGGAATATGGAATTGTATATCCTGGTTTATGCCCCGCATCGTTACTTTACAAGACTTAAGTCGATGCAGATTTCTTGGTAGCACACTATTGTTGAACTCCGAACTGAGATGCTGGTAGCTAACATGTATCCTACAGCGGGCCGCAAGATGGTCTCGTGAGCTGAGCCATTAGGTAGGCACAGCCGTAGTAAGACTGGCGCTTGAAAAGTTTCCAGAAGCTAGGTGACATGAATAAACACGGATGCCTATTACGAGGTACGCTTAACGTACTGCCGTAATCCGCATTGTATCAAGAATGGAGCCTGTGATGTGATTGAGCACTAGCCTTTTCCGACGCTGATGTCTCGTATGATACGGACTCTGTGGCGTGGTATGGAAAGACCGGATGAGATCGCAAATGACAGGAACCTAAGTATTTCAAACGAATTTTATATATGTACGACCGTCGAACCTGCTCTCGTTGACTGATACCGTAGCTATTTCTATTTGGAAAAGGCTGGTTAATAGCATTTTAAAAGCTGCCAAGATGTCAATTCTAGGACTCGCTTGGGGAATTGATTATGAATATTGAGCAGGCCAATGATAATTACTCTGGCGCAAAGCAACATAGTGATGTGACTGTGTTACTCATGCTTGGCGGCTTATTGTCCCGAAGAGCAAGTCACCGATCTGGGCAAGATCATCATACAATAACCTGGGTAAGGATCTGATGTGGTAATTGCGGTTATCCTATTCGACTAGACTACTGACAGTTGAACGGTCCGATCTGGGTAGGTAACGTTGTGACAAGCTGAGGGGCAAAAACGACAAAGGATGTCAGGATTCATGTATTGGAGTTGAGCTCTTCTGCTTACTTTTCCCGCTATCTTGCAGTACATATATTTCATAGCCCCCCCCAAGGCACCCTTTGCAAAGTTATATTTCTTTTTGGAGATTGGCTTGTTGCGGACGCCGTTTCGAACAAAATTCTTTCAATTCGTTCCGGCAATATTATTACAAACCCTTTCCTAGCTTGGTTTTGGTTTTTTTTTGAGAAAGTCGCCGAGTAGAAAATATTACGCAGTATTCTCGTCATGACGAACGACGGGACTAGCGAAAGCGTCGACGCCGCCCACGATAGCCCTCCTATTATAGGGGAGAAAACTCCACATGCGCCGGATCTAAAAACCACTGGTTCAGGCCCGAGCTTAGATATAGAAGCACCTCTCCGGGGACCAAATGGCGAAGAATATCCTACAAAGGAAGAACTCGATACTTTACGACGCGTTAAGGGACCTATTAACTTGATTATTTACACTATCGCCTTTGTCGAACTCTGTGAACGATTTGCCTACTATGGAACTACTGCTGTTTGTAAGTTTGAGATAATTGACTTATCCCCACGTTGCCGGATCTAATTATTTGTTGCATAGTCGTCAACTTCATTTCGCAACCTCTTCCCCCTGGATCTACGACCGGAGCCGGTGGCACGGACCTACAAGCCGGAGCTCTCGATCAAGGCCAACGAGCTTCGACTGGTTTGGTGCTGTTCAACTCTTTCTGGTCTTACCTCATGCCTTTGCTTGGTAAGTGATATTTTGGTATTAAATTACTGATATGACAGAAATTAAACCTTACTGTTATAGGTGGTTGGTTAGCCGACACGTACTGGGGCAAATATAAGACTATCAACGTTGCTGTTATAGTAGCTTTGTTCGGCCACATCATCCTCATAATATCGGCTCTACCGCCGGTCATCGCCAACCCAACAGGCGCTCTTGGTTGTTTCTCGGTCGGCTTGATCTTCTTCGGCATTGGCGTTGGTCTTTTCAAGGCCAACATTTCCCCTATGATCGCCGAGCAATACGAAAATACGCAACCAAGGGCCATCATCAAGACTCTGAAGAGCGGCGAACGTGTTGTGGTGGACCCTGTCTTAACAATTTCCATCATTTATATGCGCTACTATTTCTTCATCAATGTCGGATCTTTAGTCGGCTCTATTTCGATGGTGTACGCTGAAAAGTACGTCGGTTTCTGGCTTTCCTTCGTTTTACCCACGGGCCTCTTCCTTCTCTGCCCTATCGTCATGGTTGCTTTCAAGGCTAAATACGTCCGTCATCCACCCACCGGCTCGGTCCTTAGTAAGGCGCTGGCGTTAGTTGGCCTATCGATGAAGGGGCGTTGGTCGTTGAATCCTATTACTACTATCAAGAACTTCCGCGCGCCGGGTTTCTTCGAGAGGGTCAAGCCGAGCAATATACCCGAGTCCGAACGCCCAGCTTGGATGACATTCGATGACCACTGGGTCGATGAGGTACGCCGTGGTTTCAAAGCCTGCAGCGTTTTCGTTTGGTATCCAATATATTGGCTTTCTTATAACCAACTGAACAACAACCTCATTTCGCAAGCCGCAACATTGCAGTTAGGCGGCGTTCCGAATGATGTGGTTTCCAACCTCGACCCTTTCGCGCTGCTGATCTTCATCCCCATCTGCGATAAATTTATTTACCCTATCATAAGACGCGCTGGTATCCAGTTCACACCTATCAAGAAGATTACGACTGGCTTTGCCCTAGGAACTATAGCGATGGTCGTCGCCGCTATTATTCAACATTACATTTACATGCAATCCCCGTGCAGGAGTGTAGACGGGTATGGGTACGTTGCCGACTGCAGGACGCGTCTTGGACGTCCGGCGGATGCTCCGGAATCTGAATTTAAACCACCACTATCTGTCTGGATTCAGACACCTGCATATGTTATTTTGGCACTGGCTGAAATTTGCTCGTCGATTACCGGTCTCGAGTATGCTTTCACGAAGGCGCCGAAGAATATGCGAGGCTTTATTACCGGTGTTTTCTGGTTTTCTCAAGCGTTCTCATCTGCGATAGGCCAGGCCTTTGTTCCCCTTGCTACTGATCCTTACCTCGTATGGCTATATATGACAATTGCTATCATCTCAGCTCTCGGTGGTGTTGGATTCTGGTACAGCTTTTCGGACTTGGATCGCGAAGAAGAAGCTTTGAATGCGCTCCCGGACAGTTTATTCCAGGGAAGTCAAAACCAGGATGCGGACTTCGCTACTATCGAGGCGGCGCAGGTAGAGCAAGAGAAGATTCGACACGCCCAGGGACTAGATAAAGCACCGTAGTCGAAAGGGATTGCTTTTGTACGTTTCGTTGTATATCTTGATGATACCAAATTAGTAGCAGTGGAGACTTGCGATTTGTATGATATGAAGGAGGAGGGTAGTTGATAGTTACCTACATACCTCTTATCATCCGGTGAAAAAAATAAATAAATATCGAGGGGGAAAGGTGCCAAGTCAGCTGGCTACCCACAACATCTTTCCCAATTTACAGGATATAGAACATACAAGCTTCTCAGGAAACATCTCATCTACCTATATCGTATGTCTTCTCTTCTATTCAAGTAAGTAAACACTTCAATATTTCTGTTCTGTGTACCCAAAAAAAGGTTATATTGAGTACAGCAAGGCATACAAAGCCTTCCGTAACGGCTATGGAATAGAGGATCTACAGCGATGAGCATGTAGCGACGCGGCCAATGTACCATCCAAAGCGTATGTCCTAGCCCAGCGCATGGTGCATCTTTGTAGACCACATGCTGAAGTTGGTTCACAGGGCGTACGCCAATAACCAGGCTGGGATGAATGCCTCCCTTTATGAAACTCATTCAGGAACATCATCCGACGTTCCTGAAGTCAAACATGTATACTTACAGTTTTTAAGATGCATCTGAAATCTGAACTATATGTACATCATATCCTTGTGTCGTAACGGGAACCAATGTGTCACGGTGGTGAATCCGTAGACGTTTTTCGAAGGTCGTATCCGTATTTCTGGTTGGAAAATTGGATGATATAGATAGCGACTTGAGTAATAATAAGTCTCTACTTAGGTAGATAAGTACTAACATCAACAATATTCAGAAATCAAAGCTATCGTGAAGTCTTGAGGTGCGTAGATGCCACCTCAAGGAGCCCCCTACTGTCCTGCAGCACATAAGCCGCAGACAGGAAGCCACCTATTCTCCGTAGTACGTCAGTTATGGCATGTAAGTATAACAGCGTCTGCAATCACGCCCAGAAATAACCCAGATTACTATGCCCTCCTCTCGGCATTTTGGGCAACGGGTGCCTGGAAGCTGCAAGCGAAAGGACGTCAGATTTGAAGCTTTGAGTTACCTATAGATGAGTCAAATAGTATTACATACCATCTCGTATAAGTTATCTGGCTTCTTGTTACTTTGACCGAAGCTTCCAGCGTCAGTTCCCTGCCCTTGTTGAGTCTCTGTGGTTCTTCCAGCCGTACTAGTCCAACCGGCATTTTCTCCTTGCGACGGCGACACCGTGTTCATAAATGAGTATTCTTCGTGGCATTCAGTTTTCGGTTTTGTAGAGAGAACATTTAGAGCTGAGGAGAGTCCGGTAGCATTTGCTTCCATAGTATGGTTGATTTGAACCACTATATCGAGTTACGTATATCTATATGATATGACTACGACCTTCCATATAGACCTAATAGATAGATGAGTGGATGGCTGAGTTAATGATGCGACTTTGTCCCCAACTTTGTATGATGGATGACCTAAGCCGTACATTAGTCCTTTGTTCAGTCGCTGACTACTAGGAAGACGGTATCATATTATTTTTGACGATCTATAGGTATTGAATGATTGTAATTAAGCACTCTGGACACAAACTGTGGGAATAATCAGGAGACAGAATGACCAGTGCCAGGAAATAGAGTTAACGTCAATATTACCGAAATGAATATATGCGCATCAATACTGAGAGACACGGAGTACGTCTTAAGAGTCCGACACGGGTTTGACGATGCATATCGTGATACTGTGGAGAGATACGTCTGTGCGCCGATGAGGTAGAGGGGCCGCTGTACGGGGGAGCCTCAGACTTGCATTGCATCTCGTTTACGAACAATGTTTAAGCAACACATTACGGGCAAGTTACGTGCATTAACGAAGCGCTACTATGCAGTACTATTATTTCATTTGCTAGTTTCGCTCTGATGACATGTTGAACCAATATAAAGAGGGTATCTATGGTATAAAAGTTGCTATGAAGTCTCTGGTCAAGTTTTATAACCCGAAACTGACTGGACTATGGCGGTATTCAAGTAGGTAAGCGTCAGATGACCGTTAACTACCCCGAGGCAACGGTCCTCCGCCATGACACCTTGATGTGTTGTGAGGTTTCTTGCTCCTTTCAGAGCGTCAAGTCGAATCGCGACTTGTTATAAGTATAAAAGCTTGGCCTAGTGATCACTGGAGGTAGTTAAAAAAAAAAACTATAGCCAAGTCGACAAATGGGAGTTGGCTTCAAGACTCAGCCAAGTTCCATATTCTCAAGGGTATGAGACTCATCCTCGCGTTTTGTAAGCCCTCGTTCCTACTGATTCCGTGATAATATCTGCTGCTTCGAGCGGCTCAAATCCTTCCGGCATTGGAGTTTTTTCAATCCATGCTCGCACCCCCTTAGCGAATAGTTGAGGATCCTGTAGATTCCACGCATGGATGGCATGTCTTACTACAAATGCGCGCGATCCTCTACCATCGCCTGTACCTAGTGATTCAAATAACTTCACCGTTTCTCGCACACCTTCGACGTTGTCTTGCTTGCCTCCGGCGACCAGAGCGATTCTTTTATCCCTTTTTCCAACTTCTACCATATCATCTTTACTCCAGTTAACTGTGTCACGAGCTCCTGCCTCGTATAGTTGTGACGTGTTGTTTCGTTTAATTTCTTTTATCAGGTTCTCGTCCTGAAATTCCGGTGACCACCCTGTCGCTTTAAACAGCAAACTCTTTGGGCTATGTAGTAGAACCGACAGACCTATATGAGCAAGCTTCGGTTGGGAGTTTAGGCTCTTCCACATATCGTTTAGTGGCGCTACACCAGATATGAAGGCGCTCAAAACAATATCCGGGTGTCGTTTTATTATTTCCATTGCTATAAATCCACCCGTCGATAGTCCGACAAGGTGTGCCCGTCCGTCATGGGCGCGTTCCCGTATTATTTGGGCCACGAGATCAGCGGCTAAGGTGAAGGAAAAGGGTCCAATTCGACGGGAGCGCGAGTGCTGAGGTAGATCGGGTATGAGAAGATGATACTCGGACAGTTTAGGCCAGCAATGTTGCCACTCGAGGTGAGAGCTCAACAAGTAGTGTAGCATTACGACCGTGACGGGCGCAAGATCATTGAGCGACGCAAAGAACAGGCCCTCATTGCTGCCGACTTCTGCTACGCTTGCTGTAGGCCAACTACTGATAGAAATCGACCTGTCACATATTGGCAATGTATTATCTGTACTTTGCCAACCACTGCTGGTAGTTGCCGAAGATGTGACCCTGCGCATGGCAGCTAGCGTGCGATTCTGATCGTATTATAACCACACCCATAGGATGAACCGCACGACAATAGCGGAATTCAGTGTTAAGGTCAGGTAGGTATAATATTAACACAACCAAATGCCCTTGTTACAACCGTGCCGCAATCAAAAGAGAAGCGATGTGAGACTTGCGGCGTGGTGAGAGAACAGGAACAGTCCCATTGAACTGCCCAGCCAGATGTTTATCAGGATTCGGGAATCAGGAATCGGCGTCATCACCTAATTCATTACGTTCAGCTACTCCGCCAAAGCTGCCTCAACACCCTCAACACCGAAACCGTTGCATGTCGAGATTCTCCAGATTTCTTGCCTAACATGCGTAGTGGATGTGGAACGACAGGATCCATCGAAGCGCTTTAGCTTGCTCAAGGTCCAGCACAACTAAGGAGAACAAGAGCTTAGCGTAACAAATGTGCCGACGTCGTCATTGCCATTGGTCAGTTTCTTTGATGAATAAGGAGATTGTCCGTTCCTAGATTAGCGACCTAAGATGACGATACTCTTACAGATACAATCGCTAACTAGTAGCGCACGGCCTTCAAACGGAATCAGGTTTCATTCCATGCTATGTCCGTAGTAGCGTGCTCTTAGGTGAGACCATATGGGGACAAACCTTGCTTTAGGCACGCATTAGGCTCCCACGTGAGGTTCAAATCTTATAAGACAAGGGTTGAGGCTCCCCATTAGCAAGATTGTTAAGCTATAAGATAGGGTTTACGACAGCGATAATTGTATCTTCAAACACAACTCCATTATAAATTTCAGCCTGCCTTTCCTGTCACGTCGAGACCCCGTATCGTACCCATACGGCATGGATCGATCGACAGTGACATATCACTAATCAAGATATACTAGGGAGTACTCTTGATGCGGTAAGGTTGTGGGACTACCTGAATTAGGAGTTGGTGTAGAATCCACCAGGTCCACGCTATTTGACATTCGAATGACACAGTTATTGTGCCGTATCGAATATCCTCGGCAGCATATCATGGGTGTGGATCGTGGAGTTTATCTATAACCCACTTAGATTTCGAAATATCCCGACCATGAAGACAGCACTAAGCTTCGCTTCAGCTCGACATCAGCGGCCCCAAAAGCACATGCATTGCATGCATATGCTGCGGCGTGCCCGGACAAGTGGGCCAAGCACCGCATAATAGTTAAAATATCAAGAGATGATCCCAAACCCTCGGGCCAGGGGATGACCCAGGGACTTGGGTTATGGAACGTAGCATGATTTTCTAACAAGCATGAAATTAGGAAATCTTTGTAGAGTGGGCTTTTGTCTAACTTCCTAACTGCTAGTACCTAGACTAGGTACCTGTGTTGTTATCTTTGGTAGAGACCAGATGGGAATTCACATTTACCTATCACAGTGAATACCTACCTAGGTTATTACCTTAGGTACCTCTTAGGTACCTAGGTACTCAAAACTACACCTTGGTTGATTTGCATACTTACGGCATGAAACGTCATCTTTAGTATGTTGAGCAGTTAACGTAGAATCAACCGACCTCAGCGTTCCCGCCACACCCCTAGGTTTAACCCCCAGCTTAAGTCACTACCTGAACAGTTGACCACGTTGCCATCATGCTCTTACCGTGCTCTGGGTCTCTGTCATCTAGGTAATGAATTAGCGGTAAGATTTACGCTAGGAGCTGGATGTAAGGAAGCTAACAGCAATAGTAAATTTAATGTGGACATCAGCATCATATTATAATACATTTCCACCAGACCTTACCTACAACAGGAAATAACTATCATATGCCTTAAGTTACAGCGATCCTTGATAGCTGATTACGTCAATTCTTGAACGCTTATCATCTTTGCGATGGGTTAAGCAATACCCATTAGATGAATCTACTCCCAGCATCTACGGTTTGTTTCTCTTTATGTCTTAAGATATCGAGGTATAATTACTATGTAACAATGTGGTCCATGGAAGTTTTATATCGGTAGACTTACTTAGTAAAATCATGCAGTTAAGGCAGATTGAATGATTATTCATATTAATAATTCATAAAACATCATAAGTAACCTTACTGATCGTAGGTATCAACGAGAGCCCAGAGCTGCCTCGTAGGAAATATACCAGCTTCTTTCCACTTTTATGGCCACGGGTTCCGGTTTCTGCGTTGGATTTCCGACGAATACTGACTTGGACTTCTGCTTAAGCGCGTTATAGAAACCTAATCTATCTGCCGGCGATATTGAAGTGTTTGCTTTGATGGTCGTAACGTTGGCGGTTGGTTCTCTCCAGGGCCGTGAAGATTCGCCGTCATGCGACTCCAGCTTACTAGGGGTTACTCTACTAAATTGATAACCGCTGCGTAACTGATGCGTAACATAACCGTAGCTTTCTCGTATCTTGTCCCAGTATGGCCGCAGTAGGGGAAGGCAGAGAGAGAAGATGGCCAACTCAGGCTCGAGAACACGGAGATGCATATCACGAACGTTGGTCATAGCTTTCATATAGTCAGCCCGCACTAGAGCACTTATGCGGACGCAGGAGACCACGGTGACGCTATAAGTAACGTTAATATCCATAATATTTGGTGCATGATAACGTTACCTAGGTAGGTACTTACCAGATTCCCAGACTGAAAAGTATAGTTAGATTTATCTTAACCCTAGTCCTCATCTGCAATCCCCAGATAGGTTTTATGGGTAGAAGAAGAACGATGACATTCGAAAGTACATTGAAGACTGCGGTTCCAATGTCGACCTTCCTGCTATTGACCACGATACCGAATGGTTCTTTTCCCCAGATTTGTGCTGCAAGTTCCGAAAGGGTAAATGTCTCCACAAGCACCGCTATGTATAGCAGTGCTATGAAGAAGCCGGTGATCCGGCAAGTTGTTCGGAACCACTTGTGCACAAATATCTTCATGTACAAGCTGATAGCGCTGAGTTTTGTGAAGCACATAGAGAACAAATACAAGGTTTCGAAAACAAGGAGCATCTAGTATAAGGATATTAGTATTCTGAGCGATAACTTTAAGACACCTAGCTCTAGAGGAGTACTCACCGAGAGCATGCTATTGTTAACATGGCTTAGCGAAATGCGGCAGTGTCCTCCATTCCAAACTTATAGAAGTTAGCGAACCCGCCACCAAAAAAAGGGGCCGACGTACGATAGATAGAAACTGTAAACAATGCAATTTCTAGAGCGACCGCGGTGAGGATAAACCCATCATCCCACCCGAAGCCGACCGTTAACCATCTAGAATAGAGTCGTAGCCCAACCGCAACCAGGCTGGCAGCAAATATAACACATGAAATGGCGAAGACAGGCGTTTCCATGATCCTGCGAACTGAAATTGAGCAGTCTATGTTTCTTTTTTCTTGCATTTTGGGCCAGCCCGCATTGAAACAAAAATAATTAAATACGACTCTAGAATTCCCATAGTGATTCACTTACATTGGTGTTTTGTTATGAAGTACACTAGTCACAGTCGTTGAATTCGACCACAATTGTGCGCGCGAGTGGAAGGCTAAAGCCGAGTCATCGCCTTACATCATACGGTGCACACGATCAACTCAGATCATACCAATTGTTTCTTTACCCCATATCCAACAATGATTATTCAAGTTCCTTTACTATTTTATAGACTCGTAACTGTCTACGAGTTAACTCATCCCAACCTGTAAATACGTAGTAAATTTCCTTACGAATTAGGTCGATTTAATACCTAGACAGCACCTAGAACCGTGTTCTAAAGTTGCTAATCACTAGCTATACTTATTTATTCTTGTTGATTCTAGTTCAAGTGGATAGAACTTTTTCTCTGCTCGTTAAAAGTATAAGAATGCTATAAATTAGGTCTGGTAGTCAGCCACATTGACAGACAACAAACTGGACTTGAACCAATAGTAAATCAACGTGATATTTGGAGCACCACTAGAAAAGGTTTATTGAAACCGACTGAATTCAACCCTTCTTAATTCGATAGTAGGTTACGAGGTATCTATGATTGGGCTATGGTGATCTAAGATGTTAAAGGGATGGATTGTTTACCTCAACTTTGACTCCTACTCAAAAGAGTGGACGGACACATTGCGATTATGTTCAATATAAAATCTCAGTGTGTGATAGGGTAATGTGAATGCACAGCGTTCTCTCATCAGTTTAATTAACTTGCAACTTTTTTTCTTTTTTTTCTTTTTTTTTTTTCCAATTTTAGCATCGGGAAGTCATAGGTTCAATAGCGATATATAGAAAATAAGCTTCATAAGTTTAAGCCTTACACCCATATCTTTAGTTAAAGGTAAAACACGCGAAATTTCTGCAGCACTGCTTTTCTTAAAGACAAATAATTCTATATCCAAAGCTCCCGTTAATAGTAACTAATTGCCGATGAAAGTTTAGGAGTTTATTTGGTCTTATCACTTAATTCTCAAAGCTATTCTCAATGGTGGAATTTGATTCCTCATCGTATTTATGCTTGTTATACGTTCATTCAAGCTTTGCGCTGTTTACTGTACACTTCTAAAGTCTAGGCACCTATATGTCTTATAAGCTTCTCAATGTTTTATGTAAAGAGATTATACCATACAGGAATTAGGGGGAAGTACAAGTATACAACTGTTGAACTTTCACTAAAAACAGACTTGACGTGGTCAATTGGAATAATACCGACACTTTTCAAAATTTCAGACGCAATACGACCTGCTTGCATGGGGAATGTAACTTCTCATGTAGTTGTCACGTCTTGGCAGTGGGTTCGTCTACATTTCAATTAACACATAGGGTCTCATCCGATGCTACAGAAGGTCGACGGGGACTCGGCCGGACTGCAGAAAACCTGCATGGCCGAAACTAATTTTAACCGCTCCTATAGCCGACACGAGCAGCAAAGCGTATAGGGGAAAAGCGTCAAAACTGGGTTGCTAGCGTAAAAATGTTTACGCGTCAATGAACATAAGGAGTACCTACCTCCTACCTAGGTAGGTACCTGTAACGCCAATGACGAGATAACTGTCCTTAACGTAATATCGGCCTTGTTCCTGAACGAGGAAAAGACTTTTTTTTTTTTAACCTTAGATGCGAACCCCAGAAAATAAAAACATGCGTGTGGGTGGCGACCGCAAAATGTCTTTGGCGCGCTTCTTTCTTCTCCCCCTCGCCGGGCCTCGACTCGTATTTCAATCTACGCCAGCGGGAGATCTTACCCCAGAAATCCGGATATCCATATTGCTTCCCCACAGCGTGTAAGGGCTCTTTACAAACTCCTGGTCCTGGCGCAGTATATGAATAGGACGGCTCGCCGGTGTGTAGACAGATGGAGATGTGTCGCACGTTTGTTCGAAAATTTGCATGTCGATCCCGCATGCGCACTTCGGCTAGTTGCACCTAAACTAAGGTAACCTGAACCTAGCCGTCTATCTCGCCATATCTCGCCATAAGATGCATTACCTCCGAGCTTTACTCCTTGCGACTGTGTCGTCGCTCGCCGAGGCGAGCTTGCAAGTAGTACCCGGCGCTACTTGGACTACGGTACGGCGCTTTCGATCCTATAATATCAATCATAGTACCTAGCATAACCCCTATTCTCCCCGCCTTATCTTCCCCTTGTCAGCCCCTTTCCAAATTTACATGCCCTCAATTCCACAGAAACTCCACCTAGAACACAACCTGTTGTACGTAATGTACTATAGGCACGCTTAGCCGCTAACACACCTTGGTGTACAGTCTAACGGCGAGCACCTGCAAGCCCATGGTGCCGGCGTCATCAAGGTCGACAACACATACTACCTAATCGGCGAGGACAAGACGGGCGGGAGCGCCTTCCAGAACGTCAACTGCTACTCGTCCCCCGACCTGGTGCAATGGACCTACGTCGGCGCGCTGCTATCGCGCACCGCGAGCGGCGACCTAGGCCCGAACCGGGTCGTGGAAAGGCCCAAGGTGGTGCGCAACGCCAAGACGGGCAAGTACGTGCTGTACATGCACATCGACTCGTCCAACTACGGCGAGGCCAAGGTCGGCGTGGCCACCGGCGACTCCGTGTGCGGCAAGTACACGTACGTGGGATCGTACCAGCCGCTGAACCACCAGAGCCGGGACATGGGGCTATTCGTGGACGACGACGGGACGGGCTATCTGCTGTCCGAGGACCGCCAGAACGGCCTGCGCATCATGAAGCTGGCCGACGACTACCTCAGCGTCGCCGGCAGCACGTATCTGTGGGCGGACAGCATCGAGGCGCCGGCCCTGCTCAAGCTGAACGGGCGGTACTACATGTTCGGGTCGAAGCTGACGGGGTGGGACCCCAACGACAACGTCTACAGCACGTCGACGTCGCTGACCTCGGGCTGGAGCGCGTGGAAGACGTTCGCCGACTCCGGCAGCAAGACGTACACCTCGCAGACCAACTACGTGTTGCCGGTCGGCAGCAACGCCGCGATATACCTCGGCGACAGGTGGGTGAGCCAGAACCTCATGGCGTCGACGTACGTGTGGCTGCCGCTAAGCATCAACGGCGCCACCGTAACCATGGCCAACGCCGAGTCCTGGGTGCCCGACCTTTCCTCGACCTCGTCCTCGGCGTCGAAAGCTAAGCCCTCGGAAACCGCGTACGAAGGCGAAGCCGCTGTGTACGGGGGTAAGGCGCGCGACGTGAGCTGTAATAGCTGCTCTGGAAAGACGGCAGCAGGCTACGTGGGCGGCCCAGATAAGGGAACCGTGACGTTCCGGGGAATACGCAGTGACGCCGATGCGCGCACAACTGTGCGCATACGCTACGTGAACGGGGATAGTTCGGCGCGCTACGCAAACGTGCGAGTGAATGGCGCCGCTGCGCAGAAGATAGCGTTTTTGCCGACAGGCAGCAGCGTGTCTAGTAGCACCCTAAATGTCGACCTGAAGTCTGGCAATACAAATGAAATAATCATTGAAGGCATTAATGATGGATGGGGACCTGATATTGATAGGTTGATAGTTCCCGTGCAATGAGTCCAGGGTGGTGATATGCATCAGATAAGCGGTATAGGGGGAATGAATGATATTCATACAATACAATATATAGTACCTAAGGTATTTTGACTCCCAACAATGTAGGCCTTCTTAACACTCCGTGAGTCGCTTATCATAAAGCCCAAAGTGTTACCCCCAAGTTGGATTTCCACGTGCATCTTTCGTACCAGTCAAATTTGGCCTTCCAGGCTCTTCCGTTCGTATATGTGTATATCACGCCCCCAAAAACTGAATGCTACATTGATCTACAATCCATGCTGGAAAGCTCGAGGAAAAGACGCTTTAGAAATAGCATTAGCAATAACCGCCGGACCAGCCGAAGTAATAACCGCCAAGCAACTGACTTCAAGGATAATTCCTCGTCCGTTTCACACCCCCTGCTCGACAACACCCTACAACCTTGCGTAACAACACCTACCGCATCTCCCCCAACTTGACTCCAACGGTATGGCAACATTAGAACCACTAGGCCCTTTGTGCCTGTCCTCTCCAACTCCCAAGGGGGAGGCCGACAATTATTATTCTGGGAATTCCATCAGTTAGGAAACCATTTCGCGTTGGATAGACCGTTCTCAAACGGTGACATATAATGGAAATGCTAGAAACGACGTGACTCAAACAGTGTTGACATATACGGCGTGTGGCCTTGTAGTGGAGGTTGCGGCCCAAGTTGTCGCATGTAGTAGCGTGGAGTAGCTGATTTTGTTTAGCTAGACCTTTCTCAGACATTTGGAATGGCTGACGTGTATTAAGTTTTCGCAACTGGCGCTCGACAGGGCCATGATTACAATAGTAAGCCGCAGATCTCTTCTGGGATGGGGTGCAACACTATGATATAGCAAAGAAAATGGTATCAAGTCGTAATGAGCCATGAACGCCGCGCCAGGTCCAGAAACAAACGTGCTGCAAGTTGATAACGTGAATAAACCAGAAGGCTCTAGGGAAATTCACTGAAGCATGGTGTCGGATGATCACCAGCCTTTCTTCCTGGCAAAGCGCTTGTTTAGCAAGGCCAGTACCTTTGTGACGTTGAACTGCACGTATTCCAGATCCAAGTCGTCTTGATTATCCTTCTGCATTTCCAGAAGGTCGTCGAGCTTCAAGTCGAGTTCTAACAGACCACGGTTGCGCCCTGTATGCTAATTAGCTAACGAATACAATGGGGAGCCACGTCGATGAGAACCAACCTTTGTAATGCAGGGAAATGACAAAAGTTCCCGGTAAAGGACTCGTGAAATTGAAATAGATGTTAGCTCTCCTATTGTCGGGGACATTGCTCTTCTGTATGACACCTTCTTTTTCTAGTTGCTGGTGGGTAAATTTGTACGGGCCAAGAACTTGTTGCTTTTGCTGCTTTCGTCTCGTGCCTTCGGATTGACTTCGTACATTATGAAGGTAACTCTTATATGTCTCGAGTTGGCCCACAAGGTACGAGTTGTGATCTCTAATGGTCTTGTATACTTCTTCGAGCTTAGCTGTTTCGGCAATAACACCGTCTTTCAAGGAGCCTAGGTGCTGTAACTCCTGCTCGACCTCGTCTCTCAATAAGCTAAACTGGTCGGATTTATCGATCACCTTCATCTCCTGGAGTTGGCTAAGTAGTTCCATGGCACGGATACCTTTCCGGACCATCACTGCGTCATTTCTTGACGTAGCTGCCGCATCCGCAATCCTCTCCAGACGCAAGGGCCGTCGAGCAACCGAACTGGTTGCGGGAATAGAACGCATAACTTGTACGAAGATGGACTTGGCTTCCATGAAGTAGACTTCCTCCTGAGTAATATCCAGAGCGGCTGTCAGATCGTCAATGGCCGTCTCCCATCGGCTGAACAGAGGAAGGTTTATGGCCCTATTCTCCTTCCGAGGTACCTGTGCGGGCGCGTGGCCTAATTCCGATATGATTTGAGATAAGTGTGAGTTTTCGTCCTTACAGAGTTCCCCACTATGCTTCTCGATCAAGGAGTGCATGGCGTAAATTTCGTTCAGTGTGATAGAAAGCTCTAGGTCCTTCTTCGACAGTGCCACATAGTTATCCATCTCTAGACTCTCATAAAAATCTTGGACTTCACAGAGATCCAACATGAACTTGTTGACGCGATCCTTGTTCTGTTGGATGAATGGCTGCAATTTCGCCATGTACGGTTCCTTTGCATACGATGGCTTATTAGCCAGGTTCTGTAGCATCTTAGCGACCAATGTCAGAGTTCGCCGTGGTCGATCAGATGGCACCCCGTCGATGAGCATGTACGATTTTGGCGTAACAATCGCAGGATTGATGAAACGCAAGAAGAAAAAACCACCGATCAAGGTGCAGATGACCTGATCGTTCGCGTCGGGATATTTTCGTTTGGTGAGACTCCGAATCTGTTTACATATCCATCGAATTCCATACGGAGCCTCCTCGAGCCCGTCGATGATTGTCTGTAGGAAACCGTTGGCAATTTCAGTCAGCATCGTCAAACGTGGTTCGATGATTTTCTGCACTTGAGGATTTTCGGCCGCTTGTTCGCCAGTGATACCCCTAGGAAGTGATGGTGGGAGGCTGCCGGTATCCTCTTCGATCTGCTGGCACATGCGTTCATAGACTTTTAGCGGGTTGATTTCCAAATCTAAATCTGTTAACTCGATTAGGCTGTTGATTCTGTCCGCCAATACGGATCGCAAGAAACTCTGCCCTGGCCCACGCCTAGTGTAGGTAGTCATCATACGAGAAACCGGAGTGTTCGCTCGGAGGAGTGATGAATATTCAGGGGTCGTATCGAATTGATAGGTTAAGACAGACTGATGATAGTTAATAATCGAAACCACACTGCTAGGTTAAAATTTCAAGCGACTTACTTGGAACATGGTCAATAAGAGATGTTCTTCTCGGCTCTCATATTGGTTTCCATATATAGTAAACATGACTGTCTGCAGGAGCGAGTCGATCTCCGACATAGACACCAATCGGCAGAGATGCGCGATATGCCTAGGTTCAGACTGTAGCAAGAACATAAGATTACCGTACTTTTGCGTTTTGTCGTCGTTAGGAAATGCGCCCTCTTGTAAATCGGTAGCGTCTTCAAGATGGCTGGCTACTTCATTTTGCTAGATACTCGTTTAGTCGTGACTATTATTATAGGATGAGAAATTTGACAAACCTCTTCCAGCGCCATTCGGTTTTGGATGAGCAAAGCAATTCGAGAATCGAGATATCGAACGTCTTTCTCAAGAACAAAATTCTTTTTTGATTGTGAAGAAATTTTGGATTTCAGCTCCCGCAGTATTTTCTGAGCTGTAGTCCAGTAGCATTAGCATTGTTCCATTTCACCAGAATCAACGCTTGTGAACCTCTTACCTTTGGCGAGGTCATCTTCGATTTCCAGATCGGATTCGTTTGCTGACATCGATAGGTACAGGGCTGACATAGACATTCGCTTAGACTGTCGCGCCGAGCGCGAGCCCTCGTAGGAAGACATGGTATTCTGACGCGAAATCGGTTGGAAAGAGGATGACGAGGCCGTCGATGCCCTAGAAGGTGTTTGTAACATGACTGACATATTCGAGAGTAATAATCTTGGGTAGTTTCGATTGTTCGATGGCCTTAATGCCGCTTGCGAACAGCACTACGACAGCAAGCTAAGCACAACGGCGAGATGCGATCATTCCCAAGTACCAAAAATACCAATTGCGCACTGGGACGGATCCGTATCAAACCGGTACCGCTATATATCTACAATCTATCGGACTTCGATAAATATACTCTACAAGAGGCGGTAGTAGAAACAATCGAGGAATCGTGTCATCGATCGCGCAATGAGGGCTGTATGTTGAATTGCTAGATTTACAATCGATAATCTTGGACGTGAATTATTCTGCAACAGTTGTAGGATGGGATCGGAATCGAGGGCGGCACAACGGACCAGCGACGGCCAGATTCAACGTGGTTAAACCGGATGGAGTTCGATCCGTCAAATGTTCAGGTAGTTGACTCGGATTCCCGTAAGGGAGAAAGGCCCTTTTTTTTGATCGGCCAACAAGGTCAACGAATGCTATCAAGAGTCAACCGCGACTAAATAAAGATAAGGGGAAAGCCTCGCTATCTATGGCCAATTGCGGAGAGTGTGTGTCGTGATGAGGTTCTAATCTCGAATTATATCGTCAATCTTCGGTCGGCCTGGCAAAAAAATGTCTGACAACGTAAGGCCAGTTCAGACAGGGTGATTGATGAGAGAGGGCTGCGCTGGATTGCGCTGCGACAAAACGACAAAACTAGCCGCAGAATTGAGAGAATCAAGTTGTACACGCGGATAAGTCTCAAGACATAGGGTCCTCAAGAAGTCGTGCTAGACGTTGCACGGAATTGGTTGGAAATTGACTAAGACGAAGAAGGCGAGAGAGGGGTCGGCGCTCAAAAAAGACTGGGCTGCGACAGGGCGCAAAATGGTCGGGGTGTATGGGTTTGTGTGGTGTACAATAATAAAAGGGGTGGGTGGAAATCTTGTCTTTGAATAACTGCGGGATGGTGGATGGGTAGAAAGGCACCTTTTTGGGGGGGGGGGAGGGGGGTAGGGAAACTTAGGGACTTTGGGGGAGAAGAAGGAAACTCTTAGAGTTGTATGTAAATGTACACTAGCAAGGTACTCCTGTACTGTATCAAAAGGTACAATAAAATAGAATAAAAATAATAATTCGGTTAAGATAGTCGGCTACATGTACAAAAACAGAAGGAAAGGCTTGACGCTATCGATTAATCCGGAAGCAACTTGAATTTGGGGTTCCACTAACGGTATAATAGCTGTAAAGGGGGGAAGGAATATCAAGTATATCATAGGTAGGTTAAGTGCCTAATCATCGCTAAAAAAGTAACCAAACTTATTATTAGGTTAGGTTAGGTACCTACCTAATTCTTCCATTCTACTCGCGACTTGCATAGAAGGACAAGAAGGTAGAGGCACGCACCTAGGGAATTCAACTACATAATATATTACTACCTAGGCAGGGAGTAAATGTAAGTATTAGTCAAAGGGTACCATTAAAATAATTGCAACCTCAACTTGTCCTTTTCTTTGGTTTCTGTCTCTTTTCCTCCTCCTCTTCCTCCCCTTCTTAAACGAATGAGAGAGTTGGGTAACGTTGGAGATAGTGTGTACTATACCATATTTGTGCATTTTTATGCCGGTCGCTGTCAGGGATAGGCTATTTCCTGTCTAGCGGTCTAACGGTTACACAAGACACTATACTATGTAATAAGTTTAGGTATTGTTTTTTTCTTTTTTTCTCTTCTTCGATAAAGCAGTGATTTATGCGAATATCCATTGAGCGGAAAATAATAACATAGTGGGGGAGGCGATGAGAGGGATCGACTCCGTTCGGAATGGTCGCATTAGCGTACCTTTTTATGGCTGTCACTTAAACTGTATAAAGTATATCCTCCGCGTAGATGCCACTAACATAACACCTAATATCACCTTTAACCCTGTTTATAAGTTGATATGATAATGGTTAATGTTAAATATGTGAGGTTAATGTTTGGCGACGACCCCGAAGAATCATACGGTAACCGTCAAACCGTCACCCTGGCATTTCTCAAACTCGCGAATCGCGAACATAGAGAACAGACCAGACCAAGTAAGCAATCACCACCCCCAATGTGCCTCGCGGTTAGTAAATTTGTAGGATTTGACAAAGAGGATTGGGATGCTTCTATATGTAGTGCGTGAGAAACCGTAGTGGAGATGGATTAGATCCTTACATAGTAGATGTTTAGTTAGGAAGCTATGGCCTCGTGATGATCGACAAGCTTTACGGCACAAAGTTGATATGAAACATAAGCAGGGTCCAAGTTTATGTAAATAAAGAAGCCGTATTCTGTGTCTGTCGGTCTCTCCGAGGGAACTTTGTTATGGCATGACATATTTGAGAATAAGGCGATTCTTCCTTACTTATTTAATGCCATTCCATACATACCTGGTATACATGTAAGTAGGAAGACATAACTAGGTTTTTTATTAATTATAACTCGTATCATTATATGTAAGTGCTTTTTCAAAACCAACTTGAAGACACTTAGGGTTCGGAGTTCCATTGTTAAGTTTATAAAAGCTCCATTTCTTAGGAATTACAGGTACCTCCACACATATTTTCCTATCTACGTGTACCTAGATGCATGCATGTATCGATACATTACACCTAGAAACATATGTAGGCGCCCTATTGGTGTTAGCGTGTTGTCTAGGTACCTAATCTAGTACCTAGAAGTAGTCGTCTAAACTTTAATAAGCATCTGGTCAGTTTCATCGTACCCTTTGAACTCAATACGCTATCTCTCTAGTGCACTAGGTACTGAATGGGTTTCTTCTACGGAACCCCACTTATCCAGGAACATTATCCATTCACTAACCAATAAAGGCTTTGTCTGACATGGGTTTCGCCAGGGGTAATAGGACTTAGACTCTTAGACTCTTGGAGAGTTCGTGGGAGGTAGCAGGTAAGTTCCACCAAACTTCCACACCGAACTAATTAGGTGGAAGGTTGCCAACACAAACTCTCCGACTTCACGTTAGTTATTGGTACTACTTCACGTAACTCGGGAACCACAAGCTATCGAGATAATGCAATTTAGAAAGCGCTCGGTAGCATACACCGTACCTAAACAAAAATTCAAATGCTAAGAAAAAAAAAAAAGAAAAAAAAAAGGATGACCGTCGGTCTCTGCTCGAAACAAAATTCCCGTCTCGTACGAATCAGATTAGACATCTCCCATTTACCTGAAATTACCTGCTCCGTGGATTACCTATGTTGTGCATGAGGCCTCGAGAAATTCCGTCCTTTCAAGCGGGCGGCAGTGTCGCATTTACTAATTTGATATCTCGAAAGCGAGGCAACCTGCAGCTGTCTTGTTTTGTTTCGACGCAATACTATGTACAAGACGTACGTATTTATTAACACGGGCGCTTAGCGACGCATAGACGTCATGGAACGCATATGCAAGCCCATTCCCCACAAGGCATCTGGGCGTTACCATTACTAGGTTAGGTACGAAAAGGGGAGTGGACTCAACAGTGAACCATGCTGCCCCCATCAGCTTCAGCCACCCCATTTTCTCATAACCCAAAGTACTACCCAGGTATGTAGGAAGAAGGGGACTAAACTCTGGTTCGGATGCCACCGTGCGAGCCATTATCCATCATCGCCCAGTCAGCATAGCCAAGATTCCACCTCGTTGCAAATGGCTTCCTACAAAAGTACGGTCCGTGTGTTGTACAAGTAGGTACATTCACTCATTATATGGATAGAAATGACAAGACAGTAGCAGTTTCGCGCCAAGATAGACTGACTACCTACTTTGCGGGGTTGAGCTTTTCGTCAACGCTGCTGATGCGGGTTTCTAAGAGTTACTGCGAGTTAGGTACTTACAACTTATTAAGTTAGGTTGAAGCAGTTAGATTGACATATCGTATCGAATTGTCGAACCCTGTATGTGCCGCCAGATTCGACACGTGGAAATCTGCTTCTACGATCTACTATGTACCAACGAGTTCCCGGTGAGTGCATTACGTAGGGTAGGGACCGAGATAACCTACGACCATACCAGGTATATAATGTCTACCACATGCCCGTTAGTCCGTTCGTCCGCCCTGTTCTACACTGCACTTGGGTTACCACGGACGCACGATCCGCCAAGAGAGGCGATCAAGTCAAGATGAGCAGCAGCAAGGATTGAAATCCTGCTACTACTGATCATAAGCACATCTACCGTATGTTTATTAGGTCCCTAACTATCGATTTGGTTTTCAGGGGGGAGAGGGAGAACAGTACAACATATTCTCACATACAGACACTTCTCAAGCATTTGATGCTGAATGGAATATATACCTCCTAGGTCGTTATTTCAACATATAGAGATTCCAGATACTCGGGGTGAATTACTAACAATAGAGACAACTTGGATAAATACCAAGGACCATAAAGCTCCCACAACGATCCACCTCAGATATTCATACGCAGATTTCATTCGTGGGAATAGACCAAAGCGCACTTATTTAGCGCGCAAGTTCCCGGTGCCTCTGGGGTTTCGGAATATTTTAGAATTGCAACCGTCCTCTTGATCATCGTGACTACGTCCGTTGTCAGCTAGCCTAATCCACTGATCGGAAGACAGGGCTGCATGCATTGAGGCAACTTTAGTGCTGCAATGCGAACCGCCAATGCAGGAACGCCGTTGGGTAGCGAATCAATTCTCGAATGCTTACCCAATACCGGCATGTCGGGGCGACGCTGTAGCCTTTCAACGTTACTAGTCTCGTGCTCGAAGTTTGGTGACTGCGGGAAATCTCGAAACATCATCCAAAGATTCTTCTGCTTCCTCGCATGAATGCAGCGCATACCTGCGTACATGTGCTTCGTATCACGAGAAAGGAACCTTAGCCTTGCATATGACAAGTCTGTTGCCAACCAGATCTGATAACACATCGATGTTTGACAATTGTGACGTAGTGACACCCGTTCATCGCGCATACACGCTCTGCACCGCCATTCCGGGGACAGGCAGCTCTTGATATGATATCGGTTTCATCTGCTATCACTCGATAATCTTGTATCCCGTGTACATCACATATGGTCGTGTGGGGCAATGTCTACGACTTTCTTTGTCTGATCTCTCAGTTCTCACCTTTTACGACCCGATACCCTTGTCGATCTCTATCAGCTACCCATTTCTTCGGTAATCATATAGTCTCAGCTGCCATCTGTCACGGCATCCTAACCCTATAGGTCCAACCGCGTCGTCGTTGTTATTAGTCGGCGATCATAAATACCTTAGGTACTTTAATAGTTTCCATAATAGACGATTTTTCTAACTCATTGTTAGATTCCCAGCCCAACGGAACCGAAACCCAAAAGTTGTCCCTACATTATCGTAACTATATCATAAGCCGTGCGTCATCAGCAACAATGACTACGGGGTAGTCAGAACTTCGAACCTAATGCTATTCGTTGACTACACCGATCAAACTAAAAGCACTAATGTTATACGAGAAAGCAAACATATGTCCCGCTACTTAACCTAGTGCTAACAGTACGTACATATCACTAAAGCAACTATTGCTGGCGGTGCCTGAGGATGTACTTCTCAAATATAACAACGGTGATTTAGAGCGCCAGATATCAATGTCAATTGATATCTAGAATTCCTAATCTGTTGTTGTTATTGTCTGATTGATTATGAACAATTACGAAAGCTATCGTACAAGTAATATTCTATATAAGTGGGTCTAGGGTTTGGCGTTGCCAGGGATCCACAAGGAGTCATAAACTTGGTCGACTATTCTGATATTACGATATTCACAACACTACTCGGCCATTCAGATGCACTCAAGATTCAAAGAACTCTCCAGCCGCCAAGTCGCAATTATAATGATAAAATCAATGCCATAAATATTACTTTATATATACTTCAACATAGCTCACCAGAAAGCGATTATTTTCTTCCAAATACGAGGATAATCTCCCAGTACTATTTATTGATTATCCTATTCTTTATTTACCGACGCTTCAAGAGAGCACAGACCTGATGCCTGTCTACCAAACAGAAACAGGTACCTAAACAAAATAAAACATAAACTTGCCCGCACCTACCAAGGACCAAGAACCTCTCCTAGAGAATTTCCCGTGGCGCCAAATCCCACGATATCGATATCCCCGTAGAATAACGCCGCTGAGCTTGATCATTTCCTGCCACACAGCTGCAGATTGAGGTATCGATGAAGTTTGCAATTAAGCCTACCCAACGAAACCCGGAACATGACCACCATTCGCTTCGTCATGTTGTGACTTTTGGGGTTTCGTTTGCGGTCCACATAGGTATACGTCTAGGGGGCCTAAAACTCACCTTATAACATAAACTCCAAACCCCCAACTCCACATGTCACATATCTAGCAATGGAAGGGGTAAAACTCGCCTGTTCCATAATGCTTTGATGCCTTGGTATCAAATTTTTTCCCTTCTTTTTTCTTTTTCTCCCCTTTTTTCGTTTTGGCTTTATGTTCAACACCTCTCTCCCCTATTATCTCCTGGTTCTATATCCTAGTTCAATAGGTACTACTTTGAGTTTATAGAATCATTGGAGGTACCCGGCCGAGAGAGAGGTGAGCTGTTCATCCTGTCTCGGTTTTGTAACCCTAGCCACGCGCTACGGAGTTCCTCCACGGCAGGTGACTCCGGCAGAAACGGCTCCGGGAAAGGGAATGAAGTATATTCCCTCGGAGCCCTGTCATCATCGGGTTCCGTCGCCCCGCCCATACGGGACGACGCGGTCCTGGTCCGGCGGACAGCACCCCTCCTGCGGAGAGGAGTCTGCGGGCGTGATATGTCAAGCGAGTGGATGCTTAACCCGTCGCTAGCCAGAGCGTCTCGTCCAGCAAACCCAAACGGAGGGCGTGGTAATCCTTCGTAGGGGTCGTTCCTGGACAAGACCGGCGGAGCGGCGCTTGATGGCATGGAGAGGCCATCGGGGCCGACTTCGAACGAGAATTTGCGGCGACCACCTTGTACGACCGGCTCCGATGAAGATGCATTCGATGATACAGCGTTATCATCGGAGCCCGATTCGGATGTGTATTCGCTGGAGGCATCATCCGAACTCGCTGGAAGCACGGTTGCATGGCTTCCAGCAGTTACATCTTGTTCAGCACGCTCTTCAGAGCCCTTGCTATTGCTTCCAAGGTCAGTGTGCTCCTTAGAAGATCCTGGTCTTTCTTGGTCGGACATGGTTACTTATAATATTAAGGTTCGGTGCTATAATTTGCTAAGGATATGATCTTGCTGTCGGTTGATGTGGGGTAGGTAGTCTTTATAAAATCTGAACACCAGGTTCGAATTTGTGGACTTTACGGAATTGAATATTGTCGAGAACTTGTTGTGCATGTTTAAATATGGTTGGTTTGACTTAGTGGTTTACAATTCGACAAATGATGAGGTTTCTGAAGCCGTATATATATTCCTGCCACAACAGCTACACGCACCGAAAGAATGAGAACAAAAGATTGTTCATAAACTCGCCAGGTGTGCAATAACAATGCCATTGTTCCACAGCGCGCGCTTTCTGAGTTTGGATCGGCGTATCCTACGATATGCTTCGTATTCCAAGGAGTTCATGCTGTTTCTGAACAATAATCCCTTAGGGCCTACAGATCTTTATGATCACAGGGTCGACCACATATTTCACAGTTATCACATTAACTTTAGGACATATACTTTCCATTATCTGAAAACAGTTTCAAATATCGCGAAGGTAAGCTCAAAGAATCATCACGGTTATATTTGTTCTATCCCGTCTCTTCTTCTTTTTCAACTATTTAGTATTGATTCGTAACACTATATTTGTGCACCTGTACTCTTCCTTTCTACTCTTCAGGCAATAATACTCTGTGCAGATAGTTCTTCAAAAGATTGTTTACAGATGCTCACAAGGGTCATAGAGATAAAAATCTTATTAACAAAGGGGATGTTGTGCACTCACCCCTGGATGCTTTGTCTAAGGTACCTACCTAATCTAGACACACTCATCAATTGGTCACTCCTTCAGGATGGTTAGCACCCCATCTGAAGTTCCGGCGAACATTTCTATTTCGGTACATCTCCGAGATCTCATTATCAAGTTGCTCCCGTCTCTTGCGGATTTCTCTGCACTTTTTCGTTACTTCCCTGTCATTTAGGCCTATGTGCGTTTCGTAATACAAGTCCTTATGTAGGGCCTTGGCCTTGGCAAGCTCTGCCTCCAGATACTGAAGCCTTTCGGACTCATGGTCCGTAAATTCGAGGGTGCTTGGACCTTCAAGATTCTCGCGGTTACTGGGTTCTTTTGCGGACCCTTTCCCCTTTGTTCCGTCTCCTTTCTTACTTAAGCTTACGTCTGGAGTGCCTAGACAAGGGATAAGGGCGAGATTGGTGAGTCGAGCTATGAGTGTCTTCCTATTCTTGTCACGGTGGTTCAAGAAGCCCTCCACGTGACTCACCGTGATCTCCTTGGGCGGCTCTCGACGGCTCCTTGGGGGAACCATAACTTCCGGGAGGTGTTTGTGGGTAGGGCGCGTAATGACGTTAGCTGGCATTTTGCAAAGATACCTACCTAACCTAACCTATTGATCGAATACCTATTGAGAAGCAGAATGGTCTTCGAGGATCAATTTCGACTCTGAGAATGTGTTTCGAGTAGGTTGCAGGAGGCGTTAATTCGATACCTGGATAAGGGGAATAGCAAGAAATATTATATCGGTCTCTGCTTACGTAGAATCAAAGGAAGAAGAGACACTGCAATGAAAGCTTGGAAGAATCCTTTTCATGGAACCAGACCCTTTGAAGCGAATTTCTTTATGACTTGGCATAACATGATGTGGGAACCAAGACGTTTATACTCTAGGTAAACAATATATTTCAAACTTTCTTTGTCATACCAATATTATTGGTCTGGAACACAACAGGTGGTGTTTTTGAGCAATCCTAAATTGTTAAAATACCTCGCTATAGAAATGTCATGTTTCAAAATGTACCTAGGTGCGTTCTATCTTGATATGTTAGGTCTATCAATGGCTATTAAACATCATCGCAATGTTGAGCCTTATATACTACCTAATAGCCAAGCCTCTCTACCTCTAACGTAGTATAAAGTAAACTTGACTTACTAGGACCGACAGACCCTGAAGAAGCCCGAGTACACTTAAGTGCTAGATACTTCAGATTACCCATAGAATACAAGTGTGATACTTATAATATTGGCTTTGCAGCTCCTCTATCTATCCTATTAGGTATACGCGTCCGAGGATGACACATTCTCGGATTTTCCCTTTAGCTCCTGCACATAAGCCTCATTGAAATTATTATGCTCTTCTTGTACGTTTCCTCCCCGAGCCACTCCCTTCCCCGTCGACGCTCTGTCGCTTATTTGAACGATTGACATCGCGTTCTTGAAGGACGGAAGTGTCCTCCGGGACGTCTTCTGAAGCGTTTGTTAGAGGTAAACCAAGGACCTCTCTTGTTGAGAAACGCCGTTAGCTGTGGGCGTGAGACATCGCGGAGTGCTAGGCGAAATTGGTCGGCAGTCCATCCACTACCGTTGACGAATCGTACAATCATGGCTCGGATCTGATCGCAGTCCAAGTCGATATCTGTACCTACATCTAGTCTCGATTCTTCTCGGGTTAACTCCTTTAGACCCGGCTGGACAACCGATCGAATGATCGGACCAGGGCGAGCGTAGGAACGGATTCCGCATCTAGGTTGGGAGGTAAGATCAATATCTTGATCAACTTCGCCTATAGCATAAGCTTGATCTAGTACGCTTTTCATCTCGTCGTCGGTCTTTATTGGCTTGCTTCCAGCTATTTGCGAGATCATCTCGTCTCGGGTCTTGGGCCTACTTTCTTCTATTTTCTTCATGATCAGCGCGGTATATTGCTCGAGCTCAGTTGCGCTAAGATCAGGAAATACAGCTTTCTTTGCATTTTCTTGCTGATGCTCCTCAAGCTGAGTAATAATGTAGTCCATTAGGCGATCTCTAACATAGTTGTTAGGGACATCTGCAAGCATATGGTTCCGACCGAGCCGACCTTCAGGATTCCTGACTCCTCGCTACTACATGAATCACACCATGTGATTTGGCCACGGATCATGATGGCACTCTGTGGTTCCATGTTCGACGCCACTGCGAGGGCTTCAATCAACTCAGCATTAGACATGATGGACCCAGGTGCCTAAAGACAAGGTTAAGACCGAGAGCCTACGACTAAGGCCAAGATAAAAAGAAGGTGCAAGATCTTACCGCTCTAGATACTGAGAATGCCGTCGCAGGCTTTTCGTTGGGGTTAGGCTTGGATGTAGGCGGTCTCTTTTGGTCATTTAGAAGGACAGAAATAAGGTCCTCGAAAATTCGAATACAGCGATCAATAGGAACATTGCGATAAAAGTAACCCCACATTCCGGAAGTGAAGGAGTACAGAGACAAGTCGTCAAACTCTTTCTTTAGCTCAAGTTGGCGAGACGAGTTAATTCGCAACGATTATCTTCGTTGTCTATAAAGACCCCCGGAGGCCATGGCTACCTCGCATTTAAATGCGTCCATTTGCTCATCTGGGAGTAGACCATGTTCTTTGAGCTTCATGATTAATTTATTTTTAACTTCGGCCTGAAGCTACTTGGTTAGTTCTCGTGTCGTATGGGAGGGAGGTACCTTTAATGGGTAATATGATAAATTGGATGCTCACTTCTCGGGCTTGCTCCCGGGCTCTGTATGAAGCCAGTGCATCGTCGTGGTTATAGGGCAAAGACATGATTAATTAGGTACTAAACTACTCGCGGTCGTAGGAAAGAGGAATAATGTTCCGAGTTTGAATATTTAAACGAGTTACTTTTGGTAAATAGTGTCGTTATCCCTATTATTGTTAATTAACACACTCGCAAGGGAAGTTGGATATAATTATTACAACTCATTACGTAGAACGAGTCGCGTTTAAGCGCGATATGATCCCTTGAGACTTTCGCGCATCAACAAGGATAACCCCTTTTTTTTTAAGCGCGCTAAACAGATCGTCTCTTTAAAGACGGAGATCGGACGAAATATGGAATGCATTAAACAGAGCCTATATACCTAAAGAGGTAAACGGCTAAACGTACGAAGTACTATGTACACAACTTTAGACTTTAGTTGCCTTTTCCGCCTTTTCTGTCTTTCCCATCACCACCATATCCTCTCTATTATTAAACCGGCTCATGACGCGCAGTCCGTAGCGCCATAATATGCGAGTGGTTCAACAAAGTCCGCGATGGAGAGACAAGACGTGGTGTCTTGTGTCAGACTGAACGCGACCCTATCGTTGCAGCCTTGGTGAGGATAGAACGAGATACGACACTCGCTCCCAGCCGGAACTCCACCTATTACCGACTTATGCAGATTCGCATTCGGGACAGGGTCGCAATCGACGTCGCCTTGTCGTTCCACTCTATCTGCGACTGCGTTCGAGTTTGACGAGTTGCTGCAATCCTCGGTATCATACATGGTAAAAGACCATCCAAATACTGGTTGGAGAAAGACAGGAGCCGCCATTGCGACAAAGTGGAAAGCTGTTGATAAGCGCATTACGATGTTATGGTTGATTTAGGTTAGGTAACTATTTCCTCAGGTGGTGAAGTCGACATCGGCTTGATAATAGTTTGCAGGTCGTGGCGGGGCAAAGCGTTGAAGAACTGGCATCATCAACGAAAAGTTAGGTAAGAGGGGGATCAATAACTTTGTAGATGAGCCTTGTAGAGGAACTGATATTTATATTTTTCATTAAGTGAACTACTAATCCTCAGAGCATGATCACAGTAGATTTCCCCCGCAGCAGATGCGACGAGGCGCCACAAATATTACTGAAGATCGACAGAGCAAACGATACAAACACGACTCACGGTGTTTAAAATTATGGGCAAACTTACTCGTGTGACATTACTATTGTAATTCACTCAAGCTTGTGATTGACCACTACTTTAATTAAAATTCAGGAACAGACATACATCAAATGTTGTGAAGATCTGATGAAAAATGGTTTCGATTCACGCTAATAGAAGGGGTACTTAGAGTTACCTAAGGTAACCTTCCCTAATGCTAGGTTCATACGCGTCCGCCCGTGACTGTTCGAGCGAATTCATAGTTCCTATCCGGGTACTACTAATAGCATTTTCGAATTGATACAAAGTTTCCCCGTTCATTATTGGGGCTTACCTCGTGCAGTCAAAGATGCCTTGCGAATAATTCGGTTAGCTGGAACTGCGAGAAATCCAACATAGATAATCGGAGGATGCGATAGTTAAAAACGCCGGGATACGAGCCCCCCTTTTCGCGCATTTAGTGTGCTCAACTTCCTTATAGCTTATGACTGGCGTTACGATAGTACGGGCGTAAAAACACGACCAAGTGGGGAATAAGGGATGCTGGGGTCATATGGAATTAATTCGTGTAAAACCTAGAATACACTGCGAGCATCAACTTCAACCTGGCGGGTACCTTACAGGACGTGCAATTCAAATGCCAGCCAAACATGCAAGATGCGTCGGGAAAGTCGATGCTTGTTATACATGAATGCATCGAGCATATCATAGTAATAGGCTGTGTAGTATAGGAATAAACCCGAAACCTATCGCAGTCCCTTCGTATGTCCTCACACTAACCATTTTTTCCTCTGGGTACCGTTTCATCGCTTCATTTCCACTTGACGATAGCGTCGTTGATGCCCGGGACCTGAGCTAGAAGCTGTCTGGCCCAGAGTTCGGCTTGGGCCTGCTTCATGCCCGCGAAGAAGTCGTTATGGCGGATATGGTCGTACTTGATCGGGGGACCCTGGCGGATCTCCGCCGGGGTCGAGCCGTCTCGGGCAATTCGGAACTCGATATCCGCGCTGCCTTCCTGTCGCACGGCGAAGACGCTGATGCGCGCCGTCAGGGGATAAGTCTTTGTGAGGCCGATGTGCACGGCCTGGGCGCGCAGATGGCTGCCAGCGGGGTTTTGGAACACGAAGGACTCGGCCGGGTACGCGGAGGTGTCGCCGGGCCAGAGCAGCTGGCCAGCTTCCTTCTCTTGCTCGACGCTCTCCTTCTCAGCGACATTCCCCTTTTGGGTGATCTTCTTCTTCTTGGCGTTCTTCTTCTCGGCGTTTTTCTCTTTCTCGCGCTTCTTGCTGTTGGCGTCCGTTTTGTGCGTCTCGGCGTAGAGTTTCTTGAAGTCGTCCGGGAGTGCTGCGAATTCTTTCTTGGAAAGCTGCAGGGGGGAATGCGATGTGGATGTGCTTTGCTCGCTTCGTCCCTCCACGTTGTCGTTGGGCTTGATTGATCGGATAGGCATGTCTAATTCGAAGCGAAGATTCGTGTACTTACTTTCCTGAGGCTGGAAGTGTGATTCTTCGGTAAGATTCGAAGATGGTTGGCATACTGCTTCGCCTTGGGAAGGCGGAGTGGGTTGACCGGGAAGATCTGAAGATGAATCCATAGTGGATATTGACTGATGACCTTTCGAGACTCGCGACTTCCTGAAGTTTATACAGTGAGCTTACTTTCTTAAACATATTATAGCAGTCGTGGGTTCCCACGCGGTGTGTGTAGACCTACTTTCGGGGACCCTTTGAGGTAGCAACTGGTGAAATGTCACGCTTTCTTGAGTAGGGATGCTGAGATAAACTTGGATCGCTAGAAGATCGAGAAGATGGTACCGGTCTGGGAAAGGGTTCTGGACCTTGGACTCGGTCAAGACGGTATTCAGGTTTGGCAAGGTCAAATAGATCAATAAAAGGTAGTTCATCCTCTGTGTCACGTTGATTTAAGGCTTTCATCTTTTTTGTCTGAGCTTTGCCATCGAGTGAATCTGCCATCTTGAAATCGGCAGTGTGCTACTACTTTTAGTAGAAGCCTTGCTTATGACGATGGCAGTGATGTTGGTAGATGAGTTGGAATTAAATTCCCACATCTAGGAGGTACCTAAGGTTAGGTAGTTTGCGATTTTAAAAGTAGAGTCAATACTCACAGCCTCAGGAGAACCTTCCGGATTGGAAGGCGGGATGTTAGGTTGGCCTGGTATTAAGGAGTGCAGCGACCTCAGTAACCTCAAGTAGGTTCTACATCAATACGGAGGGATCCAGCATGTTGCAAATTCTGTTACTTCAATATTTGTATATAGTAAATACCTGGGTAACTATCCTAGTCTACGCAAACTGTAAAAGGAGTCCTTGGAAGTTCGTCGACAGTCAGAGAACTACTCATACAATGGGATGATTCACGCAGTTCTTCTTTTAAGGATCGAAGGCTACAGTTAATGTTTCCGACGAGCCACGAATCAACGAGATATTGTTTTATACTCTGGTCAATGAATAGGTAGGTGGGTACCTAATGAATTCAATTTCACTTTTGTGGGTGGGGGTTATAATCTCCTATCCCCATGCATGCGACGTCTACGTCTGAGGCGTTGATGCTTTGAACTACAACGTTACCAGCTCCGAATCTCACCATTGAGCCGTCCACTCTAGATTCGTAACCACTAGGTAGCCAACTGAATGACTTCAAACCGTCCTCCGGATCGGTCAAAAAGGCCAATACGTAGTCTTGCATCGTCTCTGCCACTTGCCTCTGAAAGTCTGTAGCTCCACCTGTAATGTTGTAACTTCCAAAGATCATGGGAAGATCAGCACCATGATACGCTCCCATCCAAGAAAATGGAGTTAGGTTCGAGTAATTTCCGGCGTATTGGTAACGATATGTGGTGAGATTATTAGCATCTCTGACATTTGAAGAGTTGAATGCGGGACAAATAAAGTCGTCCAGTGTTCCTTTGTCAACTTCTGTCTTATTGGGCCCCTGTATCAAGTTATTAATAGGGTAGGAAATAAGGCTTGATTGCTCGTTCGAAGTGTCACTGATGAGTGCTGGTACCTTCGAGATGAGACGTCTTTCGGCCCTTTCTGTGTAGTTCTTAAATATGACTCTGTCGTCAGCGGTAGGTCGAAAGAACAAAGAAGGCTTCTTCTTTTTGTCCCCATAATGTCCGACAAAATTTGTAATTAAATTCACAGGGACCTGTCTCATACATTCCACCTCAGCTTTAGCGTCGTCTGGAAAATCGCATCCCAGCTCCTTAGCAACATACGTAAAGTTTGTTTGCAAGGCGTTGTCCCCTTGTGAAAAAGTACGCATTGCTGTCCCAGACATCAGGAAGAACCCGGCGGCTAGCGGCTCTTCATGATATGCGAAGTTCAAGACGTCTGCCGAGACTCCACCGGCAGAGTGGCCCCATACGGTGATACGTCTCGGGTCACCGCCGAAGGCTTCAATATTCGCATACACCCACTCAAGAGCAAGTCTCTGATCTAAAATACCGAGATCATTATCCTCGAGCCCAGCGGCATTCGGAAATCCAAAGATGTTGACCCTATAATTCATAGTAACCATAATGTGTTTTTGACTGCGGTTCACCCATCCTGCTGGTATGTGATAAGGGGCATCCAGGCCACCGCCCCTAAAGCTACCGCCAGGTAGAAATAAACCCACTGGGAGCTTATCTTGGGATGTAGGGTTGATAGGCGACCAAATTGCTAAGCTCAAACAGTCCTCCGCCGTGGTCTGCGCCATTTCTCCTGCGTAGTGACTTTGGTCACCCGTTGAGATGGAGAAGTCGGTGATATTTGCGTTCCATAGCGATAAATTGGATGTCAAATATTGAGGACACGAAGGAGGGAACCTGTAAGAATAGTGATGGACCTGTGAGGGACGGAGAGGCACGGGAGGTTTCCATCGGAGCTTGCCAACGGGAGGTTCGGCATACGGTATGTTTCGAAACTCCCTGACACCCTGGTACTCTGGATTTCGCAGACCGGTGTATTTCCCAGTTAGAGTGCCTACTGTCAGGCTAGGTTTGTCATCTTGATCGCACAACCCGCTAGCCGCGAGGATCTTCACTAAAGTATTAGCCACCAGGAATAATCGTTTCATCTTGGGCAAAAAAAAATGCGGACAGTTGGAATGATCATCGCTCTTGTATCTCCGTGGGGTTGGTTTCGGTCTTATATTTCCAGGTACGGTCAAGATATAATTTCCCCCCCTAGCGACGATAATTTCTCCCCAAAGGGAGTTAAGCATACTTGTAATCTGACGAAGATATGAGGAGAGACATCTAGTTGGCTATAACAATCCCATAACACAATCATGGTTCTACGTCTGGTATGTCGGCACTTGTAAATTTCAAGGAGCTTCCTTTCTGGTCAATATGACCCTATATGTGACTTTCATAGATGGAACCCTCCAAAGCTCTGGAACCTTGGGTACGTTCTGGGCGTTTGCTCTATTCATGGTTCCAATAGGCTAAATGCTGTCATCTCGCATCATTGGGGCGGCACCTGATAGGGCAAGATGTTTAAAGGTGCAGAAAGTACCACTATATAGATCACGGTTAGCCATCAATGTGAATAGATGGTTTATACTATAAGATATAGTTTCACGCATAGCCACTAAGATACGCGATCTGCCTAGCATACCAAAATTGGGCCAATAATCCTTATAGTCTTTCAAACTACATGAGTGCTATATTCCATAGAGTGGCTAGAGTGGTACCTAGCTAAAAGAAAATAGTTACAAGCATGTAATATATCATTGCCATTCTTGTATTTTATCTCGGTTATCTTGCGGCTACATTCAACGAACCCCTCCATGAAATCCCTCGGCAAGCGTAACAGCCCCAATTAGAAGGAAATTAGAAAGCTATTTATTAGAGGTACCTATATAATTGTTGCTAGAATGTAGCGTATAAGCCCGAAATAGTCTGACAAAACTAGTTCATGCCTTGAACATAGAGCTCTCTTCCGACAAGTGTTTAAATCCATTAGGGACACCCCTATACTTTAGTAATTCTAGGTATCTACGTTAGGTTGTATAACTTCCAATGCTTTGGAATCTAGACCAAGCTACAGACTACCATTTAGTTGCGGGATCGACGATTTTGGGAATATCACCGAGTCCCCCTCCATATAACTTTACGAAGAACACTCACAACTCGACGATTAGACCAATAGCTTTAAACTGGACTTGCTGAGGAGATACGGCTTACTTTCAGCTTGGATGCTGAGATGCGGATTGACCAATAATATTAAAGTAGCAAACATTTTGCTTACCCTGACGAGTCTGTTCGGACGTCTCTACTATTTAGGGTAAAGATCATATGTAAGACTCTAGATCGCATAAGAATATCAAGTGTTCGTTACACCGCGTTTCCTTGTCCTAAAGAAAGTGCAGTTGTTTATAGTAACGGGAAACAGCTAGGTAAAAGAGCTCAACGAGTAAGGCTGTCTGTAAGATCATTGAATCAATACTCCAGGTAATTAGATTGACAAGTGTCCGTAACATGAAGTTAGCCGGAGTGCATAGTAAACTCCATGGATTAATACTGATTATTGTGAGTCATATCCACGAAAGCCTGGGTACGGGTACCATCTCGGACGAACCGCAATTCGTAACACATACCTACATACCTCGTAGTTACCCCAACATACAGTTCCGAGTCGCACCACGTTCTTTAAATGCCGTCACGAAAACGCTGCTAAGAACCGCGAATTATCTTTAGTGGCCCAGCTTCAGCAGATTGTGTCCTCAGTTTAAGCATAGCTGTAAGCTTGACAAGACTACCTAACCTAAGGTATCTAAATAGGGGGTATTCAGCACACCGCAGCAAAGACTAAGAGTGACTGAGTCATATGAGAAGGTGAAAGTAATTAAGCCACCAATCTCACTGATCGAGGTGCGTTTGTAACACGTGAGAAATGATACAGGAAGTATGAAGTAGACCTCTCTGTATGAATAGTCTAACCTTCACTCGCGACGGATCAACCGAGGGATGTTCTCCGTCCCATCATGCTCGGCCGAGACCATCGAGATGTATGTATATTCGCTCACGTAGATATCCATCTCTTTTGATCCAGGTAAAATTTCCTAGGTCTATGCGAGTTTAAGACTTGTAAGATAAGCGAGCTATAAAGATGCGTGACGGGGCTTGCGCTTATTTTAGGTACTTATAAGGCAAAGAACAGATCTCCGGAAATACTCCACCGGAGAGCAGAGCTAATAGGCCACAAGCGTATGGTCCCTTGGGTTAGGTAGAAAATGTGTAAGATTGGGCTGAGCGCCACCTGCTACGTCACACACTCATATCCCCAAAAGAGAAGTCGAATGATTCAAAACGCCACTCTTCCAGGAGACATCGATAAGAAAACTGCAAATTGTCTTACATCTACCCTCTGATAGTCATAAATGATTCTTAAGCTCCTCATCCAGTTTATGATAGAAGATCACAATGAATTCGCCGATAGTAGAGGGGACGGATGAAGGACAGGAAACGTCTCGTCAAGCCAGATGTATATATCCGCCTAGTTGAGATGAGGCCCAAATCTCGTTAACGATATTACGGTGCAAGCGCCCGTAAACCAAAATGAAAATACTAAATATTCCATCCTATCGGAGCTTTTACGTGGGCTGATTCATGCTGGATAGTATGATTTTGATGCTCAAGCTTTGAGTCCCCCTTCAGCCTCATATGTACCTACCTAATACTTCTGAATCTGGCGCCTCGTTAAAATGATTTTGTATTTTATTAATTAGTTTCCTTGGTCATGTCTCATAAATGGTACGGTATCTGTCTAATTGTAATTGGATCTAATACAAAAGAAAATGATCCGGTCTCCCGCACAGGAGGTACCTAGGTTTCTATTCGTACACATAACACCGCCCAAAGTCCGTCGTAGGCATCCCCTCCTTGGCTCTAGGGGCCCAGCCCAAGCCCATGTTCATTGTATCCTCTATAGTTGCCAGACTCCGCGGTACATCCGGCGCGTAGTCGAGCGCGATACCCAGAAACGTCCTGTTCCCATCGATCCCGTAAGTCCTCTCGTGCAGGTCTTGTCCCTGCCATATAGCCCACAGGCGATCTATCTGCGCGTGTAGAAGATAGAATACCGGGTCATTCGGCGTGCTGAACGGATCCGCCGCGTCGCGACCTACGAAGGTGTGCGAGTTGAAATGCCACAGGTCCTCGATGTTGTTCCTGAGCTCTTTGATGCTCTTGGATGCCACGATAGTCGTAGCGTTGGCCCACGTTAGAACGCCCTTGCTTGCCCCGTCGTAGAAATCTCGCGACAAGCACCGTTTGTTGGGTTGGTAGCCGTACTTGTTGGCCGGGTCGATGACCTCCTTTGCCACGGGACCCAAGCTGATCGTGAAGTCTTTGAAGGGCCCATCTGTTACGCAGCCGCCTCCCGAACCTGCGGGCATCGGCAGCGAGAAGTTACGTATAACCAGTCCGGGAAGGGTGACCTTATGAGGCTTATGTGGTATATGAGCGCCGTTACCACCAAAAGACGTCATAGAACCATCGAAAACCTTGGACTTGGACTGGTCTTCTGAGAAACGGGCCACGTCCCAGTAGGGCAGGTACCCTTTATACCCACACTCGTTACGCAGAGCCTGCTCCATTTGCCAGAGGAACAGACGATGCCATGGAAGGAGGTAGCCCTATAACGATTAGTTTACAAATATGGTAGAATAAAATATATATTAGATGCGCTTACTGATTGGTGGATTATGTTTGTTTGGTTGATGTGGGTGTAAGTGAAGTCATCCAGTCTGTTAACAGCGCCAGGCGCTAGACTCGTGTCCATCTTCGGTGGTTTAGCCGCCAGACATTTTACCGCCCGTAAATAATCTGCTCGTGTTGTGTCATCGAGGTTATCCCTGTAGCGGATGTTAGAAATAAACTCACGACAGGAGTTATATCTTTGCGAGTGGTTGTGCTGCTTTACCATGATTTGCGGATGGTGATGGTTCTCCTCGTACAACCGCGAGGCCCCAAGGATGCCCTGGTGTTTTTATGATATATATCTTCGAATCTCCTAAAGTCGTGTGGCATTGGTATTCCATTGTAGTGGCCCGGACCATGTCTAACAGGACCGGCGAGTACGGACTGACTTGCTAGGCCAGCGAGGGCTCCTATTATTAACCAATTCCAAAACAAATGCATAGTCTGCGAGAATCCGTTATGGAGGAAGGTATAAAATTTCCTTCAAGCCTGAGAAAATGAGAAATTGTTGCTCGTATTAGGGCTATTAAAAGAGACGATAACTCCCTGGGTTGCACTAAGACAACGACTTGTTTTACGGTTCAGGTGTCAGACGTACCTGTTATATAGGGAGTGGTTGATCGAGCCAGCATTCCTACTAGGGGTTGCTGTCGTGCGACAACCAGTATGACCGCGAGCCTCATTTTGCAAAATAATCCTGTGAGCTTATGGTGTTTCTAAGGTATCCTAGAGTCCCTGTAGCAGTTATCTAGCTGCGCCGCGTATCCGGGACCGATGATGGTCGGGATCAGAGATGGGCCTTTCTGACCGATTTACAAGCCGGTACAAGCCTGTGAGAAGATCGTATTTCAATAGATAACGTGGCGTTTTCTTCAGAGATGTTACCCAGGAGATCCCCCTTACAAGCTAATGCATGATGCATCTTTACACGTGCATCTGCATACTTCCTATGCGCGACGGTAACTTGCTCCTAGTGTCGTTTAACGTCTTCAAGTAGCTTATCCGTATTCCTACGAGTATCCACCGACGGGCATCAAGGGGCATCGAGGGGCGTCGAGGGGCATTGAGAGGGGGATCAAGGCGGCTTCGAATTCTCAGATCTGGATTCCGTCACCTCATAATTCAGCGACAATGACCTCATCCTGTAATGTAGGGATTGAAGGCTTGAAATAGATAGTTAACAACTAACAATAGAAGTCAATATGGTCTGATTATTTGGTGATACTAATCCCAACATGCCAGACTATCGGACGTCGAATTATTATATGTGTCTCACCCGAACGAGCAATGATATTCAGCGAGATTCCCTTTCGTGGCCTATCTTGACATCACGCTTCGGATAGCTGCTCGGGTATCAGGCCAATCAAAGTATTGTGCGATACCAGAATCACTTCAAAGGGAAGCATCGCCTTAGCCTCACGCCTCTTCAAGCCTCAAGCATCTCATGCCCATCTCTGAGGCTGACGGCTGCTTACCTCTCTTTCTGCGTAATCGACCATCTATTTCGACCTAATAAAAGATCGGGATGGTGCAGTGGATCAGAAGCTTATCTAAATATACCCCCAATCATGCACAATATCCTGGATTATCATGTTTCTGTTATCAACGAAGCTATCGCGGGATTGATTCCTACTTGTTACATGGGTAAGTATCACAGGGAGCGGGTTTCAACCTAACGCGCGTAACTCGAATAGAGGTGATTTCGGTAAGTTAGCATCCTTCGAGAGATACATTTTATTTTTCCTATTATGGCTAACTTTATTTCTGTCTGAGGAGCAGGATTGTCTCTAAATGCTCCTCTATCATCAGTCCGCAATGGACATCGGGCGGGATTACGTCGTATGGAAACTCTCAAGACGTATCGCGATAAAGACAGGTACCTAAGCTTGAAATATGAGCGTGGCACGTTTTGACTTACGCGTTCCATCGCACTGCAGCCATGATACTGGGAAGAATCGCTGGGCATTTTGTATCAGCAGAGTTGCTAAACCACCTCCTACGATCCTAACCTCCGGTCTCCGTGATGCCTAAGCGCTATGCGGTCGTTTATTCCCAAGATGTGTCGCCAACATACCTGCCTGAGAGGTACCTAAGGTAGGGAGTATACTCATAATACGAGCCGTCATCTTATACCATGACCGACAAGTGCAGCTGATATAAAACAGGTTCTTCCTGACTGGTGTAAGTCAGTCTTCTGATTTTCAGCCCCAATCTGCACTATATCAACGTCGATGTTCTGGCCAGTCTGATCACAGGATGAGCCGCCATACGCAAAACCTTCACCGTTTGTCGGCCAGGCTGTACTCCGCTCCGGCAGCGATTGGAAGCTCAGCTGGGAAATCCATGAGCGGGTAACGTCGCCTGTAAATATAACTTGCAGGTTATGGCTGATCTGGTACGACGGTCGGCTTTCTCGGACAACAAGACCTTTCTCATTGGCCGTAGACTGGCTTTTCCCTCCACTACGAACGCGGAACTTGACGCCTATCAATTCAATGTGATAGGTTTAGAATTGGTGCAACTTTCAGCGAGTTCGACATTTTAAGCCAAGAATAGTATTCATCCGCCGGGGGGATTGGCAGGAGGTTCTAGAAAACAGCTCGGCCCTTTTAGACTTGACATCTCCAACCTAATGTGAAGCTGTGGAAAACGGTGCGTACGACCTTAAGGATTCTCGTGTCAAGCACCTGCCTAGAGATTTTCGAGCCGAGGAGACATTACGATCTCCGATGGCCGAGGTCCATCGCATGACGAAGACTGTTATCAAAACCTCAGGTAGCCGGACTGCATCATGGATCAGACTAAGGTCACAGCTGCTTTTTACTTTCTCAGTTTCTCTAACGCGTCTTAGGTACTTGGTGGTTTGCGCATCGTAAGGGGGCTACAGGTACCCAGTCGATTAGGTACCTTAGGTACTTAACCTTGTCGCCGCATTCATCGCAGGGACGGATTCAAGTAGACCCATACATACCTCCTTATAACCAACGATGAGATGGAAAAAACATTGATACTCTAGGTACTCTTTTGCTTTCCCTCTCCAGGAATGACCTTTTCGATAAAAATGGAGTGTGTTATTGAAACAAAGGGTCCAGACTGTTATATCGTTTTTTTATTGTTTCCTCGAGCCGACCCGATGCTATCCCTTGGTTGCTGAGAATGCGTCATGGATGACGGTAATTTCTCTCCCTTATTTCTGTCAGCTTGGGAGAGGAATGGTTTGTCCACAGGTATCCTATGATTCATGAGATTTGGCTTGTCGTTTGCCGTGTCATAGTCGTCATTAGATAGCGTATGATTGTGGGAGGTAGGTTGGTGGAATTGATGCAGTTGATGTAGCCAAGGGATGTCGACTTCCTTAGTTTTCTTATACGATGTACATATCCTTGAGCAGATCACAGTCGGCTTGGTAAATTGACACTGTGACAGGACAGGATACATTTTGCGTTGTGGCTCCACGATAATAGGTATATGCGGAAATATATTGAAACTACCTAGGAGTAGATGCCTCGACATGAATTAATTCACTGACTGACTGACTTCAATGGTAAAGCATGTCTTGAATTATTTATACATGTACCCAACGTCAGCGGAAATCTGATCCCTGTATTGTACAATGTTATTGTTCTTATCCGTTATGTGATAGGTCAGATCTTGAAATTGTCGCACGCTGTGGCCAAGTCGGCGTGACAAGGAAACAAACTGTCTTGCAACCCTACCTTCTTCAACATTCACTACCGAAATATACGACCGAACCCGCGAATAATCTAATAGGTTTGTCCAGCTCCGAAATGAGCGGACTATCGTCGTCAGGCGACGGAGACCCCATCACCGAGCGAACTCCTCTTGTGGGGACTTCGGGGGCTTCGGAGAACTCGGGCATTCAGGGGTCCCCCACACCCGTTTCCACCCCTTCTTGGAAGCCTGGTCAATCAAGATCACCTGCGGTTGCTTCCTCTATCTCGGATGCTAATACGGCCTTATCATGGAGGTACAGTCCTAGTTTTATACTAGGTCTATGCTACTTGATTGTTCTCGTCGGTTCTCTCGCTGGTGGCTTCCAGCAGATTCCCATGACGAGGATATATGAAGACATTCTCTGTCACTATTACTACGGCAAGTCGCCCGGTTCCGGCGGACCGATCGACGAGGCGCTTTGCAAGAAGGATGTTATACAGTCCGAGCTAGCATATCTGTTTGCCTTCCTAGAGGCTCTCAATGCAGGCATCGGATGTCTTGTTGCCCTTCTTTGGGGCATCATTGCCGATCGGATAGGCCGCAAACCGGTATACGCCACCGCTACAATAGGGATGATATTCCATGTGCTGATTATCATGGTTGTCGGATATTTCCCAGGCACGTTCCCGACTCGATGGATTTGGGTATCATCTATAGCGCATCTTTTAGGGGGTCCCTCAGTTATCGGCGCTTGTACTTACAGTATAGTGAGCGACATAGCCCTAGAATCTAGTAGGTATGTCAACAATACAATGACCAGGGAGTTTTTGATTTCATATCACTTATCACTCATAGGTCGATCGCCTTTATGAGGATTCATGTGGCAAGCCTATCGGGTAACTTGGTCTCGCCAGCACTAGCCTCCGCCATGATGTCCTTAACGGGTCCCTGGCCTGCTATGTGGCTAACCACCGTGCTATGGGCCCTAACTGTTGTCCTAATAACCATTCTACCGGAAACATTTCACCGACCCTCACCATCGGACGACACGGCGCCGGTGCCGGCGCCTACCATAAAGTTGCGTGTAATACGAGGCTTCGCCCAGTTGAAAGACACCTTTTCCATCGTTGGAACGATTTCCGTTACTCTCGTGCTTTGCATATGCCTCTTATCGATGCCCGTGGTGATGTGTACGCTCCAGTTCATGGCCCAGTATATTTCGAAGCATTACCAGATCCCCTTAGCCAAAACCGGTTACATTCAATCAGTCTTCGGCATCGCCCACATCGTCGTGGTTCTGTTGATCGTCCCAGGTGTATCCAAGCTAGTCGTCCAACCAACAACACCAAGATTGTTGCGCGTAGCAAACGAGAAGGACCGCGACTTGATACTGGCACGATGGTCCTACTTGATCTACGCCGTAGGTAGTTTAATCCTCGGCATATCCCCATCTCTGCCTGTATTCATAACGGGACTTGTCATCATGTCTCTTGGCTCCGGATCAGCAAGCTTTATCAAGAGCATTGCGACCTCGCACACCGACGTTGAACATCGGTCTAGGCTGTTCAGCATCATGGCGCTCTTGGATATAGGCAGTAATATCTGGGCAACGCCTGCATTGGCCGGACTGTTCTCGCTAGGGATGAAATTAGGTGGGATGTGGATCGGTTTACCATACCTTGGGGTATCTATATCATGTATTATGATGTTGATTTTGGCGTTGTTCGTGCGGGCACCAACTACTGGCGGTGGCAATTAGCCATCGCAGGCTCTTAGATCCGGTTTAGATCATGATGTGTGAAGTTGAGAGGTACCTATACTGTCTGAAGCATCATGTATGTACCTTTGGTAAGTACCAAGATACTTTACATCGTGCGCCGGGACCGTCAAGCCATAATCCACCCCTCAAGATACCCTTTGAGCTAGGTTACGTACGAGGTACTCAAATAAAGCGTGACTGAATAAACCGACTTTATCGGGGTCGGCGGTCCTTCTCATGGACGACGCGTTGCCGAGATTCTCACTTGGTGATCGCTGATGGTCTGAGTACCGAAAAACTAAAACATAATATAAGGCCCTAGTATAGAGTCACATAATAAAAGACGTGGGGTTCGAGATTACGAGTTGTAGGCTAACGTACTGCATGTCCCGAAATGCTCTTCTGCACGTCATATATACAAGCCTCACAGAACATCTATCTGTCCTAGCTCTAGAGCTGATGGCTGATCCTTGAGTTGACCTGTCACAAGCTGAAAAAGGGCTGATCCGCGTAGATGTGGTAAGAAGGCTTAGAAAATTACGGGCAGTAGGGCGATCTTGCTGTAGTTATTATGACGGGCAAAATCGCCACGTGGCTCAGCTGATGAACCATGGGAAACTGGGTTTTTAGGGATGCCATTTTATTTTCTCGATACGGATATACTGGTTTGGTAATGAGAAAATGATCTCCAATGTATACAGGTCTGTTCTCAGACCCGTATCTTGTGGAGCCAACCTTGGATAGTGTATGACTTACAGGATAGTTAATAGTATACTGGGTCTAGCATTGACCCATTGACCCCAGTACCTTAGCTACGAACTCAGCCCCTTATCATCAGCAGTAGTATAAAAATTTATCCATCTAGTATAAAACTAGAGTCAATGACAAGAGAAAATACTCATTAAGTAGCATGCCAGTTTCATATTGTCACGAGTACCTAAGGTTAGGTACCTAGGTAGGTAGATAAAATGCCATTTTTACCGGTTTGGTTTATTATATGTCCTTACCTTGGCTTGCCTCAGTAGGTACTTGTTAGGTTTCTTCCTCCGAATTTCTTGCCAGTAAGTCTTGATAAGTAGGTACTCATCCGAGGCCATATTTAATAAGTTAATACCTAAGACTATGTGTTGACTGCTCACCTTCCACGATACTTGTACGATCCTATCTCTTTCGAGTGAAACAAATAGAATCTCCTTCCGACTCATATAGTTTGGTCGCCGGGTAGATACTCTTTACTTTAGTGTTGTGTGGAGTCTATTCAGATTCACGAATAAGAGTCAAGTCTATAGCGAGGCTGTCTGACCCATTATCCCCAGCCTACACGCCGGGTCCGACGACATGGGAGACGACTGATGGACCCCATCTTAACCAATCATGGATACATCTTGAAAAGGATCAGGGCACTCGGACGTCGTTCCTGACTAGTCGGATCGCTGGGACCGGTCCTAGCAGGCGAATATGAGTCGAACACCATATTTGAAGATGGTCGTTTATGAGCTCCGAACGAAGGCGACTATCATTGAGCTTGAAGTTGGATACCAATCAGAAACCATGTTTTTAGCATGGGCTCCCTCATTTTCCCTAGCAATTGTCTAATAGCGCTTCTCTCTTTTCACATGAACCTTCGAGGTTTTGAACCCATACTCAAGACTTGCCGTGGTTACCGATGTTCTAAAAATATCACACCACGTCAATTGAAGGCGCGGTTATTCTAGAAGCTTTTGCTCTTTGCATTGACACTACAAAACGTCGGGGTTCCTATAATATCTGTAATATACCTAATAGCCTTTTTTTAAGAAGCTATGAGCTCAGCTTCACGAGCTTCAAAACCGTTAGATGAAGGTTGATCATGTTCATTGCTCGAAGCCAATAACTTATAAAGTCCCACTTTTCGCAATCGATTCTAGATCGAGTCAAACTCATTCTCCTGTCAGCTGCTCAGTCTTTGCTTTTTTTTTTTCCTACCGGAGTCGAACTACCCGCCAGTATTCGTCAAATTTCTTTTTGCGCCATCAAGCCCCGTAGACGTTTCAAAAACAGTTGGGTTGTATTGACGTGGATGGAAGACATGAACGGAATGCTTGGCATGCAAGCGTATAAGTGGAAATGGTGCTTTATCAAAGTAAACATTGGCGGCCAGATTTTTAAAACTCACGGGACCACATTCTAGTGTTGGGCGCCAAAGGACCATTGGATTCATTGGACTCATTGGATTACCTTCTTCCAACGAGGCAACCAGTAAGATAATCTCGAGACATCTCTTGATGAAGTCATAGCTTCCTTTCGACATGGGCAGCCCATGGATTAAGGGGTTGTACCTGCGTGACTCGCGATGGCTGTGCGGGTAGGAAGTATTTGAGGCGATCAATAAGAAGCACAGTTAAAGTGGCACGAAATTTTTTATTGTTCGTGGCCACGTATATGCAGGTTACCTGTTATGCCGAAAAGGCGAGGGGCTATTTGATTGGTTATTTGATATCCCTGGTGTTTACTCGGTTACCTATCAGCCCTACGTTGGAGATGAAATCCCGGAATGTGGTGCCAAAAACAATGCCTAAACAAAATCCGAATGCCTCTTTTTCCTCTTTTGCCGTTCCAATCAGTCTATCCAATGCTCCTTATGCAAATAGTGGCATAACACGTAACCACACATAACACACACATAACGCAACTGGGCAAAGCGTCAGAGCCCAAGTCATTTACAGTAGGTAACCCGCTAAGTGACGTGGGCATAACCACGTAGTGCATCCGTAGTGCTTCTGTAGTGCATCTATATTGCATCCATATTGCATCCATATTGCATCCATGTGAGTTTATTAGGGCTTGTCCACCGGGAGCCGGGAGTACCTATAGGTAGGTGTACAGACACTCCAAGCCAAGATGTCCCCAACAGTCCGAACACAACCTACTCCGGGCATTATGTCCCTCATAACGCCTGCTATCTTTTTTCTTGCAGCTTTGTCTGGAAGCTATCTATTTTCTTTTAGAGCACGACGCTCAAGACCTCATGGCCTGACTCGTGATTTAATGTCAAGTTCTCGATCGCGAGGCTTTGACTACGATGATATAGATGAAGATGCAACTGCCGACGCGCTATCGCGACATCTCATCTACGATTCCGCCGAGGAAGATGACTACCTTATGGTATTTGACAAGCCTCAATTTCGAACACAATTCGGAGTAGGACCTGGCGCTGCCGTACGCGGATACCCTAGCTATGGCGGAGTCTACGTGCTTCACTGCACAGCTGTCGAGCTCGATTTCTTGAACCTAGACCGATTCCACATCGCCATGAGGTCTCCAGATCAAGCAGAAGAAGACAGGCATTGTGGGAATATGCGAAAACTAGGAGCTACCTGGTGGGAGAGCGAAGATGCATACAGGAGGAATTTCATGAGCCCGGACAGATACAACCAGCCCGTCGTCTATGTCGGATGGCCTGCAGGCGGTGGTGTCTGGGTTCTGAGAACAACACACGGAGACGCGTCGTCGAGAGGAATCGGCAGGATCAACAACACCTACAACATGGAAGAACGATGCCGTTTAATTAAACAACTGGGCGGATCCTACTATGAGCACCCAGAAGACGGCGTGAACCTCGTGTTCTAAGCAGTTCTTAAGCGTGATGGGAGGAAATGGCTCGGGTTATACAGGGAGATTCTCCACACCGCCTCGTCGGACCGCATCATTAAATGTGACCCATATCGTCGGCGCATCATCATCATCATCATCAAAAACAACAACGATACCAAAACAACATAATCACCCTCACTTTCTGATATACCCATTTTCTTCCCTAGGCCACGACCTTTTTTCTTCCCATCATTTTACGCATATTTACTATAATCTATCAACTAAACTATATAAAACCCGACAGCTTCTACTTCCAAGCTTTACATGCAAAAACGAGCCCATCTGGAAGTAAGCGATCGGGCACTCAAGAGGGGGGTTCACTCGGAAAGCATCAACCCCCCCCTCCTTTACCTAGCTTAGCTCAGGCACGGCAATCTTGCCGTAGCTTCGATTCTCGCGTGATCGAATCACCGTCCCGCTCCAGAAATGTCGAGATAATGGCGGTGGCGCAGGCGGGGTCGGAGAAAACGAGTTGAAAAGCCAGAAAAACACTTGGACGGGTTCCACATTCTGGTTCCGAGAACGAGACCCAACGTGGAATGGTACGAGCGGTGGTTGGCATGGAGGGGCAAACAAGGCAAATCGTCGATAGCCCCTCCTCCTCTTCCTCCTCCTTCGTCTCTTCCTCATCTCTAAAGGTTCTATTATGTTTGTACCATTATTTTTTATACCACCTATCTATTAGACATATCGCCGATATTAGTCGGCTTCGAATTTTCGGTTATTACAGCGCTTACGGGGCGCAGGATCAGGGAAACGGATTAAAAAACCCATATAAAGTATGGCGGATTGTACAATAACTATTGGATAGCCAACCAGTTTGGAAATTTGAAAGCCACATTGTTGCTTACAATATTATGTCATCTCTCTTGACTGTCGATGCAGTGATAGAGGTATCTTTTTAACGTAATGAATATCGCATACATTTATTCAAGCACGACAAAGTCTTATTAGTATGTTAAACCTCGTGGTAATATCTTCCCCTGTAATTCTATTTCGCTAGTTTTGTATACTGTCTAAACATGATTACCAGTTATTTCGTAAACCTCACCCCTAACCCTTACACCCCTTGGCTCTTTAAGAAGCTGAAAATCGTTTCGAAGGCTTTAGGGGCCACCTTATGGAGGTTAAGATTATGTCTGCAAGGTTAGAGTTAGCATGGATATTTGATGCTTTAGGTACCTGTTCTTAATCTTGTATTAAAACTTACCCCGCGGGAAGATTATCAACGGTCTTGACGATCTTAGCACCAGCGAAGTCATCCTTGAGGCCATCTAGAAGGCCGACGCAGTTACCACCACAGGCGGAAAGATCGAATTGCCCCTGGATAGCAAGCACGGAGGCCGTGACCCCTTTGAAGTCCAGGGGACTGCTCGCAATGAGCGACGGTAGCTCTCCCACGGCAAATGGCTCGCTGTTCTGGTAGTGAGACCACTCGGCTACACGTCGTTCGAAATCGTTCGCCTCGCCGAAGTACGCATACGTCTCCGAAAACAGGTCTGCCGACGTCAAATATCCCGAGTCCAGAGCGCCCCAGCGGATAGGGTTCTGAAGCCGTGCGACTCTGAAGCTAGACCCAGCGAGAAAGGGGCCGAAATAATTGAAGCCTCCCGCAAAGCCGCTGAGTACGATGGCATCGACGGCGGTCTTTTTGCTAGCCGCGGACGCAACTGTGAGATACGCCCCGTCTATTACATGAAAGCATCTCGTGTCAGCTTTCCAATTGCACTGCTCGAAAACTTTCATCGTCTCTGATAGAGAGTCAATAGGTATGCAAGGTCATCACACTTACTATTAAGCGTTAGCTATCTTGTACTTATTCCATAGAGGCGGTTTCGAACCCAGGCTAGGATTATGGTCTGAGGATAATGACACAGGATGTTTTTAGACATACCAGCTGTGGCCTACAAGCGCTATTTTGGTAGCGTTCATAGCATATCGCGCATAGTCTACCAACGAATCAAGGACAGTCGCCTCTACTTGAAATTGAGCGTCTGATAACGCATCCACCCTGGTAGTCAAGCAAGCAAGTTAGTAAACACCGTAACCCTCCGCGATTAAGATTCAAACCGCTCTTACTTGGAGGATGACCCAACACCTATACGGTCGTAGCTGAGAACGGAGTACCCAGCGGCGATGGCAGCTTTAACAAAGTCATACTTCTCAGCATCCTTGAACGTTGGTTGCCAATATCTAATTGCAGGTTAGTGTTCATGTGTCATCGCGAATCGAGATCTTCTTAGACATACTGCTTAGACTCAAGAATACCGTGAGTCAGAACCAAGGTCGGCCCCCCTTTTCCACATAGCGTAGCCCCGACCTTGAACTTGCTCTCCACAGGTACAGACGTATTCCCAGCGATGGGTAGCGGGTCTGTGTTTTCACTCAGGTCCCGCCTCGTGAGAGCTAGCGTTAAGGCGATTGCGTCCCAGTTGTCGTTTACCGTGGCATTGACGATGAAACGCGGGACGTTGACGGTGATGGGGATCGAAAGGTCTCTACATCCTGAATGCAGGTGCAGGGGTATAGCTGAAGCTATTGCTGTGAAAATGAAGGCTGACACAACGTGTGAAAACATGTTGACTGTTATGGACAAGCACTAGCGACCTAGAGAGATGAAGAAGAGGAGTTGATATTGAGACTTAAAACTTGTTAACAGCTCTGCCTATATATGTATCTGTCTACCCTTAAGCGATCATTTCGTTAGAATATTTTGATCAGTCATCATAAATGGCCTTGATACAAGGATTGATAGTTCACAGGTTGAGACTAGGCTTTCTAGATGGCTAGGTGAGATGAATATCCACATGATGCTGACGTATATTCGACGACGAGCTGAAGTTATCCTGGCTCAATGGACCCCCGAATATAGGTGAATATCCTATCCTCAAGTCAGATAAAATCTTCGACGTCTAAGACCCGTACGTCATCGTGTAGGAAGCTTCGCTCTTGGATTATCAAGACTCCGCCACAGTGCGGTCTCTTTCTGAGGCCTGTTTCTTCGAAAGGAGATAATCGAACCTACGAAGGGGTTCCCTGCGTCTAATATCTAAGCCAATCGATACCTTTCTACGTCCGCGGATTTCTCTCAGAGCTCAGAGTATAAGGGGGTTTAGCTAATGGAGACGACGAATTAGGTGGACATGTACTTAGTCAGATTTAGTGTTCGTGGAGTCTTGGTTCCTTGCGCAAGTGCTTATCTTAGTGAGATGAGAACATGCTGGGTGAAAATACCATTTTCCCAATTGGGGCAGACTTACTGGGTTACTTACTTGGTTCATCCACTCTAGATGTCACCTTGACCCCACCATCTCGAAAAGCGCTCGAGGTTAGAAGGGTATCTGAGAGAAGGAAGCCATCTGGTTACTATGATTCCAAATCGGTCTGGGGCTGGCGATAGCTTGTGCTGACATGCTTTTGGGGAGAATTGTTTTCCAACGTCTCTAATTCGCCCGGTATAACGAGATGGCAACGACTTAAGATCTTCGCCAAGAATATATGCTTGATAGAGTACTTAGTAAATGGCTTACATGATGTAGTTTATTTTATAACACGAAGGGTTACTACTTTAATACAGCGTGAGAAAGGTAAGTAACAGGTAATTTACAGCCCCCCCCCCTCCTAATAAATCTTCAACTAGCAAATTACACACTTTCGGAAAACCCCAAATGTGGAATTACGACGTGAATGATATCCTGTTCTCTACTCCTGGCAGCTCATCAGCTTAACCCTCTAGTTCAGCTCGAAAGTCGGAATCTCTCCCCAGAGATAGCTTCCCGAATGAGTTGACGCTAGTAGAGGGACTGGGGATAGAGTCAGTTAGCGATGCTCGAGGAGTTGATGATGTGCCTGTCGTAAGCGATGATCGTTTCTCAATGACAGATGAGAACGTCCTAGTAGATGAGCTGCCTAGGTAAATAGAAACACGTATTAGCCATCGGTAATTTTATAATTCTTTTTCTAGTGGTTTCCCAATATTGGCGGGATGGACTTACTGGCCTGATACATAAGCCCGCTGCCATCTTCACTCATAAGTCGCCTTGGAAAGCCACTAATAGGCAACACTATCGCCCCACTAGGATAACGGCAAGTCTGCAAGCAGAGGGATATGTTGACCTGTGCATCCTCTGTTGCAGTGCTTATTCGGATGGGATCTAGTTGGAAACCGCCCTGTAGGTGCATATCTTGTAATACCGAGTTCGTAAGGATAACCTGTCGTGGGGGCCACGATGCACCTTCGTCTTGTATCTCTAGTAAGAAATATGGTTCGAAATCGCCGTCTAGCCGAGAGACAAGAAACCAGCCCAGCGCTTTCAGTTCGGGTGAGGATAGCCTGAATCTACAGAAGATGGATCCTAGAATAAAATGGTTAGTATGAAGCCTTAATAAAAGGAGAATTTATAACTAAAGTGAATGCAACGAGACCGTAATATAAGGATAGAATGATGGTAGCTTACCTGTGCAACTATAACCGGAAGGGGTCTGCTTTACGCTGCCGGCGTCCTTTTCGAAGAAAAATGTACTAGCAACCAGCCTATGCGCGGCCTCGATGATATCTTGGTGATTCTGCCGTAGTACCTCGGCGGTCTCCTGCTCTACCAACCCTATCTTCTGTGTCTCGTCGAATTTCGGCAGTTTGGTCAAGAGCTCAGGGCAGATGCGCATGTAGCGCTGTCTAATCGACTCATCCTTCATCGCACTGTTGTACATGAAGCGGTTCCAGGCTTTATCGCATTGCCGCTGGTTGTTCAGCTTGTCCGTCTGGTTCGGGATGGGGTTGTTGAAAGAGACCAGCATTGGCGTCTTAGGGTCGCGGATGACGTATCCGCTCGCTGCTTTCCCCTGATTTATATCATCGTAAGGTAGCATTGTCGCTGAGGTTTTGCGCTTATAATTGCCAGCTCCTCCTCGGCCTTGTCTGATGACAGCACTGGCACCGAAACCCGCAGTCGTGATGGTCTCGTTAGTCATGGAACGTGATGATCGAAACGAACTTGGGTCGTCTATATTGCGATCCCCTACGTTACGACCCGCGCCGATAGATAACAGCAGGTCCGGTGGGCAGTCTGCTATGTCACTCCATATTGCCTTAGCCTCATGATGGGCAATCAAGACCGGACAAGAATGACGGATATCGTTATTCGCATATTCTTGATTAGTTTCAGATTTGAGAAATGGCTTGAAGAAAGGAGGCGTCGCGGATGTCGCGCGGGCACTATTCGGAGAAGATCGGTTAGCTTGGCAGCCGTTTTGGAGCCAATAAATATAGGAGACTTACGCTTCCCACGTGCGCATTTCCTTTGATGGTGTATCTGATCGAATGAACTTATATGGAAGCCCTGTCAACCTTTATTAGAGAGTTTCTTATTAATATATCATGATATTCTCACTCTTTTCGGTTGGATCCGGACGATTGTAGTTGGCAAAGACGACAGTTTGTCGTTCGATACCTGTCGAAGCTGTGACAGCAACTTTTGTTGAAGTTGTGATGGTGGATCTATGGGTGGCGGCACCAAAGAAAGGCTGGTCCGAAAGATATTTTTTCAGCGTGTTTGTAAAAGGCTGCGTCTTGTATAGACTACCATGGTAAAGACTTGATAGTGCACCAAAAATTGGTACGCTCGCCATTTCTCGAGGCGCGAAGGCTTCTTTGCATAGGTCTTTGAATTTCCGTATCGTCGCTTTGACCGTCCACTTCTTAACCCCTAGTCCGATTGCGATGATGCCACCAGAGCTTTACAAACCTCTGTTAGAGAAGCCTCTAGTTGAATAATATTCCGAAAACTTACTTAGTGCCGACGATCAAGTCGAAGAATAGCTGGATAGGCAGGTCTGGACCTAAGGCTTTTTCTATCTCTGAGAGAACTTGTAGCATTATGATACCCCTCGCGCCGCCACTACGCCCATCTAGTCAGCATTTCTCGATGCATTTTGCTATTATGTGGGATCACGTACCCATCAAGGCAAAGGACCCGGCTTCCCGCATAACGTGGCTTTGTTACGATAGCCCAAGGTGGATTGGCTATGAGATCCCGTACGTGTAGAGGACAGCGGCTAATCTCAATGGTAGTCCTCGAGGTTCTAGTTCCATATATCTGGGCACAGGGGAAGCAGAGAACATGGCCACATGGCAATGCGCACTCTGGCAATTCTCTCAAACAGCAAAGGCACGCGGAGTAACTAATAAAGTCTGTCGCCACACCTAACACGTTGGAATAGAGCTCATTCAAACGTTCCTGGTGGATAAGAGCAGCAACCTGAAGCTCGGTCCTATCCGGAAATTCCTGCCCAAGCTTAAAGCTGGAGGATTGAATTTGGGCAAGACTTGCTTTCAGGAGTTCTTCCCAGACTGGCCGAAACGTATCAATATCGAAACTGGATTCGTAATCTCCGTTGCCGATAATCTTCCCTTGCTTGTTCTGGTGCCCTTTGGGATTATGGCCGGATCTAACATTATAACATCGACCGAGATCTCCGGTAAATGACGGGTTCGTGAAGCTGCATGGACAGTACAGATCGGCGAATGTCTGTAGTGCGCCAGCGCAAGGCTTGGCATATCGATCATCCAGGAGGCGACTTGCGCTACCTATTGAATGGCTTAGCTGCTTTGCGTCAAACAACGTTGGTCGAGGAATATCCAAGTTCACCTGGTAAGTTCTGACGAACAGCGTCAAGCATCACGCACGATGCTATCATTGGCCCCATAGCCCGAAAGATCTGCTCAGTATCGCAGCTAAGGATCAAATTGCTTGATTTCTGTTTGATAGCTAAGGCCAAGTTCAACATATTTCCTTCGAAGCTTCTAGAGATAGGGCTATGTCGAAGAGTCTCCTTCACGAAGTCAAACGGCGTGTCGAGATCTTTAGTGAAGTGGTCGTAAGCTGCTTGAAGGTAGAATTGGAGTTTCTCCGTGTTGGCTAGCATTCGTACTTCTCTTTTCCTCAAGTATGAGGCCTTGCAGCGGTCTTTTAGCAGGTTACAGAGCTTGCCGACTTGTTCGTTCATCAACACTAAACCATCTTACGTTAGTGACGGCCAATTCATTGACTTTCAGGCACAGATCCGCAATGTCTAAATCATTGCCTCAAAAGCGGCTGACGCAGCCAAATATTAGGGGTAAAAGATGGAATGATTCGCTTCTTACTATATGATCCCTTGTACGGGACCCTAATAACGTTTATAGAACCGTAGTAGCACTCGAGAAGTTCCTTAGTGCTCCTTATGATTTTCCCGCGCCTTCGCCATGTTTGCACCTATTTAAGGGGTATTAGTGGTAGGCGCGAAATTGAAAGAGACTTGAACTCACTGTCAATTGGTTAGTTTTATTGACGAATATACGATAAATAGTCTCTTAGAAGGGTTATCATGTGCATACCATGTTCCTGTAACGCCGGCTCACGTATAACAGCGTCATGAATGTCGGTCATCAGCAACTTTGTAGCGGTTGTGACATCCCATTCTCTTTCATCGACATTGATATCCGTGGCGTTGAACACAATTATTGCATGAGGAAGTACCGGCTGATTGAGCGACTTATCAACTAAAGCATTTAGTGTAAGTGACCATTTTCAATGTCAAGAGAAAACGCGAATTTTCCATGCAGGACAACTTGGAGAATACGATAGGTTCTAGAAGGGGGGGAAGGGGTCGGGACATACTAGAGGCTGCGCCCCAACGTATTAATTTATCAAGGACCATTGACTCAAATGATCTCGGGTTCCGCAGCACGAAGACCACAACATCGGAGAAGGTGTATAGAATTCGAGGATATAACTGGCTGACGGTAAACTCCCTCTTTTGGGTATGAGGAGTATCTGCCCACAGGATCTTTCTAGTCAAGCAGTGCCTCCTCGCACTCGTGTTGCCTGAGCCTGCGTTTGAGGTCTGTGAGTGATGTCGCAACTGCTTTGGAATGGCTTCTCCTCCGCTCAGGCCTTCACAATCAACTAACAGCAACGGATGGCTGCTATATAGAGTCGATGGATCTGCGTATAAATGCACATCGCCCGTGGTGGAAATCCGATCATGACTGGATGATGTTACCGGGGCATAATAATTAGAACCTTCGGGAGCCGTGAAATCATGACGGTCAATAAGGAGTTTGATTAAGGTGCTTTTCCCAGCGCCTGTGACGTTGTTAGTCAATATGTACCTAAACATGGAAACATCATGCCCTACCAGTTTCCCCAATAAACGTCGTCAATTGTGGATATCTCTCAACTGTCTCGTCGGTGACCGTCTCGCTCATTATGGCGGCGAACCGCCCATAGTCGTGGAATAAAGGATGTCCGAAGCCATCGCGACCGAACCCGAACCAGGTTGTATCGCGATCCTCGAGAAGCTCTGATTCATGTTCCGCCTCTGTGCGCGTTGGCTCCAAAATCTGACGTAACCTGTGGACGACAAGGGGGTCTGCCTTCTCGTGGGGTTTTCCGTTCCTGTCGATCATTCATGGTGGTTAGTCTCGTCTAGGACTTGACGACTAAGTTTATTATAGACATAGATATAGAAAAGGCATTGTGGTCTTTCGGGATTTATGGTCTTAGGGGATATGTACTAACCAACCGACGGCGCCCGGGGTATGCAGGAACCACTTTGGCCAACAAGCATCGCAGAAAGCAAAGTTATTGCATTGAATGCAAGTAAACGTCTTCTCGGCATTTGTTCCACATGTCTGGCAGGGTTGCGAAAGTGATAAACGCCCCGCCATGGTGGTTGAGGGTCATGGTTATGATAGAGACCCTTGAATGGCGAGCATTTGGTCGTTTCTGGTACGTAATATCTTCCTGGAGAGTTAGCGGAACTCCTCGGAGCTCAAAAAAAAGAGGCACTCGAGCTCCGGGGGACTCGCTTCCCCTCATCAGCAGCATCAGCCGCAGAGGGGTCTGGATTGCTGCAGAACGGCGCATTAGTAACACCTGAACAACCCATGCTTGGCAGGCCGGGCAGGTTGGATGATAACCCAAGGAAGCGGGTAGATAAATGAGGTATCAGATAATCTAAGACATGAACACGATATCTCCTCAGGGGTAAATATCAGTCTTAATTTGGTAATGGTTTACATATCCTGCAATAGCTCGATACTTACGGTATATTATTCTTATCTCCGATTTCCAACTTCTCATTAGGGCTATTAAGCTTGTGCAGGAACAAGCCAACGAATTTTTAAAGAGTAAACCAATATTTAACTGTGGCTGAGATCAATTGACAATATTCAGTTTGAATTTCACACATGTATGGTCGGGTCAATATAGCCCTGTCAGAATCTGGAGTTGTGTATTACAGATGCGCATTTACATGCTGGCTTTATTGATCCTTTAGATGTAGAGAGCTATTCTCCTTACTAAATTTAAGTGACCTTGCGCGTATATCGATATATCAACTACGTCGCTAGGTTAGCCCGCTCTGCCCGCTGACCTTCGCATAAGGCATCAACATTTAATAGGGCATGGTGGTATTTACAGCACACGCTGTGTCCAAATAAAGAACACGTTTGACCAGCCGGAGCCTATGAGCGCGTGGCATTACTGTGGATATCTCCTCCCAATGACTTGATGCCTGACGCGAAAACTGATGCCTTATACCGACTTGTTTAGCACTGCGCCCCAGCAAAACGAACCTAATTCTGAAATTACTGCCCCTTAATGACCAACATAGGAGGTACCTAGCCATGTAATAATCAGCTTCACGATATGCATTCAAACTGGACGGTGAGTGTTCTAGCTATTGAAAACCAGTTTATGGATTGATCGACATCGATTCTAATACTGGGTACCAGGTACCTAAGGTAGGAGGTAAGTAAAATATGATATGGAGGCAGTGCTGCTTGCTCTATCCTGCATGATGGAGTCCCTTAGAAGACCCTCAAACGTCGCTTGAAGAATGAGCAAAAGTAAGAGATATATAATGAGGTCTTAGCCCGAGTCTTGTAGGAAAGAAAGGCTCTTTTTCTTAGATCCATCTTTCATACCATCACGGCATACTGGGTTAGAGTCACCAGCACGTATCTTTCCAAGTCCCACAAGATGGCCTCCTCGACAGCTTTACCAGCAGCTCTATTAATCATTTATATCATAGTATCTCCATCCCTAATCTATATCGTCAAAAAGCATGGCCTGAAGCATGGGACTTTTATTGGATGGCTCTTCCTCTTCCTATTCTGCACTTTAAAGATTGTCGCTAGTGCTATCGAGATACATGATGCCCGAAGTTCAAGCGCTGCACTGGTTGCTAGCATCGGCCTGTCTCCCCTCCTTGCTGCCGCTTGTGGCATCATGCACGAGTCGTACGTTAAATATAGTCCTATGAGGCATCTACAATAGTTTCTTTAAAACTCACCATGTTACAGACGCGTCTATATCCTTCCGAAATCGCGACGGCCTTTTGATACTCAATACCTTGTTCTCTTCCATGGCCTTGTTACGACTGCAATAGCTCTTGTTGCTTCTGGAGCCTCGAAGCTCAACAACACCACACTATCACCAGACCAGCTAAAACGAAGCCTCAATCTAGTCAAGGGTGGCATGATTTTGTTGCTCTTGGGTTGGCTTTCTCTTGCAGTAGTTACGCTTACCACGTATGGAAACTCTTTAACTCAAAGGTCTAGAAGACTGGCAGCGGGCGAATCAGGGAAGGCTCTGCTCTTAGCCGTCGCTATTTCTATACCATTCTTAGGCATCCGACTACTGGAAAGAGCCGTTTATTTCTTTACCCAAAACCAAGACTTAAGCCCAGTAACGGGTAGCCTAGGCCTACGAATCGGCTTTGAGGTCATAGAGGAGATTATTGTTACCTTGGTATTTGTCTTCACGGGGATCTTGACTCGAAATATTAGAATGATAGCTGCGGAGGACTCATTCTAAGCCGAAATAGATGGGGGTTCATAAGATTAGCTACCTGATGCCTAAACCAGGCGTGGACTAGAATTCTTGATAATCGTATGCAATGTACCTAACCTATCAGTTGTTACCACCCATACACGATAATTACCTACCTAACGTTGCAAGTGATCTTGAACCCAGGCACGGCGAAACTAGCTCATTAAGGTGAGCCAAATTCCCCAAGTGTCAAAGAAATCCGATGGTGGGTGTCATGCGTATAGTGATACCGATACCAGTAGTAATGTAGTAGATATAAGCTACAAACGCTTGCCCTTTACATACATCTGCTACCCTATAGATCTATGCCTCGCCCACACTAGTCCTACATACCCCTGACAGGTCAGCGCCACTCTTCAGGAACTAGCCTAAGTGACTGTACATTTGAGCGTTGAACAGATTGATTTATGGGTTTTCAATATCTATTTCAAGATCGTATCTCACATACATAGTTGATATTGCCCAGTGAGTATAGTGACAAGATTATGACTGCTATCATACTTCTTTACCAGCTTTCCTCTGCCCCTCCCGCCACTCATGCTCCAACATCCCGTACAGAACATGGTCATGCCAACCGCCATTAAACCATATCGCCTCACGATGCTTGCCTTCGCTTATAAAACCAAGTCTTTCGTACAACCTCATGGCACCCGTATTAAACGAAAATGTCCCAATTGAGATGCGATGCAAGTTTGCCATCTGGAAACCATACCACAGCGCCCATCGAATGGCCTCTCCACCATATCCCTGTCCGCGGTATTCCTTTATGATATCAATACTGATATCTGAGCTCCTGTGATGCGCATGATTCGGCGAGCTAGGTTTGAGACAAATGAGACCGATGGGTATAACTTCGTCATCCTTCCCGTCGAGAGGCGTGACGGGTAGACATATAAGAGCACCGAGGAGACATTTTTCGATGTGGCTCATAAACTCGGTGGTCGCCTTTTTGCTTTCGGGCCTCAAAAGTCCATAGCTTGCGCCAGATTGGGCCTCTGCATCCTGTTGAATTGCATAAATGAATGCTACATCCGACGGTTCACTATTGACAGCGCGGTATACGAGACGTTCCGAGTGGAAGGGGTCAAAAGGTCTTGTTTCAGGCATTTTCAAGAACGCTTAAAGCAGAATAGTAGAACGCCTGGATATTCTCTCCAAATGATAGATTCTCGCTGTTGATTTGTAGTAGATAAGGACGTCGTATTTATAATCACAGGAATCTTGCAAATTAGTGGGAATGGGAGTTGCGGCGTAGAAGTCCCCACGATGGTGCTAATAAGTTACGAATTGCCTATTTGGTCTCGCCGAGATTACGGCATGGCTAACTAAAGTGTTGTTAAACAAAACACTAAGAGATTTTGAAGTATATGTGATAAACTATACCTACACGGATATACTATAAGCATACCAGTGTAGGTCTTAACTACCTCCTAACTTGGTGTATATAGAGTTGAAAAGATATTGGTATAATTAACTACCTACCTAGTTATGTCTTTCCATGACAAGTTTGGTACTTTAGATATTGGTATGCACTGATGCACCTTAAGAGGTAGGTACCTAAGGCATAGGGATCAAGTTCATTAAATGGCTACAAGTGTTGGTTCTTAACTTCAGTTCAATAAATTCAACTCCTAGGTATATGACTCGACAGAAAGTTTGAAACGAAAATTCGTAAAGCATCTTGCGCCGTATTTTAGGCCTTGGAGATCCATGCAACTATGTGTAGCGTTATAACCTGAGCTCGCTACTTGAACTGAAATAACTGTAGATACCTCTGTTAGATCTTATTTATTTAAGTCTCTTCCACTATACCGGTGACTGCCGTGTGGCAGAATAAGGAGGCGAGAAAAGGAAGTTAAGGGGTAGCTAACCTTCTTCTTGGTCAGTGGTCCGAATGAGATTTCTGATGTATCTTCAAATCTTTGAGAATCTTCTTCGAGTAGCTCGAGATCTACCTCATCCAAATATTCCATTCCCATCCGTACTTGCTTCCAGCAATTACCATCCTGAACTTGTATTTCAAAAGGATTCTCTGGGTGAAGAGCCAATCGGGGGATTTTGACTTCGCACCGCATGTCGAAGCGTTGTGAATGTGAGACTCTGTTTTTACTAGGATCCCATCGCACCCAAGGGGATGTGAGGCCTGGAGGCCAGAAGCCTTTGGCATCAAGACCCGGAGGTCTTAAAATAAATCCATAGCCAGCATCGGATTCTTTGCCTTTAGGTTTTGCTGCCACGGGGATGACATCGAATAAAGTCTCCACTTTCCCAGGCTTGCCTACGCGAACTCGGCCCTCGCTGAATGCAGCGTTGTTCTGCGGCAAATGAAGATGCATACTGAAGTTTGGAGACATGCAGTAGTGAAGTGACTTTCCATACCAACCAACTTGAAGCCAACTAAATATGTTGCGCCAGACATTGCAGTTCAAGCGGGTTCCCCTATTCCCTAATCCTTCCTTTGCCGCTCCATAAGTACTAAAATGTCGAGATATCAGTATGAAACAGCCAAGCTAAACGCAAGTAGGATAAGAACATCCTTCGGTTAAGGTTTTTTCTTTCATTTTTTCACTTTCTTCTTTTTTTTAAATAAAAGGTACAACTCCGTTTTAGAGAAGAACTCTGCACTCACTGAATACCTATAACGGTTTCAACTCCGCGGAATCCTAACCATACAGGTCCACCACTCATTCCTGGTTTAGTATCGGCTTCGTAACGGACTTGGTGTAAATTGACTCCAACGCATTCACCCTCCGATCTCCGTGGCGACTTTTCGTGCGGTGAATCTTCTGGTGCGTATCCGCAGACGTATACCGTGCGGCCTTGAAGTATGTCCTTGCTTTCATGTTCGCTATAATTGCTACCCTCCCCAGACTCCGGTGCAAGGCCTAACATAACGTGAAATCCAAACCCACGATGTCGTTTAGAGTGATGCCTCTCTACGAGTATGACTCCGTAATCATAGATTTCCATATTTTCATCAGGGTCCTCAAAATACTTCGAGCATACCCGAATCATGTCGGGTTTTACACAAATTTCTTTTTTTTCGTGGGGATCCCCAATGATCCTGATATTAGAGCAATAATGTTGCGGTTTGTCAACAAGGTTGTGCCCAGCTGTGAAGATAACATCGTAGCGGGCGTTTGGGATATTGACGTAAAATCCGTTACCATGCTTCTCGACTTTAAGTCGATACCAAATATTTGCGTTAAGTCTCCCGAAGTCTCAAAGGATTTAGAATGGTTTTACTCACTTCCAAGCTTTTCAAAAGTCAGTTTAACCACCCATTCATGCCACCGGGTTGCTAGAGTAGACACATCTATCCCAAAGCGCTCAGGTGCGCACGATTCATAGTCTCCAATTTGAGTCGGATGCCAGAACTCCCGAGGAAGCTGAAAGGTTTCTAGATTGAAATTTATGAAGTCTGGCTGCTTTTCGTTTCCCATAATTACCTGATAGTAAGGGCCCCGGATTTAGTACTATGGAGATTATATTGAAATGCGATGTTAAATATTCATAAATATAACTATTAAAGGCACTTGAGGGGAAGAAATTTCCAAAATATGAAGACAGACTGTCAAGTTAATAAAGGGCTATGGTGGGTCTCGTCTCGGGAAATACTATCCAATTATGCCTACCTGTGTTCACCTTCGGAACACAGTATATTGCCTTATAGAAACCCAATTAACATCATATGTCTTCAAGTACACCAGCATGCATAGTCTAATCACATTACACCAATGATATTTGTACACAGCTAACTTGAGACCACCCATTCACCACAGGAATCTCCCTGATACGGGTGGAGTAATATAATATTCAAGTAAAATCATTAATATACTATCTCATAATCATCTAGACCTATACCAGGAAATCGTTGTTGCAAGCCCAACAAGCTCGACATCATTAATAAAACCAAATAGTGATCCTCCTTTTTGAAACTCTCACCTTCCGAGCTCCTTTCCATGAAACCTTCCATCCAGCCTGTGCCTTGCTTGAAGGAATAAGCTTACCGTCACCTTCTACTTTTCCCAGACAGGTCTTTTCCTTCTCCCCGCTGACATTCCATAGGGAACCGTCTGTAAGGACGTAGCTCTGGATAACTCTGGTCTCGGGGTCTTCCTCAATCCTAAAGTTATCAATACTAGTGCTGAACTTGGCATTCTCAAGCACATTGGCTAAATAAATGGAACAAGAGATGCCCCTTAGTTAGCAGAAGCATTTCGTTAGGTAATAAGATCTAAGGTGTAGCAGCTTCTCACCTTTCCAGTTGAGTGTAAAAGGATCAAAGACGAGGTAGCTAATCCCAGAGCCTTTCTCCAGATAAAAGAGATGGAGCCTGCCGTCGATAACCTCAAGGCACTGGGGTGTCCCTAGGACAGGGGTGGCCTTAAGAGGGCCAAAAGAAGCCCACTCGTTGTTGTCCGTGCTCATCACGACTGCCAGGTAACCAGTCTCATCCTGGTAAGAGATCACAATCTCTTCCTCTGGGCCAATAATCGCACTTAGCTTACTCTCTGGGCTTGTCTTAATGTTCAATTTGTCGCCGTGTGGTGTCTCTTCCCAGTCTTCTGCGTCCTCGTTGTATGCATAGGAACGCACAACATTATCTTCGTCAATGAAGATGACGATGCGCTGCAGACAACCAGTATTAGGTCAGCAAAGGTACCAAAGGTCCCACATCAAGATGTGATCCAACGTACCGGAGTGTCTCTTGAGCCGAGAAGATATGAAGCCGAGGTATTATGTCTTACGCCTGAAGCAATGATGTTCTCGCTCTCTACCACATCGTCCACCCAGTACTTCTCGATGAGATCCCCATCTCTCACGCTCAGGACATAAAGTCCCTCGCCTTCATCGCTTGGGACCTTTACCGAACCAACAGAAACAAGGGAGCGAGCAAGGTATTGAACACTCATGATGGAGAAGATAAAAGAGTTTGTGATGGACCTGCCTGAAGTTGCCTAAAGACACCTCTCCTTTTCACAGTAACGCCTGTGCATTTATAATCAAATATGGTACCTAGTCTCTCACTTGAGCCTCACTATTTTCAAGCAGCTGCCGCTATCCCAATTACGACACTCTTATGGAGGGGTAAGTGTAGCTGCACACCGACTTTGTTGATTGGGTTGATTGGCGAAGTTGTCAGCTGAAAATGACCCCCCACGCTCTCCCTTTTTGGGTCATGTCGTGAAGCTGAATGCCTGACGCATGTAAGACGGGGGCTGCAAATAACATACCCGGGGCTCTTAAAGAATCGCTTAGATAGAATTACTTGCGGGTCGGACACGGTGCGGATATTCACATAATATTGTTGGCCGCCGACTCAACCAAGGCTTTCGAAGGTAACCTATCGTGTATAGGGTGCTAAACTAGCAGCGGCTTTGTGGGTGTAGTTGGGCAGCATATTTTCAATCAGGCGCAATACACCCCATCGGCACTTAATCGCTCGTCTGCGCGAAATCCTACGTAGAGGTCATTTCCACCGCACGACGGGATGTTACCTAGGTAGCTATTTGGCTCAATGTGACGTCCTGGCTGCATATACCCCAAGCGACGATAGAATCATCACCACGTGTATAAGGAATGGGATAATTTCTTTTTTTTCTCGGCATCTGTAGCTTCACGTAGCCTTCCTTCATACACCGAGATCAACGCCCAATGCTAAGATAGGGGTTACATCACCATTTCACTTAGACAGTCTAATACAAAAATAGGGTAAATGATTGGCATACGATAATTCATAGGTGTTGGCAGATACAGCGGTTTCATCAGGCGTTGATTTGAAAATTAAAGTCCACTGTGGCTTTCGTGGGATGAGGCTCAAAATGTGGGCAGCGGGAGGGAGGGAGGTAAGAACGAGAAGGACGAAGAAACTAAGCTCAGTCGGCTTGCGGCTCAAATATCACGATATTTATTTATATAGTGGCTATTCAGTACCTGGTATTATGCTATGTATCGACAAGGAAAATCGGAAGCCTCAATTCTAGACACACCAAACAATTACCTACCTTATAACCTTCTCGATATGTCTTTTTACAGTGACGCTGCAACTGGCGCCCTCACAGAGAAGGCGTTAGATTATTATTTGAAAACTTGCAAAATCAACGAGCCCAGTACCGAGAAAGGAAACGGCACCTTCGGCTTAACACCACTTGCTGTGGCCGCGCGATATGGACATGCTGATGTCGTCAGGCTTCTCCTCGAGAAGGGCGCCGCGGTGGATGCTCTCTCATCCGGGCTGCTCACACCATTATACATTGTCACGGAACGAGGACGAGGCAACAACCGGGCTGAGATAGTTCAGATCTTACTGAAATATGGAGCTGACCCAAGATACTCCAACCCGACCCTCCAAGACGGGCCGACACCTCTCGAGAATGAACTCAGGCAGCAGAAGGACCCTGAAGTAATCCAACTTCTCGCCCAGAGTGGTGGCAAGACGGGAAAGGCCACAACCTTGGCAGAGAGTCTGAGCCGGCCCGATATCGATGCCGCTATGGGATCTTCAGGGAAACCAATTAATGGTATCGAAATGATAGTGAGCATTATCATTGCTCTTATACTATACATCTTCGGTTGGGTTCACGATGCAATCATCGCAACCGGCAGCGTCTTGAAGGCGTACCCAATTCGCGGCCACACAGATGACCCAATGGCAAAGAAGGTTGATAAGGTGCGAAAATGCAGAAAGTTCATGAACCCCTATCTTCCCTTAGTTATGATCTAACTTGATCCTATAGGAACTACGACCAAAGGCAAAAACTAAGGAAGATTTCGAAAGGAGCATTGGTGATTTCGTAGCCCAGCACAAGCTAGGCAAGTTCTTCAGGAAAGGTAGTGAGAAACTACTGGAAAGTATTGCCGCCAAGGCCGTCGAGGTGCAGAAGGATCAAACATCAGTCTTGGGCGAACCGGAGAACGCTGAAAACCTCATCAAGCTTGCTCTTTACCAGCCTGTCATCTATTGTGGTACGAACCCTGACACATATAGTCGAGTATTAACGGTCCCAAACTAACTTATATTTATAGATGACAGTGGGTCAATGGACCCGGCAGGCAACAATGACAGAGAAGACCGCATGGGAGACCAGCGGAGCCTAGTCAAACGAGTTGCATCGATATGCACCAAGATCGTACCCGACAATCTCGGCGTCCATCTTCGATTCATAAATAACCATCGGGACAACCTTGACAACCTGAAGATGCACGACATCGAAAATATCATGGCTAAAGTCAAAGCTGAAGGTTGCACGGAAATTGGAATTCAGCTCCGTGAACGAATCCTTCAACCGCTCTTATATTCTCAATACAATGAGAATGTAAAGAACCTGACGAGACCATTATTCATCTCCATCATCACCGATGGTATCCCATACGGCGGATACGGATCGTTAGAGACATACAACACGCTCAGGGATGAGATCAAGAGATGTCAGGAGTACTTGCTTGAGAACGGCCTACCATCAAGAAGTAAGTAACTTTCCCAGACTTCTATGCCTCCCTGCCTATCTACCTCTTGTATCTTACTGACTTGCCGCAAAGCTGTGGTCTTCCAAATCAGTCAAATCGGTAGCGACAAGAAATCCAAAGAATTCCTGCAGAAGCTGAAGGAAGAAAACCTTGAGAATGTGTATATTACAGCACGTGAGTTACCCATACGAGAAGCATATGAAGATATTCAATTGCTGACATGGACTGCTAGACCAACTCGACTCGAAGTTCCGAGAGCTCAGGGACAACGAGAGAGGCCTCGAAGCTTGGGTAAGAATAACCCCCCCTCCCCTAACATCCCTACCTCCTAACCTATCGCTTTGAACATTCTGAAAACGTGCTAATCGCATCATCTAGCTGTTCGAAACCCTCCTCGAACCCATCCTAGACCGAAAGCTTGGTTGAACTAAAAAGTATTGAATAATTTTACAGTCTTACATGGTGTCTTTGACAGGTTATTCAGGGGTTAGGAGTGTAAGGGAATGTGACAAGGAAAAGGGTTCGGTCTGAAAATTTGTTCCGCGATTGATTTACGTGTATCCTTACGGCTTTGTCTGACGACTGATTTCATTTGTCATATTACGATTCTAAAGTGTCTTTTTATCTCTTTCAAAATTTGGGTACTTGGGAGGGTTTCATTTAACTTAGGTAGCAATAGTAACAGAATTTTCAACCTAAAGCACCTCCGTTCTTTCAGGGACGACAAAGGCATTTAACGGATCAGATTGCGCCATGACTTTCTTCCCCGCTCCGAGGTCTTTTCGGATATCTCGTTCCCGAAACTCCAAACTGTATAGGACTGTCTGATGATTAAAACCAAGAAGTCATCATCACCTACTAGCCTCTTGACACCCGGGACCAATGGGGATGCGACGTTGGTATTTTCGACAGTGGCCCTATCATATTTGGGGTTCGAATCGAGTGCGAAGTCTGCACCGATAGATTCGTAGCAGGTATGTTTCTCGGGATTCGCCCGCCGTCTTCGATATAGATCACCTCTTCCGGTAGGAACGGTTGTGTAAATTGGGGGAAGACGTGACTTGTCGCAAGGACGCGCAGCGCCGCCGCATGGCGGAAGGGATAAGATGGGTCCCAGTGCATTATCTGTATTGGTCGCAGCTATTCGATCGTTCCAAATTTGGCAGGCGCTTCTATTACTGCTATGATGATAATGAGGCACCGTGAAAGACTTCGTATAAATATTAAAACACACAGATATAAGGCTGTCGCCCAGGGGATAACATTCAGTCTCGTGGGCCTCGTGAGCGGCAGGATTTAAATTCTGATTAGCCGGGAATATGGCTTGCATTAAGCAATATCCGCCGTATGAATCTACCTTTTCCCAGCGGAGGTTCGTAAAGTCAAGAGATTCCATGGTAGTATCGGGACAAATAGCCCTGTCTAAAGAGTAGGTTTCAGCAAGTACGCCGTTGCGGATTTCGTGTACTCGCAATTGCTTCTTGGGAGCGGGGGTGAGCGTAATGACAAAAAAGACATTATCCTCGGTGGGAGAAATGATGAAGTCTAGAAGCATTCCATTTTGCACGAGGCGTGATCCGGCGTTATGAGAGGAAACGAGCTGTCCAGGAGTAAAGTCGTATATATGAGATGTGCCAAGAGGACCCTTGATGTAACAGCCAGTTACATCGATATGTTCGGGCTCTCGGTCGAATTTCCACATGAAGAGTTCTGCGTTCTTAGTGACGATGAGTACAGTCTCCCCCTCCGCAATGCAGCGAACGAATTCTTCCGGAACTCTAGTAGAATGAAGCCGGTCTAGTTCGAGATGCCACGCATGTAACGTCCTTCCACGTCCCATGAGCAATAGCTTACCGCTCATAGCAGTCTTGAACCCTTGCTTCTCTCCTTGATGATTTGGGAATACGTATGCTCGTCGCTTTCTCGTGCGTAGATCGTCAACGACAGCGAAATAAGGAAGGACGTATGCTTCCGGCCACCACGCTATTCGGCCATTATTGTACATCATAAAGCGTGGGAAATAAGTACCGTCATCAAGTTCTAAATCATCCACATCGTCGTAACAGTGCACGCCCCCTGCCCGCTCCGGGACGTCCTTGCTTAGCGTGAAGAAACGGTCGGAACCCAAACACATCTTATGATGTAAGGCCGAGATGAATCTTCCACTCACTCTTCCCTGAATTTTATGTAAGGCGTTTCGGAACATCTCACCCAAATCTTGACCAGCGGTAGCCGAGTTGCGAATGTGATCCTCTAAGCCTGGGAACCACCGCCGAGCAAGCTTAGGCCATATTTCGTCGCTCAACCAAATGTCGCGCCAATGACGACATGCGGTGAGACCCGCGTCTATGTCCTTAGGCTCGAGATAGGTAATAATAAGAACATGTATCTCGAATGGGAGACGACTAATTATATCGAGCTTCATCTCTCTTGAGCTCGAAGACGAGGCACGCGCACTTCCAGGGTGCCGCAGCTGTGTTAAAAGCGACTTCATGATGCCTCAACCCTAAATCATAGGCTTTAACTCATAAAAATAATAGAATGCTGATATTTCCCCGACCACAAGTGTGATATGATAAATGGCTTAGATACAAGATCGCCAAATTAATACGTAGTTTCTATTAAGAAAAAAGAAGATCAAACGGTAAAGGTTGTTGGTTACCTCAAAGCTAAAAGTTAATACAAAAAGCGTATCAGCTTACTCTTCTAAAAATACAGCTGAAGTGGCATTGGTCGCATCAAGGGTTCGTAAGAAAAAAAGGGGGCAGCCTTAGTTGAGGTTAGGGTACCTGGGGTATCAAAATTGGAAGAGATAATAAATACCTACAGATAGGTAATCGCCGATATCAGTTCCGAAGATCTCCCGGTGCCTGACTTTTACATAGTAAGGTTCTTCGGAGTCCGGACTCTTTATGTCTTAAACTTTTCGTAGCTTTTCGTAGTGGGCGGCGCCAAGAAAGAAACAAACAACCGCGAAAACGACAAACAGACCGAAAACGACCAATAGAGTGCAAGTAACTCAACTCTTTGCAACTGACAAACGAGGTTTGGAAACAAACGATCAAGAATTGTGCTTCATATGAAGTGTTCTTGAAAGAAAGAAAAAACATTTATTTTATATTAGGTACTATTGGATACACCCAACAAGCTTCATAGGTAATTCATCAGCTGGATGATTTATACTTTTCACGTATGGCAGCATATCTATACCTAATCTAACGAATTAGAAAGACGGATAACTCTGAGCTAAATCACCCTAAATACGTGTAAACTTGGGAACTGACCGACGCGTTACAGGGAGGTACCTAGCCCTAGCCGGTACTCATAAAGAGTACAAGTCACGATTATCAAAATCTCAGACCAAGGTGTATCAGCACCTTTTCGATAAAAAAATAAGGATCTACTAAACAAATAAAATAATAAACTATGAGACTAATGACAATATCGAGGGAAATCTTGGGCTCCAGGGTCTAGGCTGTCTGAGCTCTCCAAGTCAAATCCACCACTTAATCTTGACTCAACGCCGCTATTCCATATGTCTAGCCTTTTCAGATCAAGATGATCGACTCGACCTCAGTTGGAGCGAGCTCTAAGACACTTTCGGCAAGCATGATGCGCGGCCGCGATACACAGCAGTCTCGCCCGTAGACCCGTTCCTTGGTCTCGATCGCTGCCCAATTCAATATGCGTTTCCCAGCAGCGGTTCTATTCCTGCCAACTATCCTTGGAGGGAAGCTGGTTATCCCTGAGATACAAAATGCAGTGAGCGCGCAGTTGGTAGGATTCAGCGGATACACAGGCTAGTACGATTCGGCCGTAGTCAATGATGTCTCACCTGTGAGCTCGAGCTCCGTCTCCGGCTCCGAGGAAAATAAAATCCAGGAGCGAGCCGCTATTAGTACTTACTGGTATGAGAAGATTTCACATCAAGGCATATCGGCCTTCAATGCCAACGGTACAACGTACAAGGTCTACTGCAATGTCAAGGATTATGGCGCCAAAGGCTATGAGCAACTTACATGATACAGTACTTCCCCGCAGGAACCTACGTGGTTTCTTCGTCAATCGTTAGCTACTATGCGACCAATACTGTCGGAAACCCGAATAACATGCCTGTTTTGAAAGCCACGGCCGGCTTTTCTGGATTCGGTGTCATAGACGGTGCTCCGTGCCAGACCGGTGGAGATCTACCCCACGGAGCGACGAATATCTTCTGGCGTCAAGTCAGAAACTTCGTCATTGACCTAACAGCCATCCCGGCGGCGACTGAGGCAACCGGCATCCATTGGCCTACGGCACAGGCAACGAGTTTGCAGAATATCGTGTTCAAGATGTCCAGCGATGAGGGGATCAAGCACCAAGGAGTTTTCATAGAGTCGGGCCCTGGTGGTATCCTAAACGACCTCGTATTTTATGACGGTTTATATGGAGCCGTGTTTGGTAGCCAGCAGTTTACCGTAAGAAACCTCACTTTCAGCGATGCAGTGACTGCTAGCTATCAGCTATGGGACTGGGGATGGACGTATAAGAGCATATCCGTCAGGTAAGTACTACATAATTCTTCCATCCCAGCTAGAGGTTCTTTTTGAAACTACTCCTATTTTCCTACATAGGTATATTAACGGAGGGAGGGTAAGTTAGGTAGCTAAATCCTTGCAAATCCACGTCTACCGCATATCTTCTCAAGTGAAAGCATTAGAGAGTCGTAACATTCCATTTATGTCTCGCAATGAGATGGATCATGGGGGTTATTTCCATCTGATGTAGGCAGTGGCTGACAGAGCGCAGATAATTGTACAGCCGGTCTTGATATGGCGACTCGAGACTCGAGCGGCGAAACCGTAGGGTCTGTCACCTTCGATAGCTCATTCACGAACATGAAAATCGCATTTAATATATCGCGCTACGCAAAGTATCAACCGACGACAGACGGCAGTCTTGCGATTGAGAACGTCTCCTTGAAGAACGTATCTAGAGCTATCCAATTCGGCCCAACCAAAAGCGCCCTACTTGCCGGAACCACAGGGTCAACGACAATTGCTAGCTGGGTAAGCGGTAATGTGTACAGTCCTACAAGCCCCGAGACCACCGCCGGCTCGATTACCCCACCTACTCGCCCGAGCCTTCTCGTGAGCAACGACAGATTTCATGAGCGGTCGAAATTTTCATATGCCAATCTCGCTGTGTCGTCTTTTTCTTCTCTTCGAACTAGTGGTGCTAAAGGTGACGGTACGATTGATGATACCGCAGCTCTACAGCGCGTCACAACCGCGGCTGCTAGTCATCATGGGGGCTCCGTGTTAGCACTAGCAAGAGCGTACTTGTTTGTATATGGTGCGGGGTAAGTCAACTTCTTAAGTCTTGTGACGCGAAAAGTCCAACTTGATTGCTAGGAACAGTTAGCTAATTTACCGCAGCTTATATTCGTTCTCTAGTAACTTCAACACAGCATGCTCTGCGAAAGGTGCTAGCTCGTTATGCCAGGCCGGAATGGTGCAATACGACTCAGCGAGCACTAAGGGATTCTAGATTTACGGCTTGAATTAGGTACTGTCGGTGCTTACGGGATGGTCTTTAGGGACACCACTAAGCTTGCGGATTATTCGCAGGACGTCAAGGGTGTTCCCAAGCACAATCATCGTATCAACAGTAATGATCAATGAAGTACATGGTAAACCTAAGTGTATATAACAAAGGTGTTGCTACTAGTGTATGACCCCCTTGGCTATCAATGAGTCTCGGATTTGTATATACCATCTATCTTACGCCTAGGTAATTCATGTATAAAGAAAGCAGCCGATATGATTACGCTTCCCAGGCATAGTAAAGATAAACAATAGGAGAAAGGGGCTATTCGCGTGACATAGAACACTTACGAACAATCGCATTGACTCGTCGCAGCTCCTTTAATAATGGCATTGTTTGGGAAACCATCCATTGTACTGTTGCAAACTTTATGAGAAGCCTTTCATATAGACAAGGCAGAAAACATCCGACTGAGAGAAAGCCCTTCCTATTACACCTTACGTACTATTGAGTATTTCAGACCAGTCCCCCGTGACGATTAACTAAATTTCAGGATCACAGATACTTTCACGACTAACGATTTCGAAGATATCCTAATTCAGAGGTAGGTTGATAGAACTTTCTGGATACCTAAATTAGCTAGTGACCGGGGCCAAACATTACGATTCAACATGTCTACCTCGGGACGCTACATGGATGAGGATGTCAGGATGGATTTGATTGTGGACTATTTACGAGCAACTAACGGTGGGCAATCGGCAAACAACAGCGAGCGTCGTTCAAGTAGCAACGAACAACGGACCTATAGCACGTTTGCGACACGAAGGGAAGCGCCTTCGCCGTTTGTTGCGCCGATAGAGGTAATACACAAACCGGGTATGGATGCCAGATATCCACCGACTCCCAGTAAGTTCACCCTCCCTGCCATCCCAAAGCCTAAGCGCGCTCCTCCTCCTCGTCCTACACTGCAGCGGGACCGGCCAATCTTTGAGAGCCTTCCCCTCGAGGAAGAGGAGAGTAGCGGGAAGTGCGATCGAACGGAATTTTGGTACGAGCAAGGCAAGGAGTGGAACGTAAAGGGGGGGAATCAAAAGCGGAATGGGAAGAAAGACATGGATCGGATGCAGACGGGACCGGAATGCTTCACATGCGGCAACAAGTTACGCCTCGAACAGCTCATGTCCGAGGTCCCTTGCGATAACTGCGGCTGTTTCAATTAGTTGCCTTGGATAAGCTGAGGCTCTAGATGATGCCTAAGCCCTAAGAATTATATATAGTCTCTTGTGGTTGAACTCAACCGCTTTCCGCTTTGCCTTGGGTTAGTTAAGGTATCTCTATCTACTATCTAAAGCACCTAACCTAATTTTTGTTCGTCTTATTAATATATACATACCGCTTTCTATACCTATATGACGCGCCTTATGAAATTCGACGTGCCAAAACTCGCTATGTAATGCCTCTTGTTTCTATCAGACCCATGCCTATTCCTTAACCCGCTGGAAACCCAACTTGCTATGCGACGTGTTCTTATACCGCCAAATTACTTTAAAAACAGGGAGGCGATCGACATAGATATGACAGCATATATCCCCGCATGCACGGCTTTGGGCTGTTGAGGCCGACCGATCTTCTCTGAGCCATGTTGTTGATATGCTCTTCTCCCCGACGCGAAAAGGGGGGCGTGAGTGTGCGGCGGACGAGACCTTATTCTGTGAGCTGCGTAGCCCTGGCCAAAGACGTCGAAACATCACAAAGCTTTAGTTTTTATTATTATTATTATTACCTAGGTAGGTATTTTCAATATTATAAGGCATTTAGTATAATTCACACGAGAAAAGAAGCTTTTACAATGTTCTTATACCTTGAGTACCCCTAATACAAGTGAGACTCAAAGTTGGTGCTTTTTAGTGGTCGGTCCGCCTTCTAAAACTTGAGACTTTTAGCACTGCTAGAAGGGTTTTGAAAGCACCAGAGGCAAGCTTAAACCCATTCATACTTGAAGCTTCAAAAACCAAAAGCATGATTGTACTAGATTTTGAGGCTTTATATGAAACAATTGATCCAGATATATTTCAGGCAAATCAGGTTTTATATTGATAATAGAGGAAAGTTACGTACCAGGCAAGGCACCGATTGATAAACGTTCTAGGCTATTGACGTCACCCCTAGGTTGTTGTACAGTGTACAGTTTACTAGGTGTATTAGGTACTAGGTAGTGTAAAAATCGGCGCATCTTACAGTGGCGGAGTGGCAGAGTGGCCGATCAATCACCTGATTATTTGGATTCGGACGCTATTCTTATCAGGGGACCGACCGATAATTAGGCCATAAACGCTTTCTTTTCCTCAGAACATCCCACAACCCATTCTTGCTTCCATCAAACATCAAACATCAAAACATAAAAAAATCAACCTTACAAAATAATCATCTGCCCATTACCTACCTAGTATATATCAGCCCTTTTTAATCGTAGAATCATGACCGACGATAAGTCACAAGACCAGACCTCGGCGCTCGCTTCCGGAGTGGAAACCAAAAAGGAAGACCCCCCATTGGATCAAGCTGCCCAAACGGACTCCGGCGACAACAAGACGGAGAATACCGCCACATCTGACTCAAACTCCACCTCGCAGTCGAGACCGACCAGACATTTGCCTACCCATTATAAGGGCATGCCGAAGCAATGGGAGAAGAATCAAGGTGAGTTACCGGCCCGGACACGTTTCTGCCAAGAACCGGTTACATAGCGGTAGTCTCCTTTGTATCTGCCGTTCAACTCGGTAGACTAACCGATTTTGCAGTTCCTAAGAAGGATAATTCAAGCTTGTAGAATCTGTCTCTTTGTGCTTGAGAGCATAATCTGGAATTCCAGTGCACCTAACCCATGAGTTCGTAACCATGAATCTGCCCGAGACGAAACATGAGAGCTTCCAAAGCGGGCTCCGGGATTTGTAGCCGATGTCTGTATTTAGCGATATACGGAATATGACAGCAAACCGTGTCGAGAATTTATATCGAAATGTCACGTGTCCTTCATTCAGTCCTTCCATCTGTCAGAGTTGTCTCAATTTGACGCCTTGGTGAACCGGGATTTCCCTTTCTCCAATTAATCCGACAGGTATCTAATATCCAGCTCGTATCGACAATGCGAGGCATACAGTTAGTTGGAGGTCACTTGCGACCCAGCTGAACCAAGTTCGGAATAGTTTCTGCGTAATAAATGCCATTGCGATATTTTACACGAGTCAACGAGCAATTCGAGACAAATTCTACAGTGTCCAAAACGAGGTAAATAAATTTAGGATATCAAACCATTTAAGTATCGAATTATCTAGCTCCAATTTTTGAGTCTAGAAGTCGATTTTACTTCCAAAATACCCTCTAATTTCTCACATCACGACACCAAATCGGCAATCTCCTGACGCCGCACTCCACTTATAGGATGACGAACTGCCGAGTGCAGTAGCCTGATCCACAGGCAATCCCTCCCAAAGCGAAAAAAGTTGCATTGCTACACGTTCCTCCATTGATTTCAGCAACTCGGGATTCAACGAAGTCTTAGTAGTTGAGGAATAATGTACGGGCTTTATCCAATTAGACTCAACATGTCTAGACATCACTTTTCTCGCGCTTCGGACGTTGGCAACTATATAATCCCCACGTCCTTCGACCCCTACTAAATCCATATGTCTACAAGACGTTCACCAGTCTCGACAACATAAATACTCTATATTATTCATATAACCACTTAGTAACAGTATAACAGAAACTTCATACAAGTTTTCTCCAAATTTATCAGTTACAGTGGACTGAAAATCATACCTATACTCAACCTAACACCAAACACAATGAGCGACAACTCAACGCAAACTCGACCGCTTAGTGTCATCGTGACCGGCGGTTCAAGCGGGCTCGGGGTCATGATGACCAAGTACTTCGCCTCTCTGGGTTACATAGTCAGCATTCTCGACGTTAACACCGCTTTGGGTCACAAGGTAGTGACCGACGTTGGGACAGAATATCCGCAGTCGACTATCAGCTTCAAGCGCGTAGACGTCACATCCTGGTCTGATCTAGACACAGCCTTCCGGGAGGTCTACCAGCAACGCGGTGCCGTCGACATCGTCATGGCCAACGCTGGCATCTCAGAACAAGGAGCCAGCAGTCTAACGCTAGTCGACGAGGATGAGCCGTCCCAGCCAAGACTCAGGACACTGGACGTGAACTTAACGGGAGTGATATATAGTGAGTTCCATCTATCTCTATGTAAATAGCAAACCCTTTACTAACCTGTCTAAAAGCCGTCAAACTTGGAGCACACTATATCAAGAAGAACAATCCAGATCCCACAACGGGATCACGGGGTACAATCATATGCACTGCCTCGAATGCAGGTCTATACCCCTTCCCCGTTGCCCCCATCTACGCTGCTTCAAAGGCCGGTGTGATAGGGCTAGTTCGTTCTCTAGCCAAAGTTCTCGAACGTGTCAACATCCGGATCAACGCATTAGCACCGGCAGTACTGGGTAAGATCCCCCCCCTCTCCCGCGCACCCCACATCCCTTTTTGCTCAGGTCCTCCAAAGGTGCTTGCGCATGCATTACCGAAACTCTACTAACTAATACGGTACAGAAACCGGACTTTCTCCCTCCAAAGCTTTATTTGAGGAGATGGTTGTCACGCCGCAGGAGACGCTTATCAAGGGCGTCGCGCAGCTAGTCGGAGACCCCAAGATCACCGGGGCCGTAGCCGAGATCCACGGCGACAGCGTGACGCTGCGCCCGCCTCCCGAGTACGTGGATGAGGCTACACACGCCAACATGCAGACTTTCTGGAAACACGGCGTTGCTTAAAAGCGATGGTTTGATGCATTTGCTAGGTCTTATCGGTTTAAAAAAAGGAATCAAGGCGTAAAGTAAATTACCTAAGGTTGGGATATGACCGTCATGTGCTAGTAAGGCATAGAAAGGGGCATAGAAAGGGGATTTGGGGCTTGGTTCTCAGGGCTATCGAGGCCTTTTTAATGGACGCTATTTAGAGAGGGTTTTCCGAGACAAGCCGTGTCTTCAACTGGTACTCTTCTAGGTTAAACGATTTATACAATGGTCTCTCGTGTCTATTTTAGCTTAAATGGCTACCTCCAAGCTACCTGTGTATAAGCATTTCAAATTTCTCTGTTTATTTGAATGCAATGCAATAACAGCCATGTACCTCTTCTCAAGTAGATCCAATCCGATCGGAGGAGAATAACAGCAAGTAAAAACTACCTACTCTTACCAGCCTAATATATCTTTAAGCGTTTGTTCCAACAGGTAGATATATATCGGTTAGTCAGAGAAATTAGGTATCGGATTTCTTTTCTATCACGGTTCAAAGTCGCTCTCGACTTGCGAATCAAAGCTAGTATCCTAGCGGTTTTATCGGATGCTCGATCATATGCTGAGAGGTACTTTAACTTGCCGTCAACAAATAACAGTATATATTAGACACTACCCACCGAGGGCTAGGAAATTTCATGATAAGCACAAAAACAAGAGGATAGCGTCGAAAAATTTCCATCGTAGATTCATCTAGTTACATGACACAAACGCTTAAAGACATCAAGGCTAAGGTTTGCTTGCGCCAGAAGTGAATCAAGCTCATTCGACCCCAGCCACGGCCCAGCAACTGACTATAAAGAAATAAAAGTCTCGGCAATGATTCAGATCAAATAGCTATCCTAAGTTGTAAGAAGGAACTAAGGTATCCTTTCACGCGCAGACTTAGGAAAAAAAATCCAGGGGTGGCTGGAAAGTCCTCGTCATTGTAGTAACCAATGTCAATCTAAGGACCTACAAAGCGTCTGTTTCTAGAGCGGTTGTCACGTCGACAATTATATCTAGCAACCAACTCAACGTGACTACCTAACCTAAGGTACGTAGGTAGAAACCACCGTTATTCATGAGTATTACCTCTATCCCGCACTCGAGATTCGACTAGATCGCCAATTCCGCGAATCCTCCTTTGACCCACTGCTGAGTAGACACTTACCTGACTTTACCCTTCTGAAGCCTAATGAGGTAAGGGGGAATTACGACTCAACCTACGCGATTCCGGCCGTGCCTCGTCGCACCATTACCTACCTACCTAGGTAATTAAATATAAGCCTTCATCAACACGTCCACTTCTTCTTTCTTGTAAAGCAATTCGCCAACCTTTCCCTGCCTTGCTTCGGCTACTCTAAGATTACCTAGCACTCACCTGTATAGCATCCTGTTTGCTGGGCTCCAGCACAATTCCAACACCCAAGCATTCGAAAAAAAGAAAAACAAAAGGGCAGATTGCGCAAGGACATACAATTCCGCGACGTTACGAGGGGGGTCATTAGAAGCAACTGGTACTAGTGCCAGAGTGGAGATAATAGGAGATTGTTGCGTGCCCGACTCGCCCGATGCCGAGATACTATTGTTATGATATCGACTGGTTCGAGGACGGCGTACAGCTTGTAGAGTGCGGCAGCGACGAAGGCGAGCCTCTGGAAGCCATGGACGATAGGGCCGTTGGGGATGTTCCCAGCTGGTCTGCTCTCGACCCCTCCGAGGTATACGACCGGGAATCCCGGCGATTTCTTTCGCAGCCGCAGCGTGACAATGCCACGTCTGGCCAAAGTACTCCTCGGGGCAGCGGGGACATTCTTCCTGATATTATGATCGATGGCTCGGTAAATAATGCGTGGCATCCCCACTTCCTAGAGGCCGGGTATGGCGAATCCGTCCAAGCACCGTACGGTCCCGAGAGCTACTGGGACAGGTTGTCTGGGCGAGACCAACTGGTCTCGACAGCCACGTACTCGTGGTGGTGGTTCGCGACCCTGATTGACAGGGTAGAAAGCGGAGAGTACTACTCTCCCTTCTACTACGCCGACGACGGGTACGATTCGTACGACTCGTACGACTGGCGATACGATCTGGATTGGAGAGACGGCGATAATTTTAACGACGACGACGGGTATCTAGAACAGGATCTGTTTGCCCCGGATAACGTGATCGATGAGAAGCTCCCGAACCTGGCGAACTTTCCTCCAACCCGTGATTATTTCATCTATCCTCGCCACCCCACCGAGCAATGGTGGCCGCTCTCGTAAGATTCTGTGTCGGTATACCCGTTGGACAAGTCGTACTTAGAGGAAGGATGGATGTTTCTTGAAGTCGAAAAGCGGACAACATCGACCAACGACGCGTATCAGAGGGAGGAACGGCATAATCGCGTCGTGAACGGACCATTCGTGGGTAAAAATAGGCGTCAGTAAGAAACAATTTGCAGTATATCGATCATATCGAGTGGGTGTTTGGGTTTGCATATAATCGGGATAGAGGATAGATGGCGGATAGATAGGTAGGTGTCGCGAGCTCTATTCCAGAGGTATTTCGGTGTACACCCTAATATGATTATAACACTAACACATATTAACTTTCCCCCCCGCCCTCTGTGTGATGTGACTTAGTTAGATGCGACGCTTCTCTCAGATTTGAACGTAAATGGTGAGATGTTAACTCTTTTGACCTCAAAAAGCTGCATGCGTCAATATCGAACGGGGTGATACGGTTAAGACGAATATTGCTCTTATGCATGTAAGATTGACCCTGTGTTCCGCGGAAGCAGGAGAATACGAAACGGTCGCAATTAAACGTAAAGTAAGCACGGTCCCCGGGACCCTTCAAAGCAGCAAGCTGGGTAGGTATTGTCAATGCGGTGTGTACGATGTGGAGGACTATGGTTGGCGTCATCCTCGCATCGCCCATACTCATTATCCGTTTTCCTATTGATGTGTTGTACGCACGCACATTAACGGGCTGACAAGTTCGTACCTCCATTGCCGGATAATAAGGTAAAAATAAGGCATAGCGGTGTAGGACGAAGCAACGAGGAACGAATGAGGAACGCGGGGAAGGACTCAAAGTCCGGGGTTTCGTCTGGGGGAGAAAGTCTGGGGTAGCATTGGTCTGGATTGAAGAGGAAGGCTGTCATGTGATGAATGAGGGGAAAAAGGGAGCAAGAAAGCAACAGGCCACAAGAGCCTGAGGGTGCGTCGACCAGAACCAAAGTTCTCTTTATGCTTCTTATTTTGACTTCATCCCAGTGTCACACTTTATCGTCTGTTCCCTCTGCTGCCTCCTATCCCGTATTTTCGTCTTCTAAAAAGCCGAATTGTTGAAGAAGACACGTTCGGTAAAGCCGAGTCTTGAACACTTAAGAATCGACAACTTATTCGCTTGTACCTGTGATTTATAAGCCCCAGAATACCTTCTCCAAGAATCCAACCCCCCTTGCATGATAGTTTGTTAAGACGCGGTATTTTGCTTCTGGCTTGTTGCTTGTCTGTCGCACCCGGGAACGAATACCCAATCCATATAAAGAGAGCAATCAACTCTAGACCACACCCAACTCGAACATATCGTGGGTTTTTCCAAATAACGATACCCTAGTCGAAAGGTATCCTTGTCATCATCCAGCACCGTTGAGAATCGACCAAGACCAAAAGTTATTTCCAACTCGAATTCTCCGGACAATGATAAGGTCCGAAGTAGAACCCAAACCTCGAGGCCGGGGTGTCAGTGGTGGCAGCTATAATGCGGGGATGCTCAGCAAATATAACGGTTCGGGCACCGGCATGGTTTAGGAACCCCAAAATTCACACTTCCAACATTTGCCATATTTGCCAAGGCCATGTATAAAACAGGCCCACGCCCACCGTGCCACGGCTGCTAATCTTATGTCTTGGAATCCAAGTCGGGAGTTGCGGTACTTGGAGCAAAACTCGCGGTCCAATAGGCATTTTGACCAATATGGCTTATACCAAAGCCCATATTAATATATCCATCGTTAGGGGAAACATCGAGGAGCGATAATTGGGACGAGATCACTTCGCAATAAGCGGCAAACCCGTTTCAAGGCCGTTGGGAGTTGATCCAATATCCCGTCGTCAACGTCCTCTTCATCACAGCGGCGGCTCAGGATCGGAACCATTTGTTAACCGACCTTCAGATTCCGTTGAGTAACTCAGATACTCGGTACCAACTGCCGGTAATCTTTACGGACCATGTACAGGTCGTCTGTATTGAAGGATAGCTTGAAATCTCGAAAGCAGACCCTTATGTCGATTCATTGCAGGCCATTGGCCAGTCGTGTCCGGTTGATTATCCGGCCTTGCTCGCCTACTTCCTCGAAGTTGTCATGGAGGCGCAGTGACGTGATTCTCGTCTTCGGGGTTTCCTTGGGATGGCGCCTGACTGGTCCCGCCAACTACGCATCTTCACGTTGCACCGTGGTTGCGCGATATAGTACTGCGGGCCCTGTTCTTAACATCCACCACGCAAGAGAGTCATGAGTCGCATTGTGCTATTCGTGGTTCTCGTAGCGACGGTTTGGGGGATAGCAGGGATATCAGGCCAGCCATCTCTTCTTATCAATATATTCAGACGCTTTTCAGACGCTTTTCAGGGCCGTAAGGATACCCTCAAAATGCGTCTAAATCGTCAACAGCCAACATCGATCGATCTATGGTGTCAAGAAAGGAGAACAGCATCTCCATCGGGGAATCAACTAATACATATATTCCTCTAACTAGTCGTTATCAGGACTTCCCTCCCCTCCCGGGCCTCCCCCCCCTGTTAGCACCGTCCGGACCGGTCCACAACCAAGAACGAAGGAAACTTTGATGTCGAGAGAAAAGTCTAAACTTAACCCTAACGAACCTTAGCCGCACACATCAAGCTTCTCTATCGAGCCATCAATCTGACCTCATTCCTTCGATACCTGCCCGAAGCAGCTAGTTCGAGGCAGCTAAATTATCTTTCTGTCTGTTTTTTTCTCTTTCTAACTCCGCAACGTTCAATACTTACCCTACCCTACCCTACCAGACTACCTATGTACATACTCTCTCTCGTCTCGTCATCCCCCTCCCCCTTCCCTCCCCCCAGACCAGACCAGACAAGGAAAAGCCAAGTCCGTCTCCGCTCCCTCTTCGCGCCCCAGGTAGAGAATCCACACGGCGCCCAATTGCTCCTCCTGATTGGTGGCATTCGGGAGCGGACGTGGAGACGTTAGTGGGGGTTTCTTTTTTGCTACGGATGCGAGGACAGCGAGCAGATGGCAGACGAAATGGCCTAAGTGGGCCTCGAGTTTTACGGCTCAACGGGAATTGCGTTTTGCACAAACCGCACAAAGCTGTGCTACTGTGCTCTCTCTTGGGCTAATTATTACCTTGCCTAGTCCCTAGTCGAGAGAGAATACCTACGTACAGTACAATACAGACGGCAAAAAGTTCGTTGCTCGTGGAATGATACCTTACCCTCGGGCCGCCCAGGGAAGGCAAGGAGGCAGGGAGGGAATCAAGCGAATTCGGTGGACCAAGATCTTTAAGCGGGAAAACCGCGCAAATCGCAAATCGCGGGGATGGCCCAAGTGACCAGGAGCTGGCTGGCCTCTGCTAACGGGTCCCCCCTCCCCTTCTTACAGGCCATACCACGATAGAGGCAAGATATCAAAAATACTTGATGAGTGGAATTTCTTCAGATTAGTCCATTTTGGACAGTTTTTTACGGATTCATTTTCTCTCGTCCCTTTCTTTTTTTTCTTTTTTTCTCGTCACCAGACATGAAAGAAAAGACAAAAAAGGGGAAGTCTTAGCGGTGGTAGTAGTAGTAGTGTTGGTGAAGATGGTGGTTGTATTTTTACAGACGCCAACCAAGAGGGTGGCCTTGAGTTTTCTCCCATCTTTACATGCCTTGAATGCAATGCAAACCCTCCCCCTAAGGTTTTTATCCCCTTTCCACGGGAGTCTATGGACCTCTAAATTACTCTAATGCTGGTTCGCCTATTGAACACGGTGAAGGCACGAAAACCTATCGCGGTGTACCCCTCACTCCGAATTTGCTCATTCACACGTTCCAGACCGTAGTGTGAACCCCAGCCTCCGTAAGTATGGAGGTTAAGTTGCTTAAGTCTATTTCCGATATGTTAGTATTCTGTCCCGATATACAAAAAAAAAAAAAAAAAAGTTCGGTTGCGGGATTTTCGGATGTTACGTACGAACTTGGCCATGAGGGCAACCATCAGGTCGAAAAGACCGATGGCTTCGACGAAAGCGAAACCCAGAATGGCGTAAGAGAAGAGCTGGCCACGGAGGGCGGGGTTACGGGCAACACCGTTGAGGAGAGCAGCGAAGACGAGACCGATACCGATACCAGCACCAGTCAGACCGATAGCAGCGGAACCCATACCCAAGTTCTTGGAGACCTCGACCATGGCCTGGGCGATCTCAGAGGAGTATGCTCGGCGGGGAGTCTGCTGGAAAGCCTGGCGGGTAGTGGCGCTCAGGATCTTGGAGGCTTGCTGGCGCTTGACAGCCTGGAAGGGAGTAGCATTGCCTGGGAGGTTGAGCACATGTCAGCAAGCGCACAAACAAACATTGAAAAAAGAAAAAAATTTTCACAGTTGCAATTGAAGTATCAATTGATGTCATCGACATGAATTTTTTTTATTTCTTTTTTTTATTTGTATACCTCATCAAGTATTAAAAGGTAAACAAGAAAAATCAAAACATACTGATGGTTCGCTTAGCAGCAACGCTGGTCAATTGAGTTCGCATGGCAGGTCGAGCGACCTTGGTGCCCATGGAGGAAGCGAGCCTAGAGGCGACAACGCGAGCGGAGGCCATTGTGATAGACGTGGATATGAGATGGAGGGGAGAGAGGTATTGGTTGGAAAAGACCAAAGATGACTGATGAAAGAGAAGATGGGATGGGAGGGGAGGAGCTGGTCCAAATCGTCGAAGGGAGAGAAAAAAAAAATTGAGCTTGCTGACTGGTGTGTGAGTGGGAAAGGAAGAAAAGGAAGTAAGAGCTTCGGAAAGAAACTAGAGGAACAGAATCGTCCGGGTCGGTGGTTGCTTGGTTACTTGGTTGCTAAGTTAGTTAGCAGCTGGGTACCTTCAGGCCCTAGGGGGGTAAGTACCTAAGGGGACACAGTGCAATAGTTGATATGAGCGTAAGGTCGTCGGCCCTTGGGAAGTTTCCTGAGAGACCAGAAGTACCTCAAGCTGCTTCAGGTAGGTTTAGGTACTAGGTAATGCTAAGGGAAAGACTACGACTCGAAAATTCATAGGACGAGTGGGTTGAGAAAGTGGGACGCCTTTGACCTAAGGTACTGATCTAAACTTGATCGCAATTTTTTTTTCTACTGTGTAGTAGAGGACTACCCGATCAGGACAAGGCTGTCGATAATTTTTTTGACGGTTGGGTAAAGCGAAGGGCTACCTTTCGGGGAATACCGGGTCATCCTATACCGGCATCCCGGGCGCATTTATCAAAAAGTTTTGAGGTTTTTTTTTCGTCTTGACGATCACCGCTTCGCTAATTTTCCCAATTAAGGACTTCCTTATATTATGTCTTTTAGATGTTATTCTCAAGTTTGAATAAATATATTATGTATATAAGCTTGTATTAATAGGTTAAGAGTATATTTCTGTTTAACAAACTATAATAATATGAAGTCTTGTGAAGTCTTATATTATGACCAAGAAGAGGAAACAAAAAAGAATAAAAGAAAAAAAGTGAGATTGTACCTGTAAGCGACCCCCACCCTCTATAAAGCTCCACTGCATGTCATCAGCGTTAACAACCTTGAGACTTTGATAAACACGTGGGTGGATCATCAAGAGAATAAAGCAAACAGGAAGGAGTCGGGACAGAAAGGATAAAAGGCACGAAGCACCCTCGGATTCCGGGAGGAAGGAGCTTTTTTTCAAAACGGCCTGATTGCACTCTTGGACTCCGGCACCTGCCCGAAGAATTCCCCAAGGAAAGGGTTAATTGTTTTCTTTTTTCCCTCGGTCCTTCTAAGCTGCTAGTGCAGTACCAACTTTTATAGTGCTTGAGCTCACCTAAGCCAACCGGGATTAGCTCTCAACAACTGCTAAAACTGCTAAAGCTGCTCAAGCTGTGACACCTGAAGCTTTTCCTCGCCACTGTAGCTGTCACTGCAGCTCAACCCTTCGATCTAACTTTTTAATTTTCGGCTGAGTGGCCAATGAGAGACGCTTATTTAGACAAACCAGGATTGACATCGATCACTGCTTCACTCACTACAGGTACCTAACTATGTAGGTACCTAATGTATGCGAAGGTGTGCCCTCCAGGGCCGGTTTTACAGCATAGCATCAATGCCTGCAGCCATGCAAATTTCCGTTGGGAATTTCCCGGCAAGAGACTTTTCTATTGGGAGTATTATGGGAGAGGGAATGGGAAAATGTAAGGCTGTGGGTCGCACAATGTGAAAAAGTTTTTTCGAGCCACTCAGATTCCCGGGATGTCGGTTCTGCCGGTAAACTGCAGGTTGCGGTTTTTGTAAGCCTCATTGCCTCAGGTTGTTATTCTTTTATTTTTTATTTTTTTTTCGTGTCCGCCAAGCGAAATCAAGCTTGTCTTTTACGCCATAAAAATCAACTAGTTATGCCTATTAATAGTCCTACTTTCACTCTATTAGAAAGGGGTAGATTTCACCAATTGGCAAGTATATACACATATATGTATATCATAACGGATGTTCTTTATCTGAAACATTGTTTCTCGAACCGATGGCGCAAATTCTTTTTCATCCCATGTGACCCATTTCATTTTTCAATGCGCTGGTCATGGTGCAGCAAGTTTCCAGCATATCCTTCGGTCTGAAGTACCGAAATGCATGTACGGTTTAAGTACCTACGTACTTCTTTCATCCAATTCAGCGGTAAAGAAATTCACGTGACTTGTCGATTCGGACTTAATACGATCTTCGCTTTGGGGTAGCTCTTATACGTGTCACTGCTATTGATTTCACAGGGTTACCCAACCTATCAGATCTCTCAACCTTAAAAAAGGATCTTATCTTATTAACCTAGAGATCATCGGTTAGCTTCTTTTCCAATTCAATTGGAGATTGCTTCAATTGAAATATCAACAGGATCGCTACAAATGATGAGATATAATGTAATAGAACAATATATAGTTATCTTGAATCTCGATGAGATCTCGATTGATTTCTTTTGTAAACCCCGTTATACACCACACTTACACTACTATGTGCCCGTACCTTACCGTATCTCAAAAATTTACCCTGTTAACCTGCTAACCTAGCCCAGCTGGGCTCCTCCCACCACAACTCCAGCCAGCCAGCTACGTGTACACGATACCCCCCCGGAGAGCTTGGACCTTTTTTTTTAACCCCTTACTATGTAGTTCCCTCAGTCCCTTGTTACATACACCCGGCGTGTTACACGTGTAGCTGCGTATCTGGTGCCTTATGTTGCCTTGTCTCCAGTCGTTCATCACCGTCTATTGCTTCTCGAAATATACAAGTCAATGAGATCTTGCTTTTTTGGTTCTAGTTTTTTGTTTTGTTCTCTTCTTCGAAGTTTCCATGTCCCCAACCGCTTACCATTCTTCCAATACGTTGTCAGCATTATACCCCCCCAAGAAGTGTGACTTAAGGTAAGGTATGCAGCCGCCGCTTCAGGTTAGGGACCTCCCCTCTTCGGCCTCCTTCTACGCCGCTATCGTCCAACCCCTCAAACTCCGCTATATCTCCGCCAATTCCTCCTCCATAGTCTTCGGTGACAGTACCTCCGGTACACCCGTCTTAGAAGTTAAGAAACTTGCCCCAGGCCAACACTTAAGACCATCCCGTGCAGTCCTTTCCGCCCAGTCGCCTTCTGTCGTATCTGCTTTTCGAACCGCTGCCTTGCGAGCGGAGCCCGATATACAAATCGACACCTACGACGACGGCCGCGTGGAGGTCACCGACTTGGACGGTAACATAATAGAGGTCGTCTGTTCCGCCGGATACCGCTCTAGCTTCACACGTGCGAATTCCAGCGCATCTATGCCTTCACGATCAGAGCCTCGAGCCATGGTGAAGCGGAGCGCCACTACTACCGGCGTAGAGCCCCCGCCCCCGCCCCGCGAGACTTCCGGGCCTTTCGGCGCTGGCTCTAGCATGGGCACGGTCCTCGGTGCCGCCGCGGTCGGCGTAGCCGTGGGCAGCGCTTTGACCTACGCCTTCATGAGCAACGGCCGGCAGCGCAACGCCCAGCGCCAAGAATACGACGCCGCGACGCATCGGCGCGCATCCTACTCTGACCCCCACGCAAACGCTCAGCCCAGGTACGCCGAGGACAAGAAGTACCCGCCGCTCAGCTACGGGGCGCGGTACGCCCAGATCGAGGCGCCCCCCGCGCGGAGCAGGGCGGCGGACGACCTCGACGACCGCGCGAGCCGCCACTCGAGCCACTACACGACGGCCAGCCGGTCCCGGCGGCTGAGCGAGGCCTCGACGAGGCGCCCGCCGACGGCTGCGGACGTGGAATACATCAGCAACGTCGGCTCCAAGTACGAGCAGAAGCTCCTGATGGACCGGGAATACCGCAGCCAAGTAGGCGAGGACGACCGGCGCAGCTACGCGCCGTCCAAGTACTCGGCGGCGCCGTCGAAGCACACCGCCACTCCCTCCCGCTACGCCGGGGAGTCCGAGTACCGCGCGCGCAGCAGCTCGAAGCACCGGGCGCCGCGGCAGGTGGAAACCGAGACGTACGTGTCGACGCGCAGCAAGCGGGCACCACCACCTGCTGCTGCTAGCGCGGCACGCCCGCCCTCGAGGTCGCACAGCCGCATTTCCGCGCGGGACCTCGAGCTTCCGGCGAGCCGGGTCGGCTGGGATGGCGAGAACGGCGACGACGACGACGACGACGTGGAGAGCATCGCGCCGGAGGACAGCATCAGCTGCGTCGGGGACGAGGGGTACAAGCGCACGCGCAGGCACATGCCGCCGGGGACGCCGTCGATGGTCGGCCGCTTTCGAAGGGTGGTCAACGAGTTCGACGGCAAACGCAGGCCGTTGTACGGGTCCGAGGTTAATTAGGTAGAGAGAGGAAACCCGCATGTTTCTGTGTGTGTGTGTCGCTCTCTCTCTGTCTCGTATGGCAGGGATAGCCTTGCCACGTGAATAAAGAAAAGAGAAAAAAAGCAGGATTCTTCCCATCCATCATAGTACTACCTACCCCTATCTATCTCCCTATCTCCCTCCTCCCAAACTCCCCATATCATGCATCACGCGCTCCATACAACAAAAATGAAAAACGATACGATACGATACGATATGACCACTGGGCAATGATAACGAGATGAAAAAAAAGTATGATGCCTCGAGGGAAATAACATTTGGCATACGTACGGTACATGGGCTTGGGCTTTTTTTTGTTGAGGAATTCTTCAGCTGGCACATGTAGGACAGCATACATTACCTTGGTACTACAGCATATGTCTCCGGCACACTACATTGGGCAGGCCTTTTTTTATTTTTATTCTTCTTCCCTTTATTTCCTTTTCCCTGTTACGACAAACGAAAAAAATGAGCAAGGCGAGCGATATGAATGTGAATGGGGGCGGTCCTTTACAAAAATGATGAATGAATGGGTTGCATGAATCAGTCATGTATGTATGTCTTGCTTTTTTGCTTTGGGTTTGGGTTTAGATCTCATCTTCTGCGCATCTTTCGCTTCTTAGGCATATGTTGGCAAATCATAAAAACATCTTTTTTTTCTTCCCTTCTCAATATAAAGAAAACAGGGTTCCAAATCAGCATTCCCGTTGTAGCTCATGATGTGACAATTCCGCCCGGGCGAGACCGAGCCCATCTCGGCTTAGACATCCTCAGGATAGGGGACTTAGTTGTAGCCACGCGTTCATAATCTACACGCTCGTAGGAGACGGAACAGCTTCAGGGGGCAATAAGTACCTAACATAATAAAATATCTCGATGTGCCACGAGCAAAGTCCAAGTTTATAGCGTGAATATCAAAGCGAGTAGTGCAGGTTTCCAGTAAGTCACATTAGAGAATGGGAAGGAGAGTAACGCAATCGATAGGGAGCGAAATGTCAAGCATCAAGAGCAATAAAAATATATCTATCACTGAAAAGTACCTTCGCCTAGGATGGGATTTGGGTACGATTTGATTACCGCTCCGTGTAAAAAAGTCACCCTTGCTACCTCAACAAATATTCTCTAACAGCCATACTCCATAGAGATCAACTGCAGCATCAACACGCATAAACGTTAGGAAGCCGCCTGCTTAGGTCAGGCAATATTCAATATTTAATATCCAGCTATGTACATATTATGCGTCCAGAACCTTAACGGAACGCAGGGGGTATCTCGTTTATCTTCCATCTCTTCCTCCTTTATTCCTCTTTTATTCTCTCTCTCTCTCTCGCGCGCGCGCATATCAATCTCTCTTACCCTCCTACCCTTCATCCGCCTCCTCATCCCCTCCCTCTTTAACCGCGTACCCTTCTACAAACCCGTCCGGGTCGCACGTCTTCGTAAGATCGATCTTGTTCGCGCTGATCCAGCGCCTAACAGCTTCTCTGTCGAGCCTGACGCGCGGAGCCGCCTTCGACAACGACTCCTCCGCTTCGGCATCTCCGTCGCTGATACTACCGCCGCGCCGCTCGGTCGATCCATTAGTAATAGCCGCCCCGGTAGAACCAGACCCAGGGCTTGCGTCTTCAACGACGTCCATCTCCCGGAGAACGGCTAGGCAGTCCTCGGGCACGATCCACGTGGCCTTGGAAACATCCTCGACAGTAATCACCACCTCAGTCTCCTTCTCCTTCTCCTCCTTCTCTTTCTCCTTGTCCTTACTAGCTTCTTCTCCTCGGCCCTCGTTCGGAATCTTCAGTTCCAGAAGCCACCGCGCGATCTCGCCCGCCCAGAATCGTTTGTACCCCTTTCTGCCAAGCTCGGAGATAGGTTTCTCGGGACCGCCCAGGATACCCTCGCGTCGGGAGATCTCGTATGATACGCCCATAAGCAAGGCGCCTAGGCCTTTGCGCTGCCACGGTGGGAAAACCAGTATGCATGCGAGGTTATTATTATCCCATGATAGCTTCTCCTTTGAGAAGAATCCCACCACTTGCGGTCTCGTCTGCGACGTTGGGGTATGTTGGGAAGCAGCAGAAATTGCTGTTATTACAGACGACTGTGAATTCGGAATGACGATAGTAGGCTCCGGGGGTGACTGCGAGTCGGGAGTCGGTGGTGGAGGCGTGTAGACGAGAAGAAAGTAGTTAAATCCGGTCACATCGAAGAATACCGATTTGTTATCCAGGAATAGCTTCGCGAACAAGGATAGATTTTGACAGAACAACTATTGAATAGACCCAGTCAGTGGTATGTCGTAGCAAAACCGGAGTTTCTGAGGATTGGTGGCGTACCCTATCTTTCTCCCCGTCAACCTCCCACACACTCCACTCTCCATTGTCGCTAACCATCTCTTCCACTGTCGACGCACCCGCAGCCGCACCCCCGTCGCTCCTTTTCCTTCCTTTACCCTTTCCAGCCGTCTCGGTAGCTATAGTCGTGAAGCTACTTGAGAACGCTGAGGGAATGTTTACCGTCCTCGTCCTCGTCCCCAAACCTTTGGGATGCGTATACACCTTCTGGCCGGGCATTTCAAACGACTTCTCGCAGCATCTGACATGCTCCCACCACGCGACTAATTCCCTGCTATACTTGAAGCAGCACGGACAGACGTATAAGCGTTCGAGCATGGGCGGTGGTTGTCTCTTGCCACCACCTATCCTACCACCTATCTTCCCGCCGCCGTCTCTGCCGTCTTTCCCGCCCGCACTGGTATGGTTTGATATATCGCCTAGTACTTCCTTTCCGTAGTAAGAAGGATACCAGGCCTTAAAGCAGATATTGCCCAACACGACCTTATCGATGTTGCGGTCGGAGCGCGGTGTAGGGGGCGGTTTGAGCGGCTTATCGGAGGTAGTAGGACGCTTTGGTGTCGATATAACGGATGGTTTTATTTGTGGATTTGACTGATTTAAGACCTGCTGATGCTGATGCTGATGCTGTAACGGCGACTTGGGAGGTATAAGTCTTGTTTGTGGAGGGGGCGAGCCTATGGGCGGTCGTTTCGTTATCACTTTCCTTTTTTGTTGCGACGAATTCTCCGGAGAATGGGCCAGCTCATCGATGCTGTCATCTTCTTGCTCTTCCTCTTCATAATTACTATTATTTGGTCGTGAATTCTCTTTTGATACAGTATCCGACGCGACATGTCCAGCTGTCGCGCGGTTCTGTTTGCTGGGTGGTCTACCTACCCTCTTCTTAACCTCCCCGTTATATTCCGATATTCTATCTGCGCGCGACAACATGTAAGGCTTCCGAATCGAACCAGCGCGTACGCGACCGCTCCTCAATAGATGTTCGTCATTATTGGGCGAAGGATGTTGTCGAGTCGCGCGACGCGGTAATTCGAGTTCGGCATCGTGCTGCCTCTTGCGCTTCTGAGGCGCCATTTTCAACCAACGATTTCGTTGAAACGAGTTATTTATATAGATTTTACCTCAGCCCATAATTTGTGACACAAGAACGATTTTCAATAAAAAGTCAAAAAAGATGCATGGTTTGATTAGGAAAAGAGTTGAGAGTCGAGATACTGGTAAAAGGAATGATTACGTAACTAATTGGATTTAAGCTTTCCCCCCATACGACATAATGTAGAACAATACATCAGGTGCCTAGTCTAATAATACCTAATGCTGGTATGGTACCTAGAGTACCCCACGTGATACCCTTTACCGTGACCACACGGAGAGCATCAACCAAATTACCTATACTCTACCATATCATGACATTACAATGTACCTTTGTACTTGTTATATATTTGAAAAGACGAGGGCGGTCCCAACGAACGCTTAGATTTGCTGTTTAAGGTGTCCTTCTCACTTGCCATGGAACAACCTATTATTTCATACACATCTTTCCCGGCTGGACAAGATAAAAACTAAAAAAAGGCTCTCCTCTCTGTCGATGTCTATTACAATAATAAGCCGAATGACTTTGTTTACATTTAGCCACCCCAATATGGTGGCCTCTTCGTTTGTCTCGGTCACTAAACTACAACTTTCACCGATGCAGATAAGCTGGCTCCTCCGTTCTTGCATGCCAAACCATTATAGGCCGTTGATGGAGGAGAAAGTAGCGCCCGGAGTTCTTCCCATTTCAGAATACACGCGGGTTAAATTATGTTACATACCCTCAAAGTCTCCACCGAGGTCGTCTTCATCCAAGTCACCTTCTTGTATCTCCTTCGCCATTTCACGTTCCCGTTCACGGGCCTCCTGGGCATTCTTAAGCTCGAGCCTGTGCTGGTTCATAGGGAAACGCATAGCCTTTCGTAAAAAGTTAGCTTGGTTACATTCAAAGTAGTCGAAATTAGGATTAAAAGAGGGGAAAAAAAACACGTACCTTTACGCTCTCATCGTGGAGCGCAAGACAGGCTCTAATACGGTCATGGAACGCCTCACCCGGCTCCCTTGTAGCGTAAACATCACCGACCTCCTTGCTCTTCATGAAACCTCGTTCGCGGTCCAGGGTCGCCTCGATGACGCCATCTCGGATTGCCTTAGCAACAATATACTCGGCACTCTCCTCGCTACCAAGATGCAGGCGGATGCATATGTCGCGCAGCGAGATACGACTGTAACTCAAACTCATCATACGGATACCCGTCTTGATAACGTTCTGACGAAGACGTAGAATGAGCGAGTACGTTCCGTCGCGGCGGAATGTGTCGGCATGGTCAGCTATCACCACTTCGAAATCCTCCAAGTTACCCACCCGCACGGCTTGGACGAGCAAGAAGTACGGGCGAAGAGCTTGCTCCATACTGGGGACGCGGAAGGTAGCGCGCTCAGGAATGTCACCCATCAGCAGCTCTACAACCAGTAAGAGTTTTGTCGCAGTTTGCGCGAAACCCAAAGCGCACGAGCTCGCTGGCGCTTTTCGTGTGGCTGCTGTTAGATGCTCGTGGGCTTCCGTGTAGCGCAACTGAATAGCTCGGATTCGACCGAGGTAATAAAGAAAACGTGCAACCTGGTTGTTGGCGGCATTTTCGGGGAACTGGGTATGCGATACGAGAAGATCGGCTTGAGAGATGTGGGATGTTAGTAGGTAGCTTCGGAGAAGGAGAACAATAACCGAGGCCTGGATGTCGATGTCCTTTCTCAAGACAGCGGTCCGAAGAGCCGTCAAGAGAGTCGGGCGGATCGCAACGAGGGGAGACTGAGGAGATGGCGGCAATGGAGCAAGCTGCTCGCAGAATAAAGAGTAATAGAAGTAGACCTTTGCAGAAAGCGAATCTAGGGTTCGTCGATTTAGGGAGTGGATGCGCTCTGATAGGTACTTGGAAAATTCCGCGCCTTGCTGGAACTGCTTGGAGTCAAATAGATAGACTTGAACCAAGATGCTCAGAAAGATGTCGATCTCGGGGATGACCTCCTTATTTTCCTTCTTATTTCCGTTCTTAGCGGGAGCCTTTGGCTCGCTATCAATCTCCATCTCAGCACTAGCCTGGCGACCTAGAGGCACATCTTCTTTTCCAATAGCGACTAGAAGTTGCTTAGCCACGCTAGCAGATGTGCTTGAGACCGAGAAGGTCTCGGCGATGACTTGAGCTAGAATATCCGGGGTAAGACGCTTCCGCAGGGAAGAGAGGGATCTTAAAGCTCGCAACGTGAATCTAGCATCGAATAAGGCAACTGCGCGGTCGAGAAGGGCAAAATTACTCTTAATATCTATGACAATAGAAAACATGTTAGATACGTATACACACAAGGTTGTTTGGGTGATGGTATTGGGTGTACCTGTGATGGCCTGGGTAACAGGGTCAACCTTAACCTCGAGATCCTCCGGCTTGTCCACGTCCATATCGACGTCACCGTCGGCATCGGGCGCAGGCGGTTGAGACGATTGCTTTGTGGTCTTTGAAGGGGGAACAACGACCGTCATATCTTCGCCCTCCTTAGCACCCTTCTTGCCCTTTCCTTTAAGTGAGGACTTCTCGTCGGTCATATCGACGTCCTGGTTGTTCCTAATACCGTTCTCGACCGGCTCGTTACCGTTTGAATGAGGCGTTTTCCCTGGCATATCGGTTGAGGAGAAATAGACTTAGACTGAGGGGGGAAGGCGGTTGGGACCTTTGATAGACGAATAGGTCGATGTTGAGTGACGTGCTGACCTGGAACCCTGGGAATGGTGGGCCGACGGTGGTGATGGTGATGATGATGGTGATGACGATACTGGATACAGCCGACAGGTGATATCGCGAAGCGCGCTCACGTTGGGGGAGAGACCCTGCAGTAAGAATCTGTATCTGTATTGGTTCAGAGTCGGCCGGCAGCGGGGAAATACAAACCAGGTGTCTTCATAAAACAAAATAGAGAAAAAAGAGAAATGTGCGTGATATGATATGGATACACGCACTAGGAGACGTGGTTTTGGATTGAGGGAGTTGGTTGAAAATTGGGCGATTATGAAAGATGGGATGAGTAGAAGGGAGGAAATTGATGTCGTTTGTTCAGTCACAAGTACCAAAATCAAGACGGGTCAGAGTGATGCAAGCGAAAAGCCCCCGGGAAAGAGTTGTGTTGTCGCCTGACTTAGGTACCTACCTGTAGCTATCTAAGGTACCTAAACTACCTAGAGCTTTACCACCTTTTAGGTCTGTTGGGGTTCTGCTTAGGTCTGCTTAGGTGAATTGGGTGGGTTGCCGGAAGCCCTAGAGCCTACTACCTAATGTAGAAGAAGCTCAAAAAGATGCACTCCAAAAAAAAGGTACGAAAGCTTGGACCCAAGGGTACAAAGATCTTGGCTAAAGGATCACTCAGCAGATAAGGTATTTTCGGTACTGATTTTTTTATGGGGTAACCTGTACACCGGGTATCCACTTTGGTCTTTAATTCAGGGATCCATCCAAGAGTGACGTTTGCGAATTGGTGCCTGTCGAGACACAAAAGGCGTTAAGAATGGAAGTGGCGTGCTGTCCTAATAAATAAAATAATGCATTGTACAATTAGGTCCTGTGCAATAATATCATACCTTACTTCCGATACTCCTTCCACCTTTTTAAACCTTTAAAATATAAAGCCAAATTCAACACACTGAGGATGTAATATAAAAACAATTTGATTGATATATTTTTATTAGTTATAGATACTTATAACTATTCTATCTTATTTTCATTGTTGTTATCAACTGTTAAAGGTACAGGTATTGAAAGACAATGGCCAGCCTTTTTTTCGATGCCGTTCTCCCAGAACTCCGACCGAAATCAAGCCTCAGAGGCTTTGATCTGCGCCGCATTTGTCGCGGATAAGCCAACCTTTTCTAGATCTCACTTTAATAATACTGTAACGGCTGATAAGAAACAAAATATCGATGGGTACTACACTCATTAATTACACTGTAGCAAAACACGGCATCCATATACCGGCCTCCATATAAAATTTATTAGCGACTTCATATGTTCGGACACGTTGTACCATTGCTTACGCGGTCGCCCAATAGGTCGTCGACTTGGACTGCCACATGTCCGTGCTTCACAGGCGCTATCACCTTGGGTATAGTTAAGTATTCCCCTCCCGCGATCTGCCCGTTTTCCACTTGTCCTGAAGAAAACGGTCGATTTCCAAGGCAGGTAGTAAATGATATTTTGTAGTTAGGTGAATAGGAAAAGCAAGCAAGCCATGCATTCTTATCCGTTCGTCTCTTATACGCTTAAACATGATGCCGAAGCAATAAGGAAACCAATGATATGTATGTGTACCTAGGTAGGTATATATCTAGAAGGTAGGGATCTTGCTCGCTTTCCAATACGGAATGAATATTTTCACAGTTTTTTTTATTGTTACATCCTCAGTATCCTCAGATACCTTAGGTACCTACAACAAGACAAGAGTTTATGAGGGAGCAACACCTATGTTGATTCCAGGCTCATATACGCTTAAGAGCAATTCGGCCAATCAACAGCCTCATTATCATGGAGTCGAGAATCCACAAGGAAAACACTAGAGTAAACGAATGTTGAGAGGGTCGATTATGTTACCCAACCAAAGTAGTCTTAATAATATACAGCTCCTTAAGGCTCAGAAGGGCGGCGACGGCCCGCTCGTCCGCACCGCGGCCACATGTCTAAGCGGATGGGCACCGTGCCCTCTCCGGACTCGACGAACGTGCGCTGATTAAAGTCAAACCCGAAGCTGCCGGGCCCGCCGCCGCCTAGGCTCAACTCATACTTAGGTACGCAGTAGGTAGAAATTATACACGAGAAGGATATACAGACTGATACCAAGACCTTGAATCTCAGAGGTGATGCTATCTTGCATAGCCTTCAGCATGTTGTCTTCACACAACGAACGTGTGGTTGACCCCGTTATCGCTGTCAAGACATGTCATTTTCGAGCAAGTGATTGGTTTAGATGCTCCCTATCTAATCGCTAGCCTATTACTAACCGGCGATATCTCGACTCTAGAAGTTGAAATAGAGATCTAATATACTCTTATAACAGCAACTCTTTTGATGCGATTGCTGGACCCCTCAGTGTGATCCTTAGCGTTAAGTATTTTACAGTCATGACCATCTTACTGTCTCCATTGGTGCTTAAGTTGAGACTCATACTTATTATAGACAACCACATTAACAAAAACTGCAAGTCACTCAAGACATATTTATTCACAGGTAACGAATAGGCTGCCTACAGTTAAAATTGCGCACCGGATGCCGCTGCTTTCTCCGGAGTTTGCGTTCCCGAGTTTCGGCCCGGATTTAACCGCAAGACTTACCGGGCCTAGGTTATCCCCGGGATATCGACCAAAACAGACCAGATAAAACCGGAGATATGATCCTTAAGCGGTATGATACTGGCATTGCCATTTTTCTTCAAGCAAAGGGAAATCAATGAATGTCACAGATAGTATTCGAACTTTAGCCCCTGGTATTCCAGTGTTGCTTCAACCTCAGACAAATTCTTGATAATCTTCTTTCAAGCTATACCAAGGCTTGGAGCGGATTCTCAACCTTGTGTAGTTGCACCTTATAACCTCAAGTTGTTCAACTCCTAGAACATTGGTCAATGGTCGACCATATTCACCAGCATATCTGGTATAAACCACTGTTAGGATTAAACCCCGGTGGGATGTCGTCCGACGACCTGACCACGACAATATCTCCCACCAGGGCGGAACTCCGTGCTCCATGCGAGGATCTACGGTAGAGCTTTATGTGAATTCTATATCCGGGTCTCTCCTTACCTCCCTGCGAATAGCGAACGCTAGGCATAATTGGTTCTAAGAAACGAAGCTCTCGCGTTTCGAACCAGCCACTTCACACAGCCAATAACCAAACTAGCTCGGATGATGTATCAGAGGAAGTGTTTCGTAGAGATGAAAAGTATTTTGGCAGTGGGCTTCAAGCAGAAGCTTGACATATAGAGAAAAATTGAAGCAACCATGAAGATCAATGTGATTCTGTTCATCATTTCTGCTAGCAGGTCCTTCAATTGATAGTTAGTGTCAGGGGTATGAGGGTATAGCAGGGGTATACTGGATAGTATGAGGCTCCACTGTCTATATAAAGGGTAGTCTGCTCCCTCATAAGGGGATAGAAGGCTAGACATTACTAGTTCAGTCTAGTATCCTGCATATACCTACGATCCTGGGACTCACTCTGTATATGACATCCACCATAGACATATACTTCTTCCGACAGGAATACATAAGAGCTAAGGGTCTTATAACGTATGTATCTGAGCTACCTATCGTTTCATAGGAGGCAGCAACTTTTCAACTAATCGTAATTCCACTTTTCTTTCCCTTCCATCTTAATCTTGCACACTGATACTACCGGTACCTCTCTACCTCGTAATGTGATTTTCTATAATACAATTGCCCGAAATTTACCATAATAATACCCAACTTGCGTGATCGGTGCGTGCAAGAGAGATACCTCAAATTCTCAGGGGCAGCTACCTAAGGGACGCAGAAATTTGTTTCGACTTTAATCTGACCAGTTAACAGCGCCGCCATAAGCAGAACCCATGTCATAGTCGTCGTACCAGTAATCAGAATCGGACGGCAACACCCTCTCGAAGATTTCATCTCCGATCTTGGTCTGCACCCTCTGGTAGCCGGAAAGGAAGCATCTATGCACGACGTCGCTCGTCTCCGCCGACCCGTTGTCGTCTACGCTGACGGCGGTGTTTTCGGGGATATTGCTGGCGAGATACTGCAAGATCGGCTCTAGCCAAACCCGCCACTTCCGCAAGTCCTCCTCGAAACCGTTGTGGTCGCGGTAGCCCCGAGACTTCCACGGCTGCTGCAGGACGAGGGAGAGGTGCGCCAGATCTGCGAGGAGCGGGCCCCAGATCCTGGGATCGAACTTGACGGGCTCCATGTACCCTAGCTCGTGAGAGTGTGCGACGAGTCTCAGGGAACGGATGCGCCGCATGTTGGCGGTCCCGAACTTGAGGAGCTTGTCATAGCACTCGGCGTGCGTATGTATAGCGAAGGTGTTGCGCTGGTACAGCACATTGAGAGCTTCCCCGCCGACCTGCCTCGACACGCGAAGGATACTCGTCCTCCCCCTCGACCCGTTGGAATCCCCGTCGCAGCACGAATCCGAATGGGTGCTATCGTGCCAGATCGAGTTGATCCAGCGGTCGAGCTTGGGGGACAGCGACTTGACCTCGACGTCGTCGCGGAAGCCCAGCAGTTGGAGGTAGATCTCCTCGCGGATCTCCAGGGGGAGGCTGAGGAAGATGCTCCTTGATTGGCTCGCCATGGTGGGACGAGGCGTCCGATAGTGTCGAATTATAGAACGGTCCGCCGCACGATGGGCAGAATTTCAGGGCAAGGCCCAGGTTGTTGAGATTTCCGTAGAATGCGGGGACGTCTAACATCAGGTTTTTATATTGGCCGGAGTGGGCGCCAGCCTCACGTGCTCGTAGGTGCAGTTGTACGACCTCTTAAACCGGCCATCCCGGGGCTTCATGCACGATGCCGAGTTACGAATGTTAGGGCTAATTTATGGAGGCGTCACGGAAAACGAAATTATGCTTCTTGCTTCCTATAGAAAAAAAAAAAAAGAAAAGAAGATACCCAATTCATTCTCGCTTTGCAGTCTGGCATTGATAGCTCTTCCTGGAGATTCATTACGTATAAGGATCAAGGTCTGGAATACTGGAGGGATAGATTTTCTCATCATAATCTATACCGGCATTGATAATTATAGCTTAAGGAGGTAAATATTGTCCCCCTCGCCCCCAAAAACGCCCCCTGATCGACATCATGTACATTTCGTTAATATTTACGTCATCTGTAGGACAATTCCGGATTGTTGCTTGTTTCAATATCCGTCCACTTGGATCCCCTTTTTATTTTCTTTTTCTTTTTATTTTCTATTCTCCTTTCTTACGTAGCTGGACATATATCCCTATATTATACCATCCACATGAATTCTTATGGGAAAATACTGGTCAAAACGTCTCCGTATTCCGTGTATGACAACCCCATCTTTTCAATATCATAGTCGTTCCAATATCCCCCTCCGGCTACAGAACTTCGCGAATTCCAGCTGGTAAACCTGGACCGTGCCTGTGTAGCTGTTATGCCCTGCGACGGCTTGGAGTCGTTCGTTACCCACACGAGCGGCACGACCTTCAGGCCCAGAGTACTCTGCCAGTTCCCAGGATCATTGCCTGCTCCACCGTCATCTGTCATAAGAATCAGTAAGATTTTCTTTTTCTTCTAGCGAAACTTGGACTCGCTAGGTAGGTAGTCAGATATATCACGGGAGCAGTAATAGTTTAGTCAGTTTGACGATGAAACGTCGGCTTCCGAGACAATCCATAGTGCGGAAAGGGGGGCATAAAAGGAGGGGCGGGGTGGCGGTGTTCAATGTTACATACAGCATTGTAGATACGCCCTATCAAGTAGCAAATTCGGTTCTTGGAGCCCGTTGTTAATCTGCGTCTTCACGTTTCTCCAGAAACCAGTGTTTGTATAGGGCGCAATAGTATATTTATACCCTATTTTGCCAAGCATTTTGGCAAAGGCCGCAGTGCTAGTGACATCGTATATAGACTCGTCGTCGTTGTTAACGGCATCGAGGGCCCAAGCTGTCTTCAGCGCTTCGAAGTTGCGATAGAGCGTCGTCTCGGAGCCGGTTCCCGGGCTGCGCGTTAGTTCCCGGACATGCTGGGCGTTCATGGAGATCTCAAGCCGATTGATGCCGGTATCGCCTGCCTTGAACGAGCGGACCTTGTCAGATAGCGCTGTGCCGCCGACGTAGGCACCGCCAGAAGCGATGAGCGTGTCTTGGCTTCCTGGGGTGTTCGAGTAGTACATGATGTCGCCATTTTCGAGGATTCCGACACCGAAGATGATAAGGGAATTGAAGCCAGAGGTTTTTAAAGCGGTGGTGTTTGACTTGAGTACATCTTTGAATAAGTATATAGCTCTTATGTTGCTCGATGCGGTCGCATTGACAGTAGCATAGACTTGCCCGAAATAGAGCTCAAATAATAAAGCCTTTAATAAGACGTGGAATAGCATCACTACTAAAGTATGCAATAATTTCCCCAGTGGAAATATATTGGATTCACCTAGGAGTAACTGTAGCAAGCTTCCGGATCTGCTTGTTTCACTCACCTGTGCTTTTAGTCGAAGATTGTTTTTTTCTTGTCGGGGCATTGGTGTTAAAATACTCTTGAACTGAACTATGGAAAGGTCGAGACTATGGAAGACCTCGTGCGCAATATATTTCCCCGGTTTATGGTAGTATTAAGGGCTTCCGGGGAAAATGGCAGCGAGTTTTCTTGAAGCAGTGGCGCCAGTTAGCGTCTTGTGATTTTCACTAACGGCTAAACTGTGCAGTTGGATGGCTGGTTCAATACGAATGCGACTGCATTATTCTCTTTGCTAGGTCGGCGTTGACTCCTATTTTAGGAAGCTCTTCAGAGACATGCCTTGATGTTGGCTCTTGGCAAGCAAGAAAACATCATAGACCTACCACAATATTTTTTAACGATAGCATTACGTTAGAATCATCCCGGAATATGTACCTACCTAGGTATCTATAGCCATATTTGAAGAAGATGATTGTTGTTAATCTTAGGGGTGTGCTAAATATAACACTCAGATAGGTCAATTTTATCTAGAGACAGTATACTTCACTATTATATCCTTCTTTACCTCATATAACCTTATGTTATAGCATAGGTTAGGTACCTTCCACGCTTTATTCGGCTCCACAAATCCTAACTCGGATAAAGGCAATCTGATTGATCGCCTTATAACCCATTGCGTGAGCTGAGACCTGTAATGTATCGCCGTGCTGAATGTTCTTCATGAATTGCGCCCTTGCCGGAAAGTATACTTCGAGTTCCTTGAGATTCCAAATGTTTGTATGTAGCCTGAACCAGTTTGACACATCGACACTGTTCTGGATTCTGAAAGCTTGTGATTTCGTTTGCTCATGCTTAACGGAGACCTCGTACCAGCTGCTCGCAGAATTCAGATACGTCGTGTTCTTCGTTTCATCGCCCCACCCGTTTGCATGTTTCGAGTAAGTCTCGAAAACAATACTTTTCAATGGTAGCTTGAGCTTACTATCCACTGGGACCTGAAGAAGAAGGACTGAATCCTTATCTTCTCCGTCTGTATTCATACTCTCTGCGTCACCCTTAACCTCCGTGTCACTATCCGGATCGTACCTGCAGTACTCTAGAGAGCATTTGTCAATGTCCCATAACTTTTGCTTAGTAACAACGTGACCACTGCCCCAGGGTTCAGGGAGGTTTTGCGGATATGGAGATGACTCGGTTTTGAAGGCAGGCCAACTCAGTAAAGGCGTAGCATGATTAGCTTCCAATATATCGATGATTTCCTGATTACCTAGCTCATAGGCATAATCGAGGGCCCGCTTTCCATTCTCACATGGGTGATTGACATCGAGGCCTTCATTTATAGCCTTCTTGAGCTGAGTGCTAAATCCACCTCTCACAAGAAACTGTAACTCTTGGGCTTTTGTTGGAACTCGACCCGAAATGAAACTTGCTAGAATTGAAGTAACATCTTCGTTGTATCGGTCATAGGCGATATCAAGCGGCGACTTATTGTTATCGTGTCGTCTTAATGTCATATCGGCTCCGTGTTCAAGAAGATAGAACACTAGTTCTCCATTTTCATAATCAACTGCGTCGTAAAGCGGCGGCCGAACAGGTCGATCATGGCTAAGGACGATATTAATTTCAGCCCCATTTTCGACTAACTTTCTGGCTATATCATTTTTGTGTTGTGCAGCGGCCAGTCCTAGTGGAGTCCTAGAGACAGGATTAGTGATAGGGTTTTGCTTTTCGTAGTCGAGTAGCAAAGGAACAAAACACTGGAGACCGAAGAATACGGCCCAGTGTAAGCCACTGATAGTTCCAGGACCGAGACTTTCAAAATCTGGATCCCACCCTTCAATACTCGAATCCATCAAATCCATTGCTTCATGCTTGAGGTATTCATTCCATTGGTCGAACGGTGCTTTCAATAATCGTTCAGTAGTTTCCCAAAGCTGAGTTTTCGGTTTTAGGATCTTCCCAAGACCGTCACCCCAGAGTTGCATCGCGTATTCAGTCAGGGGATATCGTTCTCCGAATGCATCATCCGCCGGTTCTCTCATGCATTTAAGTAGAAGGTATCTCATCAAAGTCAAATGAATATGTTCGCGAATATCTGGAAACCAGCGCTCCCTAGTCTTGTCCATCATCAGGTGCTCAGTAAATGTTTTATGAGCACTATGGACAAATCTAGTTGAGGGGTCCACTATCACAAGTTCGCCGCATAGAGTATCGATACTGAGGTGAGTTTCCTTAGTGATGTGATAGTCCTCGTCCCCTTCATCAACGGCTAGCGCTTGCTTCAGTTGTCGATCTGTCATGGGAACCAAGGCAAAAGCAACCCAAAAGAGGGCTTGAATTGCATGACAGGGAAGTGGCGTCTCGGTCCGTCTATTGCTGTTTAAGATTGCTAGCCGATCCAATCCTCGATCGTACGCTTCTTGGGCGCTCCTTGGTAGACTCTTAATGGTCTCTTTGCAGTCATACTCATTCGTAGCCCTTAAGACCTCGTCCATGCATAATTTGGCCATCAAGAAATTTCCCGTACATCGTCCGGTTAGGCTTGAGATGATATGACCGGCGATATCGGGACGTTTGAAAAACTCTTGCTTCTTCCTCGAAATTCTGTCATCAACGTAAAGCTGGATGTCAATTTCTTTCGCTTCCAAATTGAACTTTGAATCGTTCTCGGACATCTCCGTTATATGAGCATAAGGGCGAGAGGACACGAGTAGCAGACATTGTTGGTTTCGCCCCTGTATCGCCTTGAGATCATCTATCAACTTTGACTGCAGCGTTTCGGGTACTTCGTCGAGTCCATCAAGAATGAGAATGACTTTCCCTCCCTGGGCTATGGTCTTATCGAAGATTCCCATCTTCAATTCTCGTTCGTCAATATTGCTTCGAAATTTGATGCGTTCAAGCTTGGCATCCAGGCTCTTGAAATCTTCATCATCCAACCTGAAGTCTACAGAATCAGCAAGTTGCTTCCAAAGGCTCATGACAATATCGAGATGATTATCAAGAGTTTCCACTGTCTTCTGGTCGCAGTAGACGCGTGCAACATGGAATTCCTTGCGGTCCTCAGCGTCACGTATAAGCTTGTCGCCGACGACAGTCCTGTTTTTACGATATGTCAGAACCTCGAATTCAGATGCTACCTATGTAACAAGGCAAAATACTCACATCAGACCCGTTTTCCCGGTGCCCTCTGGACGCATGTTAGTATTAATTCTAATCCGCAAGCTAGGTAGAAAGTGACTTACGAATCCCAAATACCCAGAGGAAACTGTTCTCCGACTGAAACCATTCTTGATATTTGTTCTCTCCAAATATCCACTTGCCAGTTCCCTCAGTGATGTGGTGGACACGTGGTGGCACTCTGCCAAGGGCCGGGGCAACTGCTGGTGTCAACTTTTCAAAGACCCCTTTCATTCTAGCTTCTGTTGCCGACACAATTCTGTTAGCCAACATCTAATGAATGAGACTTGAAATCTATGAACCTAGCCATGAGATTGTAAAAGAAAGTAGATCTCTATGGGCCGCTCCTGCGCTCTTGATTATTAGGAATAGACGCACCTTGCTCAACTTTGGACCGCTTCATCCTATCCATAGTCCCTAACTCCAATTGAAGATATTGGATCATTTCAGTAATTTTTTGGAAAGATTCTTTGATTTCATCCTTCTTTAAAGGCCACAACAAACGTTGAGATATAGCCTTCAAGGGATTTGAACTAGTATGAAGTTGACTTTCTAGATCATTCGTAAGCACCTGCAACTGCTTTACCAGTTTTTCGACGTTCTGTCGATTTTCAAAGTCAATCGAATCATCGCGGGCTCTCAGCCCCTTCAGAGTTGAGAGTAGGGTTTCAATCTGGCCTTGAAACTGCTCCTTTTCCTTTGTGGCGTGGCGAACTCCCCGTAAATGCTTAGATGTTTTAAGAGTTACCTCGAGAAGGGCGATTATATCGCCAATCGATGCCATAGCTAACAGGTTCACGTTGGTTTTACAACCTCCAAACCAAACTCGATTAGTGTTGATAGAGCTGTTAAGTAACGCTCCAGAATGGCAGCAAGATAACGTATAGTTAATAGAACGGGAATATCATGGGAAGTGACAGCAGCAGATGATATTGGGTGTACTACTTGGGATGGGAGTAGGCATAAAGTAGGAACGACTTGCTTACACTAAATAAAGCATGGCAGTATTTGGTATCGATTCAGCCTCAACGTTGCAATCTCAAGCATTACAGGTAGGGTCATAAAACGGGTTCATTATACGTACCTTAGGTACCTACGCCTTCCAATGGTGCCTAAACATGCTACTTTGCGGGCGTCAGTTAGGCATTATCGACTGCAGGTCTGGACATTCTTAGTATTTCCAAAAGTCGCCAGACGCATATTTACCAGGTAGGTAGGTATTACTATTTGCTTTGGTAGGTACTTATATAGCAGGTAGCTGCCAAGTAAATATGCCGATATGCATATTTTAAGTAGATGCCTTCGGTTAAGTAGGCTTAAGTGATTAATCACAAATATACCTGGTGAAGAGCGGAAATAGGTATTGCTTTTTGCTTCAGCTGAAGGACAATACATCCCAATCAATAAGCACAGCCAGCACAGACAACTACCTATCTATACGTGGACGAATCATGCCAGCGTAGCTTGCATGGCAGTATTCGCCCCTCCCCCGATCTAGACATTCAAAATTTTTGGCTCTCGTAGAGTAACGTTACGATATGCACAAGCGCTTGGCGCATAGATGATAATGTATACCACACAGCTGAACAAGCCATGGAGGTCGGCAACATGAAAGCCTGCGCAGTGAGGCTTTTTCGGTAACGTCCAGTGTGAAACAAGGGTCTGAATCTCAGGGGTTCGGTTCTCCTTGGGTTCCCATAAACAACACCTAACAAGGCTGCTCTTGAAAGATGTTTCAAAAATATTAAGGAATAACAAGGTATGTTGAGTTGTCAGGCTGGCAGGTTGGATGTCCGTCAATCTTGTATAAGATGAAATCGACGGCAGCTGTAGGATCTAGCCTGAGAGTTATATCAGCTGGCAACAGACCAGTAAACGTCAATGAGCGATGACGTATTATAATTATTATCTGAGTCTCCTTTCTTTATTTATTGTTCTCAACCTAAGACTTCAATCAAAATGGTTGCAAGAAGCTTATGAACCAAGTGAGGCTTTTTTTTAAAAAAAAATTTGAACTGCATCGCGATAGTAATCTTTTGAATATCAATCTTTAGGCTTCATCAACTCTTCTTACATCTGCATAACCTGTAAAACATGCCCCATCACAAGCGCACAGACCTCCTCAACGCTGCCACGGCGTTCTGCGAAAGCTTCGCGCAGAAAAAGCCACCGGACGAGATCCTAAGCCACTTCTCGACCTCCTCCTCCGATATTTCGGCGTACGAGCACGGCCTCGAGGAGCTCGCCCCTTTTCTCGGCCGCGAGTTCCGGGGACGCGACGGCGTCCGGGAATACTTCGACACCGTCTCCTCGTGCCTAAGCTACGAGGACATGCGCTTTGCGGAGTATATCGTCGACGCCGCCGAGAACCGCGTCGCTGTTCGCGGCGCCGCGAGGTTTACGTGGACGGCGACGCGCGACAGCTGGGATGAGGTCTTCGCTTATGCGCTGAAGTTCGACGATCGGCATAAGGTTGTGCGCTACGAGGTCTGGGCCGACTCTGGCGCTGCGTATCTTGCGAGCAAGGGCCAGCTGAAGGAGTTAAAGAGCGATTCCAAGTAATTCGCTATCTACCTAACCTAGGTAATATTTAATATAAGGGCGATACATGCCTGTCTTATTCTAAAGAACGTCCCATAGGTTATATCAATCATCATCTGCGGCATATATGTTATAACCTGCTTTTATCGCTTGCTTGGCGAACTTTCGATCACTAACACGCTAATCGCTACAGTACCGTGTAGACTTCCGGAATGTCGCCCCTCCCGCCCCCTTTCTATTTTGAGGATCCGAGAATTTTATCGGGACGTCAACATACCCGGCTCAGACGCCCTTTAGTGGATGCCACATTTGTTAGGAAGCCTAACAAAAAATCCATATAATCATTTCTCCTTTTTCATGTTCAGATCTGCTAGACGGGACGTCTACTGATCAAGTCGAGTTGAGACCGACTACTTATTGGGATGGAAATTCCCACTTCCCACTTCCTTCTTAAATCCCTTCAAGATTCTTTCCTACAATTCCTCATTTCCTCTTCGCGTCATTCTCACCTTCCTGGACCAGCTCATCACGCTCCCAGAGCAGTGCAAAGGCGCCGGCGACAAACCCACCAAGGAACGACCAGACCGCGGCCTTCTGTATGGCCTTCGCCGGAGATGATCCAGTCTGCTTAAGGTATAGGTACAAAGCCCATAGAAGCATCGCTCCGTTTCCTAGGTACAAATCGAACAGGTAGAAGTCGGCGACCAAGGGACCAAATCTACCAGGTCCGTTGGCGACCGGATCTATGGCCGGCTGTCCGAAGAAGGGGTGCGGCACCCACGTCTTCGTGAACGTGATGTCCGAGAAGAAGGATGCGCAGCTGGGGAATGCGTAAATGAGAGCGGAGCGCAAGGGGCCAGGTAACACGGATGTGGCCATAAATGGCAAATGTGTGAGCACGGAAACAGCCATGTTGAATTTGTATACGGTCGACACAGCGACGTAAAAGCCCTTGCCGGGTGTGGTAGGTTTACCGTTGGTATCCGTTGGGCCGAGAGCACCAACTGCGGAGGATGCCACGCTTTTGAAGAGGTCCATAGCAATCACCGTCCACTAAGAGAAAAATATCATCAGTGCCTATAAAATGGAATTCAATCAATGTTTACTTACCGGTCCAAAGGGGATCCAGAATGCAATCCAGCTATAATGTCCAATGGAAGAAAAGAGCGAAGGCAAGCTCATGAAGAGAGTAGGGATAAGAGTGCCCAGGGTTAGGGAGATGGGCATAAGAGCCAGGTCCCAGAGGTCGACGAACAAGAGCTTTCGCGCAGATTCGCCGGTAATCTTACCGCCATTACCGTTCAACTTCGATATGGGCGACGTGAGAAGATGCAATCCGAAGTACAGCGGCAGGGAAAACGCCCAGGAGATGGCCTGGAAGACGACGCCGAGCGTTCCGGCCCAGCTCACGGCGAGGCCGCGGTTCCCCGCTCGCCTGCACTCGAGCAGCAGCAGACCCCAGCCGACGCAGAACTGCCCCATGGACTCGATGTAGAGCGCCCATGTGTTCCAGCGGAGCTCGGGGTCGTCGACCAGGGCGGCGACGAAGGCGGTCCAGTGCGAGATGACCGCGTCGACGAACCCGATGCCCGTGTACGTGTACTTGAAAGGCGTGGGGCCGCCAATCAAGGTCACGGCCTCGCTGCTCCCCCGGGCGATGTCTCTTAACAGCTTACCTAGCGGACCTGCGAAGAGCTGGCCGTCGGTAGCCATGACTCCAAAGAGTCCCATCCCCAGAAAAAGCGCTGAGAGCGCGAGCCTCCCTTCGGACGCCTTGATGGGAGAGTTAGCAAAAAAAAAAAAAAAAAAAAAAAAAAAAAAAGACCTCGGGGAGGGGAAGTCTTACCATGAGGGGATCACGTAGTAGCGTTGTGACCCAACTACGAAGAACTCAAATTACAACCCTGGAAATGGCAGAGCACCTGAAAAATTCTCGTTTATATTTCTTTTTCTGTTTAGTTCTTTTTTTTCTTCTTACGAGCTGATACATTGTATAAGAATGTAGATGTCCTAAGCGATTAATATATATGTACATGTAAGCTCTTAGGCCTTAGACGATGGGATCTATTCATGGGTGAGGGATGGGATGAGAACGGGGAGACGGGGCCGTCCCGGTCCGTTTGTTGCCGCTGCTTTCCCCCAAAAGGTAAAGAAACGCATTCCTTTCGGGGGTGTAAGACGGATCGACAGGTCCGCTCTAGTATGATGAATCCTGCTAAAGAACAACTTCTGCTTGGAGTTTATCATCATGCACGCCCAACCTTAGGTAATGCAATGCAATGTAAATTGTATCTTGAAATGGCAAATGCAGATTACCAAGAGCATTTATTACCAACTCCGCGAATCGGGGGGTTGCGGGGGGCGGCGTTCGTAACGGCTTTTGGGGGGGGGGGGGGGGGGGGGGGGGGGGGGGGGGGATAATTTAAAGGGTTTGGGGGAAATAAAAATAAATTAAAAAATTTAAAAAGTTAAAACGAAATAAAAAGTTAATAAGCAAA